AATTATGAGCCCATAATGAAATATAAATATGAAACACACAAGAGGTAATACATTATATCAACAAGAAACAGTTTTGTTAAACCACTGACTGGCATAATTAACGTTAAACCATAAACTAGAATAAACTAATGTTCAATTATGAGCCCATAATGAAATATAAATATGAAACACACAAGGTAAATCTGAACCATCAGCAACATGAGTTAATGTTTAACTATGAGTCCATAAGGTAATATTCAGCTATCAACTATGTAAGATAATGTTAAACTAACAGTTACGAAAGGTACTGTTAAACTGTCAGCCATATAAAGTAATGTCTGTAACATAAGGTCATTATAATCTCGCAAAAGATACTGTTAAACTGTCAGCCATGTGAAATAATGTTAAATATCAGTCATGTAAAGTAATGTTGATCGGCAACCCGGTCGCCCATTGGTTCGCCAGTAGACAACTTCATCGCCAGTCGGGACAGTATTTGGGTTGTCTCCTCTGATCGTATCAACACTGCAGCAGTTCTTTTCCGGTCTTTTAGTGGAGTGCAATGCTAAGCCGCTTCACATAACCCAGTCACAATTATAACCTAAAGCTACCCTTTGGGAATGCTGGGTGAACACATTTTGTTTCCAGTAAAGCAAGCAACAACAGGGAAAAAATGTAATGTTAAACAATCACTCATGTCAGATACTATTTTATTATGAAGTATACAAAACAATGGTAACCAATCTGCCACACTTGGTAACATTTAACTATCAGTTACAAAAGATGTTAACCTATCTGCCATTCAACTATCAGTTACAAAAGATGTTAACCTATCTGCCACACATGGTAACATTTAACTATCAGTTACAAAAGATGTTAACCTATCTGCCATTCAACTATCAGTTACAAAAGATGTTAACCTATCTGCCACACATGGTAACATTTAACTATCAGTTACAAAAGATGTTAACCTATCTGCCATTCAACTATCAGTTACAAAAGATGTTAACCTATCTGCCACACATGGTAACATTCAACTATCAGTTACAAAAGATGTTAACCTATCTGCCACACATGGTAACATTCAACTATCAGTTACAATGGATGTTAACCTATCTGCCACACATGGTAACATTCAACTATCAGTTACAAAAGACTTAACCTATCTGCCACACATGGTAACATTCAACTATCAGTTACAAAAGATGTTAACCTATCTGCCACACATGGTAACATTCAACTATCAGTTAGAATGGATGTTAACCTATCTGCCACACATGGTAACATTCAACTATTAGCTACAAAAGATGTTAACCTATCTGCCACACATGGTAACATTCAACTATCAGTTACAAAAGATATTAACCTATCTGCCACACATGGTAACATTCAACTATCAGTTACAAAAGATATTAACCTATCTGCCACACATGGTAACATTCAACTATCAGTTACAAAAGAGTTTAACCTATCTGCCACACATGGTAACATTCAACTATCAGCTACAAAAGAGTTTAACCTATCTGCCACACATGGTAACATTCAACTATCAGCTACAAAAGACTTTAACCTATCTGCCACACATGGTAACATTCAACTATCAGCTACAAAAGAGTTTAACCTATCTGCCACACATGGTAACATTCAACTATCAGCTACAAAAGAGTTTAACCTATCTGCCACACATGGTAACATTCAACTATCAGTTACAAAAGAGTTTAACCTATCTGCCACACATGGTAACATTCAACTATCAGCTACAAAAGATATTAACCTATCTGCCACACATGGTAACATTCAACTATCAGCTACAAAAGAGTTTAACCTATCTGCCATACATGGTAACATTCAACTATCAGTTACAAAAGAGTTTAACCTATCTGCCACACATGGTAACATTCAACTATCAGCTACAAAAGACTTTAACCTATCTACCACACTTGGTAACATTTAACTATCAGTTACAAAAGATTTTAACCTATCTGCCACCCTTGGTAACATTCAACTATCAGTTACAAAAGTACATGGTAATATTTGACAACCAGTAACAATTTTAACAGAAACATACATTATGTGAGTATGGTCATCCATAGAACTTAAGTGATGACGTAAATGGGGGCAACTGCAGTTGAGCTGAGAGCAAAAAATGCTAACTATAACCTAAAATGTGACTAGAAAGCTCAAAGGAGGGAATGGTAAAGACAAACACAACCAAACATTTGTGTGCGTCTTTTCCATTCCCTCCATTGAGCTTTCTAGTCAAGTTCTGTGTTATATTTAGCATCCGTACTACTGCAGAGGACAGAATGGAGTGGAAGAATCAACTGTGAGCAGTATGTGACGTATAATGGAAAATCAGGATGGTGATGATGATGCAACTGAACTATCTAGTTTGAAACAGCTGAACTATCTAGTTTAAAACAACTGAACTATCTAGTTTGAAACAGCTGAACTATCTAGTTTGAAACAGCTGAACTATCTAGTTTGAAACAACTGAACTATCTAGTTTGAAACAACTGAACTATCTAGTTTGAAACAACTGAACTATCTAGTTTGAAACAACTGAACTATCTAGTTTGAAACAACTGAACTATCTAGTTTGAAACAACTGAACTATCTAGTTTGAAACAACTGAACTATCTAGTTTGAAACAGCTGAACTATCTAGTTTGAAACAGCTGAACTATCTAGTTTGAAACAGCTGAACTATCTAGTTTGAAACAGCTGAACTATCTAATTTGAAACAGCTGAACTATCTAGTTTGAAACAACTGAACTATCTAGTTTGAAACAGCTAAACTATCTAGTTTGAAACAACTGAACTATCTAGTTTGAAACAACTGAACTATCTAGTTTGAAACAACTGAATTATCTAGTTTGAAACAGCTGAACTATCTAGTTTGAAACAGCTGAACTATCTAGTTTAAAACAACTGAACTATCTAGTTTGAAACAACTGAACTATCTAGTTTGAAACAGCTGAACTATCTAGTTTGAAACAGCTGAACTATCTAGTTTGAAACAACTGAACTATCTAGTTTGAAACAACTGAACTATCTAGTTTGAAACAACTGAACTATCTAGTTTGAAACAACTGAACTATCTAGTTTGAAACAACTGAACTATCTAGTTTGAAACAGCTGAACTATCTAGTTTGAAACAGCTGAACTATCTAGTTTGAAACACCTGAACTATCTAGTTTGAAACAACTGAACTATCTAGTTTGAAACAACTGAACTATCTAGTTTGAAACAACTGAACTATCTAGTTTGAAACAGCTGAACTATCTAGTTTGAAACAACTGAACTATCTAGTTTGAAACAACTGAACTATCTAGTTTGAAACAACTGAACTATCTAGTTTGAAACAACTGAACTATCTAGTTTGAAACAGCTGAACTATCTAGTTTGAAACAACTGAACTATCTAGTTTGAAACAGCTGAACTATCTAGTTTGAAACAGCTGAACTATCTAGTTTGAAACAACTGAACTATCTAGTTTGAAACAACTAAACTATCTAGTTTGAAACAACTGAACTATCTAGTTTGAAACAACTGAACTATCTAGTTTGAAACAGCTGAACTATCTAGTTTGAAACAGCTGAACTATCTAGTTTGAAACAACTGAACTATCTAGTTTGAAACAACTGAACTATCTAGTTTGAAACAACTGAACTATCTAGTTTAAAACAACTGAACTATCTAGTTTGAAACAACTGAACTATCTAGTTTGAAACAACTGAACTATCTAGTTTGAAACAACTGAACTATCTAGTTTGAAACAACTGAACTATCTAGTTTTAAAGGAAAGAACACAGATAAACATATAACCACTAGTAGATGATGAGAGAGGGTGCATATGAAACTCTAGGCCTGTACTACTCTAAGAGTCGGAAATGCTCCAACTTTTCGAGTCAGTGAAACATGTTAACCCCCAAGAGGACAATAAGATAACAACAAAGATAGCAACCCTGGAAAGTTGGGTCAGGAAATGTGCTTATCCTAGTTCCTGACCCAGTCCTATTTCTTGACATTTACAATAATAACAACAACAAATTACACAAAACACAAATCCTGCATTGACTTGCCAAGCCAGAGAAATCTGTCAACAAGAAGTGACCCCCTCAACATAAATGAAAATAAGAAGCTTTCACATTTATAACCATTCCCAAAAACTGATATAAATGCAACACGCAACTTGGCTGTTCCATGAATTTGTGATGTGTATACCTGCTGAAGGTACTGGGCTGAATGACATCCATGATACTAAAACAGTTGTACAGAATAGAATAGCATGTGGAAGAATAAACTGTGTGACATATAAGCCACCTCAGAATGATGATGCTGACTATGATATCTGCTAAATGATTGTTACAATTGTACAGGACAGAACAGAATGATGATGAAATATTTTATGCCACCCAAGTGTGGTACAACATTATTTTCTCACAAAAGTCATTTAAAAATATGATAATCTGGCCAAGACAAAAATAAATGCGACACAGCATTAGATCTACTGCCTACAATCACAAGTATTTACTAAAGCCAAACACTAACTGCCTTGCAGACTAAGCTCCTGAAAGCAAACAAATAAACTTAACATCAGTCCTAAGATTTCTTGTGTGGGTTCCGTCCAGGTCACAAATTTTTTTTAGGGGGGGAGCACACTCGCTGCCAATTAACAAAAATGTCACAGAGGGCAACTAAGGTTTGTTGAAACAGGGCGTCAGGGGCAACAACAAAAAATGCAGATATCGTGGCCTAGCTGCAAACCAGAAAACAATGTGCCGGCTAAGCTTTCAAGGGCAAAACACAAACAATTTTTCAAAACAGCAGCAGCAATACCATTCCCGACACAAGAAATCAGCAGTACCTTCCCTTGTACTATCAAAACCTGTCCTGTATAAATCTTGGACATCAGTATTAACACATGTGGCTCAGCTCTGCCCTGTATGTATAACAACAGACAAAAGACCCCAGCTCTGCCCTGTATATTAACAGACAGAAGACCCCAGGCTGCATCTGCTATTTGGACATCACGATGTTGCTTTTTGACTGCTTTGACTGCTTGGCTATAGCTTGTAGTGCATGTTCTGTCATCCTTTGTGGCTCGGTCAGAATGGGGGTGCTGGTGCTCAGCTTTCTTAAGGCATTCAGGGCATCTGTGGGAAATAAACAATGAGGAGCAATTGTGGATTGAAGGAGTCGACTGCGAGCACTATATGCTGTATCAATGGCCCAACCAGATGATGATTATCAGCATGTATACGTGAGAACAAACATTTTTAACTAGTGTTTTGTTTTTTCAAACCATAGGCTACCATTGGGAGTTGTGGTGGCGTAGCCGCTAGATGCTCACCTGCGAATCGGAAGGTTGTGGGCTTCCTCCCCGGTGGAGCCGGACTCTTTTAAAAAATAACCTTGGCTCTAGGTCGACCCAGACTTGAGTGGTTACCAGGTGCTGTCCTGGGAAGTAAAAGCAGCCAGAGTGATGCTAACCACATCACCCATCTTGTGCCGCTGGTATATAAAATGTAGGTCTAGCCCTATATGCCCAATACACCTGAAAGGCCTGGAAAAGGGTCCTTTAGTTTTTACTTTAGGCTACCAGTAAACTGGAACAAACACCTGGTCTGTGAGTTGGTGAATAAAGTGGAAGTCCTACCTGAGCCTCGCCTTAGTCTGTACTTACTGTGCTGAAACATGACCTGGTCTTGTGTTAATAAGCTTCTCTCATCATCACATCATCATGTAGCAGATCCCTTGCAGAACGTCGCTCTCACCAGTCTGAAAGAAACTCGGGTCTCTCGTCAGCTCTCCCGCAGTGTACTTTCATATTCAAGGAGTCATTTATATCCTGTGCCCGTCTTTGTGTTGGTTAGCCCCTGTCCATCCTTCTTGGTACCATGCCGTCTGCTATTTTTTTTTTCCCATCCGCCGTGGCGCTTGATATGACCAAAATATTTCAGCTTCCTAGACAAGATGCTGATTATTTGCCTTCCTTCCTGAAATTTCAGATTTTTTTTTAAATTTCAGTATTTCTTCTCTTCTTTGTCCATGATATTCTGAGAATCTTTCTTTAGCATTTCTGCTCAACAGATCCCATTTTCTTTCTCAAGGACTGGCAGACAGTCCAGGATTCACATCCCTATGTTGATACAGGGAACATGAATGCTCTCAAAATTAAGCTTATCTGCAGATATAAAACTCCAGTACCTGTCTTGCACACATCCTCATTTCTAAGACTAGAAGGTTTTTTTTTTTTAAAAACCTCCACAATAGTTGCCATGGAAATGGACTGTGGTAACAGAAAAGAGGAGACTCTAAATCAACCACACTCTAACAGACAGAAGGTCTCCATGACAAGAAGAAACATACACCTGACATGTTTGTGACAAACTAACAAACCTAATGGAAGAATCAGCAAACAGAAGAACAGAAAAATTTAGTGGATATCGCGGATGACAAGGATCATTCATTCCAGAAACATATTAGTTGGCTGAAATTGTAAACCAGAATTCAGTTTAGTTTAGCACTAAAACATTCATTAACCGATGCAAATTTGTTAGCCAATGCAAAACACACAAACACAAAACTGACAAATATACTCGTTAGCTAGGTCAGGCCTTAGCCAAGTTAGCAACTGCACCCAGGTGGCCTAACCAAATGGCAGCCTGGCAATAATGACAGACTGGATTGGAGACCCTGGAGATTGAGTGAAAGGATCATCATCATCATCACATGTCCTGATGAGGAGCAAAGATGGTCCTGGTTCGCCACCTCACACAATCACCAAAATCACGGATCAGGTCAGTGTTCTTGTCTCTCCATCCATATGGCTAAGCCATCCAGGTATTTATCTCTCTGCCTTCCCCTGGCTCTTTTCCCATCAATCTCAAGTCAATTCCTTCTCATCAAATGTTGAGAAAGCGCCAACTGTCTACACCTAATGACTCTAATCAGTGACACAGCCAACCCTGATCATCCAGGCTCATCAGCAGAGCTCATGATGGTAACTTAACACAAATGTGTTATAAACTGGGTTATCTTCACAGCACAGCGTACATGTCCATGGGTGCTCAGATTCCCTCTTCAATATGTATAGATCAGCATCCAAAGCTAGATGTTGTGAGCGCCCTTTGGGAGCACATGAACAGTGGAGAGACACAAACAGATCATTACAGTCCGAGGAGTATGGTGCTACGGTGAGTTTCCAGGGGATGTGGCTGACGCTCAACAGTCAAGGGAAAGGCGAGACGGATTTACAATCAGACAGTTAGTGGTACCATCAGAACTGGAAGGCTTTGCTTGCTGCTGAATACGGGGATGGAGCGCTTATGGGAGTGTTCCGATTGCTATGATGTTGATTCCTTATTCAAAATTCAACATCAGCATCCCATGGCTTTAGTCCTATTCTGGTTAACAAAACTTCCTCTACGTCCAGTGTGCCTCTCATGTTTAGCCCTGCCAATCTTAACTTGCAATTCTCGCATGCTTAGCTAAACACAAATATACTCACTAGGTCTGAGGGTGACTAGAGAACAGGACTGGTCCACCCAGGTGAGAGATGTGCGACACAGCTCCTCCATGCTGGCTGTTGAAACCATCGTAGAGTACGAGTCAAACAGCGAGCCCATTATCACAGAAAACTGGAGCCGAGTTAAAGATCACAGTAGTTTTGTTGTCGCTACAAAGAACATTACCATTTCCACTGGTCTGCAGGGTGTCCCCTGAGCTTCCATGCATAAGACAAATAAAACAGTAACAGAGCCAGAGGTCAACCATGCAGAACATGGACCGTAGAAATATCAGAGACACTGAAAAGTACTATTTTTGAAATGAAAAGAAGGGCCCGTTCTAGAGGCAGAGATCCCTTCTTGCCCTGACGTCGCGAGGCATTCCAGGAGTAGGTAAAATAAGAGATGAAGAAGAAGCAGAAGGAAGAAGAAGAAGAAGAAAATAAACATTTTTTATGAAAACCATTTTTATTTATAATATGCTCTACATGACTACAATTATTTTGAAAACATATTTTGATGCAGTAACTGAGATATCCCTTTCGCCTTAATGTTCAGAACTATTAAAGTGGAGAAAGTGCAGTTAAACAGCATCATTACGAATATCCTTTACGAAGATATTTACGAAGCGATCTGCCAGCTTCCTACCAGTTTCCCTAATATTAGGGCCTTTTTACAGTTTTTGAAGATGGTGACATAAATTAAGTTAAGGGATTGTTTCACTGGATACCTCACCCTGTATAAAATTGGCTGCAAAATCCAATGAGTCCCACACGAGTCCCCACAGGGCTTGGTATAAATTGAGTGAGGATTAATGCTCCGTTGCGATTTGAAAGTTAGAAAAAAGAACTGGTAAAGATCAGATACTGCCTTACAGGAGCAATCAACTACACACTCAGCTGCCTTTGTTATACTGTGTGACAAATTACTGCATTTATGAACAAGGTGAACTTAGAAACTCCATCAAGACAACACTTCCACCCATTCTTTGCTTCTGGTTCAAAATTTCTTGGTCAAATTAACATTCCTCTTGACTGTCAACTCCATACATCACTTTTTGTGATTTCTGAGTATTCCAGAGCTGAAATTTCAAAGAAAAGGACCTAATTTGTTGTAAAAGAAGGCAACAGCCAAGCTGCACATTTCTAAACAGGTCATCGTTGAACATTTCCAACAATGGTATGACTGCTGGGAGCTGTGTATGTACCAAAGAGACTATTATGAAAGGGACAAAATACCTCCTTCCTAAACCAGTTTTCTAACAAGCAGCAACATTTAAAACTAATCTGGACAAAAATCCCCTTCCTAAAACATTTTTCTAACAAAATGACATTTAAATTATAATTTTACTACAAATAAATGACATTGGCCTCCAAACAAAAGATACAATCCAGAACTTGCTGTTCTCGTTGGTCCTGGCTCTGATGTATTCATCAAACATTTCCTTCATCTGATCCTTACGTTGCCTGGTAACAGGCACACCTGTTTCTGGAAGCTGCGACTGGACATTACTGATAGCTGAGTTCAGCGTGTCGATTTCTTTTTTCAAAATGGCTGCTTCTTTCTGCATCTGCGATCTTTCTGCTTTTAGCTTTTTACAATATTCTGCAGCTGTTTTGGGAAAATAAAGGAAGAAAATCACTTATAAAATTAAGAAATTGCAATTAAAAGTATCTGATAATCAGTAGTTTATTATACATAATGTGTAACATGTGTAATCTTCAGGTAGTACTAGTTGGGGGAGGTGGGAGGGGGTCTGTGTCTGTGGCTCAGGGGTAGCAACTGCAGTCTGGCAATTCCGACATGCTGGTGTTGTATGTCAGCTGTGACTAAGCTGCTAGCAGACTGTTTTTGCATTGATTTCAATCAGATGGTTCCCTGTGTGGGTTCCGGGGTCCCATTTTGGGAGAGGGGGTGGAAAATAGACCCACTGCTACCCTAACAAGTATGTCATAAATGGTGACCAATCAGGGGTGCTTCCTTCAAAGTCAGAGTGTATCTGCCTGAGAAGCAAAGAACCAGCAGACAGCATACACATAGGCCACAGTAATGTAGTCACTTACTGAGCTGAAGGTCTTGGGTTCAAAACTCATCATTGCTAGGTTTTGCAAAAACTGATCCTGGCTCCCCGGGCAACCCAGCCCAATAAAGTCAACCCAGCCCAATAAAGTCAACCCAGCCTAAAAATGGATACCAGGTAATGTCCTGGGAAGTAAAGTCAGCTGGTGTGCTCTTTTCATTATATCCTGACTGGCCTTACAAAATATGAGTATAGGACAATATGTACAAAGACGTAAGGTGACCAAAATATCTTTAGCAAACTCTGTACATCCCACAAATATTCTGAGCTTGAACATTCCAAGCAAGTTAGTTTATTACAAACTAGTGACAAATGATAGAATTTATCAACAAGAAACTGTACATTAACAAGGAAACTAAAAGTGCTTACTTTTCTGAAGCATCGTTGCCTTGCTGACTTTAGGGTTCTGTGTTAAGGATGGGACAAGCTGTTGCAACAAGTCGAATCCAGTCTGTAACAACAAGAAAGTGACATGATCATACGACGCTATTGACTGATGCCAGACTGATCACCTAGGTTTTTCTTTTGTTTTCACTCATCAGAAATTTTGGGGTGATGGATACAACCGAGATGTGTGTGTTTACAGCTGAGCAGTGTGATTTCCACCTTTCAGTTAAGACTTCCAAGTTCTTCAAGGCACAATTTTTTGTAAAATTGGGTTAACTTTCTCTAGTTATCGAGGAATGACCAGGAGATCTGGCTGATGTTTGACACCAGAGTGTTACTAGTGCCATCTCAATTAGAACTCTGCGCTTGCTGCTGAAGGTGGGGTGGAGCACTTATGAGAATGTCTCGAGTGCTGTGATGCTCATTCTTCAAAAGTTAAGAATAATCAACAATCAAAGAGTCACTGACAGCTTCAATAATGTAGACAATACCACATCACTCTTGTAGTTCCTGCATGCTGGAAAGAGGTTTACAGCAGTGGTCTCCAATGTTTTTTCAGGCTTTTGAGCATGTGACAAAATTCCCCATGCCCCCCCTTAAGTGTATGGCAAGATTCCCCGCACCCCCTCTTGAGTATATGGCAAGATTTCCCGCATCCCCGTGGAGATTTGGCAAGATCTCCAGACACCTTTTGAGTATATGGCAATATGGCAAGACTTTCACCCCCCCCCCCCCCCCACTTCTTTGAGTATATGGCAATGACCCCCCCCCCCCCCCCCCCCCCCCCCCCACATAAAAAAATGTGATTAAAAAGAGGACAATAGGTTCCGCAACAAGAGAAACAGACATTATGGAGATAAGTGTTGGTCAGAATGTGTTCTTAATATATAATTAAATGCCTCGGTTATCATATTAATTAGATATTCAACTGCAAATATAGAAACTGCTTATGAAAAACACAAATGCCTATGGCTTTTTGTTTTATAAATAGTTTTTAAAAACATTTTACTTATAAATAACTGAAAAAATATTATAACGAATTATTATAAATGTGCTTAATTAAAACTGCTTGACGGGTCTCCCCCAGCACCCCCCCAAGTTGGAGACCAGTGGTTCAGAGTATCAAGAAGACATCCACATACCAGGTGGCATCCCACAAACTAGGGTAACTGACGCTTTGATACCATTCAGTTGCTCTACATGTCTGTGAACCTTTAACAATTGGGAGGGGGGGAAGGTATACCCAAACTGTTCTACAGCTGGATCACAAACCTTCAATCAACCAATGTTTTCCTGCTTGTTTTTGTATTTCTTTTTTTCTTTTCTGCTGTTATTGGCTGCATGACATACTAGACTATATCATCAGTTCTCGTTATGCCTAGTGGCACATGAGGCTTCAGAGAGGACTTTCCATGCTTTCCTGTCCTGTGCAATCTTCAATGCAGTTTTCCATGTCAAAGATGCCGCACTCAGGTCACTTTCCATCGTTCGTCTCCATGTTGTTTTTGGGCGCCCCTGTTTTCTCTTTCCCTCTGGTGTCCATGTGAGAGTTGTTTTGGCAGGTATATCAGAAGTCATTCTCATAACGTGGCCAAGCCATTTCCATCTTCTCTTGGTAATCATACTGTCTAAAGTTTCTTGGTTTGTGGTTTGAAGTAGTTTAGTTTGAGATTGTATCTGGCCAGAAAATTTTGATAATTCTACGTAGACATGTGAGGTGGAAGGTGGACAGCTTGTGTGCATCCTTTTTGGTCATTCTCCAGCATTCCGCTCCATAAAGAAGAACTGGCAAAATGATGCTCTTGTAGAGTCAGAGTTTTGTTCCTCTGCAGTAATTGTTGGATTTCCAGATTTGCCTCATCCTTCCAAAAGCAGCTCTAGCTTTGTTCAGACGTGACTGTATGTCTTCCTCTGTCCCTCCCAGTAGGGACACTACTAGTCTATACTAGACTATAGGACCATATTTATTACGCTATAAAACTGTACCTCAGTGCTACGATGTTCTCTTTCAGATTATGTATTCAGAGAAAAATCACAATACACGGATACTAGAATATATACGTAAGCGTAACATCACCTCCATGCATGCATGTATGTTTGTGTGTGTGTATATACATGCACTGCTGTAAAGATTAGTAACAATGTAACTTACCATGCATGTCTTAATTAAAAAGTTAATTTAAAAAAAAATCTGGCTACTACCTATCCTTCACAACACTTAGCTGCAAAATCTAACAAATCATGAACAATTCTACAAAGGACTTTGTACACTGGCCGAGTGCTCAGCTGGAGAATGAGAGGCAGCAGCAGAAGTGAAAAGAGCACAACTTGTCATGTCTAGTCTATAAGAACTCATTCCATACCTTTAGGTTGCACCTTCGCTTCTGCTCAGCAGACAGATGAGCTGCTCGCCTGTTGTCCAATGGAAATGAATCAAGTGATCCAGGAGACTCTGGTTCACCTGGTGAGACCTACAAACAGATATGATATTGCTGAAACAGACAGTGTTGATAGGAGTGCATTTGTGTTGATGTTTACAAGTGATGTCTTTGATGTCTAGGGCTGATATTGTATGAGGAGCAGTCGAAAAGTAATGCCTAATAGTCTGTGTCAATGTCAATCTGTCTCAGTGTTCTGTAAATCTGTCTCAGTGTCAATGTCAATCTGTCTCAGTGTCAATGTAAATCTGTCTCAGTGTCAATGTAAATCTGTCTCAGTGTCAATGTAAATCTGAATCAGTGTCAATGTAAATCTGTCTCAGTGTCAATGTCAATCTGAATCAGTGTCAATGTCAATCTGAATCAGTGTCAATGTCAATCTGTCTCAGTGTCAATGTCAATCTGTCTCAGTGTCAATGTCAATCTGTCTCAGTGTCAATGTCAATCTGTCTCAGTGTCAATGTCAATCTGTCTCAGTGTCAATGTCAATCTGTCTCAGTGTCAATGTCAATCTGTCTCAGTGTCAATGTCAATCTGTCTCAGTGTCAATGTCAATCTGTCTCAGTGTCAATGTCAATCTGTCTCAGTGTCAATGTAAATCTGTCTCAGTGTCAATGTCAATCTGAATCAGTGTGAATTTTGTCAATTTAGCAGGTTTCCTTAACCACTCTTCTGCAATGCATAGCAGTACTAACCCGTTTCAGTTACAGGTCAACCTGTTTCAGTTACAGGTCAACCTGTTTCAGTAACAGGTCAATCTGTTTCAGTAACATGTCAACCTGTTTCAGTAACATGTCAACCTGTTTCAGTTACAGGTCAACCTGTTTCAGTAACATGTCAACCTGTTTCAGTTACAGGTCAACCTGTTTCAGTAACATGTCAACCTGTTTCAGTTACAGGTCAACCTTTTTCAGTAACATGTCAACCTGTTTCAGTTACAGGTCAACCTGTTTCAGTTACAGGTGGCACCACTGTAACGGTTTAAACATGATTATTTAAACATTATTAGTTTATTTTCTGTTTATAAAACCAATACTTCTGTCGCCCTATTCTTTAAAATGAAACCTATTTTTGTAACACTTTTTAAATCACTGTAAAAGATTGGCTAGTCACAGTTCAGATGCTGAACTCTCATGCAGGAGACCCAAGTTCAAATCCTTGGCAAGTTGATGGACACTATTTTGAGGGTATTTGAGTTGAGCTGAGTCAAGAATTGACATCACAGCACTCGGGGAATTCCCATGCATGCTCCGTCCTCATCTTCAGCAGCCAGTTCCATTATTGATGGTACCGGTCACAATCTGGTTATATGTCCGTCTTGCCTTTCCTCTGAGTGTAGTGAGCAGGTCAGACCCATTGGTTACACCCAGGTGCCTCATTCTCTTTAGGCCATAATAATCTTGTTTCTCTACTGATTCCGTTGCTTGTTTCCAAAGGGCCTTGACCACATCTGCTTTGTCATGTATCAATTCAGCACCCAGTGGCGCAGATCTAGCAGCACTCTGAAGGTGAAAAATAAAAAAACCTGAACCTGTACAGTTCATGATAACTGCAATACCTATGTGGCCCTAAAGTTCTCAAGATCAAAACCCTCTGCCTACACCATCTTAAAGTGATCAATATTGGAAGTAGCGTGTATTTGTTTCTTTATTCACTGTCTACAGTTTATGTTGTAGTTCCTTCTCATTTAACAAGTGGTGTCTTTAGCAACAAGTGGTGTCTTTAGCAACAAGTGGTGTCTTTAGCAACAATTGGTGTCTTTAGAAACTAAATGGTGACTTTAATAACAAGTAATGTCTTTAGCAACAAGTGGTTTCTTTAGCAACAAGTGGTGTCTTAAGCAACAAGTGGTGTCTTTAGCCAAAAGTGGTGTCTTTAGCCAAAAGTGGTGTCTTTAGCAAAAGTGGTGACTTTAATAACAAGTGGTGTCTTTAGCAACAAGTGGTGTCTTTAGCAAAAAGTGGTGACTTTAACAAGTGGTGTCTTTAGCAACAAGTGGTTTCTTTAGCAACAAGTGGTTTCTTTAGCAACAAGTGGTGTCTTTAGCAACAAGTGATGTCTTTAGCCAAAAGTGGTGTCTTTAGCAACAAGTGATGTCTTTAGCCAAAAGTGGTGTCTTTAGCCAAAAGTGGTGTCTTTAGCCAAAAGTGGTGTCTTTAGCACAGTGTAATCTATTTATATCAAAACCGCCAACCAATATTACTGGCATGTCATCTTCAGATCTCATTATACAATCACTGTGCAATGAAAAGAAATCATGGGGAGACCTTCAAATAAATTTAGGTAATTAAAAAGAAAAAAATAAAGGTCACTTTACACACCAGTGGCACATTGGGCACCTAAGGTTAGACTTGTATTTTTACAAACTGGCCTTGGATGGAAGGATGTGGTCAACATCGCTCGGACCGCTTTTACTTCTCACGACTTTGAGATGGTACCCATTTAGATCTGGGTCAACTGGGGAGCCAAGATCTGGAACCATGCGGATTTGAGCCCAGGACCTTCAGATCCACAGATGAGTACCTAGCCACTACATCACGGTGGCTCCCTTAAAGAAACTGGCTGTAAACTCAGGAGGAAAGTTTTCGTTGTTCGGCAACTTTTGAACTTTGGTCTTGTTTAAGATTTTGAGCGCTGCTGAAGATGGGGACGGAGTGCTTATGGGGGTGTCCCGAGTGCTATGATGTCGATTCTTAATTAACAATTTTTGTCAGAATTTGAGTATTGCATGCACATATGACCTACAGATCTGGCTTATTTATATGCAGACTGTTGGTTCCTCGCCTCTCAGGCAGATGCACTCTGACTTCAAAGGATACAGTCCTAATTAGTCATCTTTTATTACATTATTGTTAGGAGAGATGTGGGTCTGTTCTTACTTTCTCCACAATGGGGCCATGAAACCCACATGTGGACCTTCAAATACAAACTTCCTCTTGTGTAAATATCTGCTTATGCTGCTAGCATCGCAGTTCATCAGACGATCGGCAGCCGAGCCAGGGCACACTCAGTTGCTTGATATTCCGTGATGTTATGCAGTTTGTAGGTGTCAGTGACTTCTTCAATCCTTCTTCTTGGTCTTCCCCTGCCTCTTGGTGTTTCAATTTTCAAGTTGTAAGCTCCTGCTGCTGGCATCGTTGGTTTCATTCTCATTAGATGGCCAAACAATTTCCCTCTTTGTTTCTCAAAAATTTGAAGATGGGTGTTGTTCCAACAGTTCTTGTGATCGAGTCATTTCTCACTCAATCTCTTCTGGTTTTATTCACAGCCATTCTCAAATATCTAATCTCACAACTGGTTAGTTTTCTCTCACCATTCTCAAATATCTAATCTCATAGGTGGTTAGTTTTCTCTCATGTTTTTGTGTGTGTCAATGTCCAAGTCTGACATTGGTAACCTATCAATATTGTATTTATTATTTGTCCTTTTGTCTCTACTGGGATAGCAGGGTGTTTCAAAACTGGAGCAAGTTGGTACATCAAATATAAACATAAATGATTAAATATTACTGCTCTCACGTAAACTTACAATGCTTGTCGGTGACATGATGATAGAAGATGAGAAAGGCGACAGCGGATCAACAAGATTACTGGCATCCATGGTGGGTATGGGAGACGGGCTTCGATTCACCACAGGCAGACTGGCAGTCGGACTCTGTGGCAAATGGCTGACAGGAGATGTAACTGAATAGGAATGGAGACATGATGAAATAAGTCTCTAGAGGCTGATGATACTTTCTGATTCTGTCCTGTTTCTCCATAACCAGCTCACACTGAGTCACCCTAGCCACTGCTAAAATATGCAGCTCACACTGAGTCACCCTAGCCACTGCTAAAATATGCAGCTCACACTGAGTCACCCTAGCCACTGCTAAAATATGCAGCTCACACTGAGTCACCCTAGCCACTGCTAAAATATGCAGCTCACACTGAGTCACCCTAGCCACTGCTAAAATATGCAGCTCACACTGAGTCACCCTAGCCACTGCTAAAATATGCAGCTCACACTGAGTCACCCTAGCCACTGCTAAAATATGCAGCTCACACTGAGTCACCCTAGCCACTGCTAAAATATGCAGCTCACACTGAGTCACCCTAGCCACTGCTAAAATATGCAGCTCACACTGAGTCACCCTAGCCACTGCTAAAATATGCAGCTCACACTGAGTCACCCTAGCCACTGCTAAAATATGCAGCTCACAATGAGTCACCCTAGCCACTGCTAAAATATGCAGCTCACACTGAGTCACCCTAGCCACTGCTAAAATATGCAGCTCACACTGAGTCACCCTAGCCACTGCTAAAATATGCAGCTCACACTGAGTCACCCTAGCCACTGCTAAAATATGCAGCTCACACTGAGTCACCCTAGCCACTGCTAAAATATGCAGCTCACACTGAGTCACCCTAGCCACTGCTAAAATATGCAGCTCACACTGAGTCACCCTAGCCACTGCTAAAATATGCAGCTCACACTGAGTCACCCTAGCCACTGCTAAAATATGCAGCTCACACTGAGTCACCCTAGCCACTGCTAAAATATGCAGCTCACACTGAGTCACCCTAGCCACTGCTAAAATATGCAGCTCACACTGAGTCACCCTAGCCACTGCTAAAATATGCAGCTCACACTGAGTCACCCTAGCCACTGCTAAAATATGCAGCTCACACTGAGTCACCCTAGCCACTGCTAAAATATGCAGCTCACACTGAGTCACCCTAGCCACTGCTAAAATATGCAGCTCACACTGAGTCACCCTAGCCACTGCTAAAATATGCAGCTCACACTGAGTCACCCTAGCCACTGCTAAAATATGCAGCTCACACTGAGTCACCCTAGCCACTGCTAAAATATGCAGCTCACACTGAGTCACCCTAGCCACTGCTAAAATATGCAGCTCACACTGAGTCACCCTAGCCACTGCTAAAATATGCAGCTCACCAGCGTCCTCCCCTTCTGTTGACTTCCTTTTTTTATTTTTCTCTGCATGTTTTTGTTGTTGTTTTTTTGGGTCTCTTTTTGTTCCTTCAGTGAGCCACAGTAGTGTAGCAGCTAGATGTTTGTCTCGGGCCTAAAGGTCTTGGGTTCAAATCCACACTGAAACAGATTTGTCTTTCTCCAAAACTGACCTAGGCTTCCAGGTTGGCCCAGCCTAGAAAATGGTAACCAGGTAAAGCCCTAGGAAGTGAAGGCGGCCAGTATATGTTGACCGCATCACCCACAGTGTGTCGATTGGTCTATACAAATATGAGTATAGCATCACATGCCCGATGTCAGACAGGTGTATAAAGGGTGCTCAACGTAATTGACTTTCTATTCCTTCGACCCAGTCAATGATACATTATAGACAACTTCTTCTTCTTGGCAGAGAGATCTGGTTGTTCATTCACTTCTGGACTTTTGTCTGGTTCCAGAACTTGAGTTTTGTGTGCACATCTATTTTACAGATATGGCCCTGTTGTATGCAGACTGTTGGTTCCTTACTTCTTTGGCAGATACACCATGTGTTCAAAGGAAACGCTCTAATTAGTTTGCCTTTTAGGACATGCTTGTTAAGATGCAGAAGGTCTGTTTTCCTCCTAAAATGGGACTCTGGAACCCACACAATATGAAAGTGCTCAAGACCTAATATTAAACTGGTGTTAGGTGTACTGTCCATATGGTGCTAACCCCATATTTGTATGGGTCAATCAGCACTCAATGGGTGATGCCCTCAGTACCACACCGGTGACTTTTACTTTCCAGATCATTTCCCAATACCCACAGTTGGTGTTTGTGGCTTGGAAATTGCAAAAGCGCTTCAGAATGCTGGGATTGATCTGACACACACGATTTAGCAGCAGATCGCAATGCATTGGTTTCGAAAGTTTTGTTTAGTAACAATGGCAAACTACTGGACATAAATTTGCCTAGAAAAGCCACAACAGCCCCAAAAAATGCTGGGTTGGTTCTGCAACGTCCTGTAAAGGAAACACAACTAACCTACTTTCAGGCAGGATTAACCCGAAAGCCAAAGTCAAATTTCTACAGTGTTCTCATTGCCAATTCAAACACATGGTCACTGGCAATTGTGCTAGCTAATGTTAACTAAATATTTAGACAGGGTTACTGACAGCGAACAAAGACCATACACACAAAAACAACAACCAAGGCTTCATAACTTAGTGTCAATACATTCAAAAGTTGGAAAACCTATCTATCTCTTTGACTTCTTCGGCAGTCTGAGCTCCTCAGGTTCACTGCTGCAGATATTATTCCCCTCTATTTACCCCTTTCCAGTTAGTGACTTCAAGTGTTTGTAGGTCTCTCTGAATGTTCTCTTTCCACAATCTTCTTGGTCTGCCTAGTGATCTACTTCCATTCTACTCTTTTGTGGATGTTTTTTGTTTTTTCCTCTCTCTGTTATCTGCCATTCTCTCAATGTGCCCCAGCCATTGCAGTCCACTCATACCATACAAAGCATACATGGAAAAAGAAGAAGAACGTGGAGCACGGGGTAGACCAAGAACAAGATGGAAGGATAACATCAGAGAAATTCTACAACAGCATGGTGTGCCTATACCCTATATCTCCCTCGACACCCACAGCGGTAAAAGAGGAAGTGAAGAAGAAGAAGAAGAAGATTGCAGTCTACTGGCTCTCATGATGCCAGTAATCATTTGGGTTTTAGACAGATATTTTTTTGTCTTCTTCTTAGCTTCCACCCGTTGTTAACTTCGGTGGAAAGTTCTGGATGTTCATTCATTTCTAGACTTTGGTCTTGTTCTAGAACTCAAGTGTTATTCATTTTACAGATCTGGCTTATTTGTATACTGACTGTTGGCTCCTCACTTCTAGATCTGGCTTATTTGTATGCTTACTGTTGGCTACTCACTTCTAGATCTGGCTTATTTGTATGCTGTCTGTTGGCTCCTCACCTCCAGATCTGGCTTATTTGTATGCTGACTGTTGGCTCCTCACCTCCAGATCTGGCTTATTTGTATGCTTACTGTTGGCTCCTCACTTCCAGATCTGGCTTATTTGTATGCTGACTGTTGGCTCCTCACCTCCAGATCTGGCTTATTTGTATGCTTGGCTCCTCACCTCTCTGGCAGAAGCACTTTTGACTTCAGAAAAAATCCACCCATAATTTATCACCTCTTACAACATGATAATTAGGTAGTAGTGGGTCTATTCCTTTCCCACCACAACGGGGCCCCCGGAATAAACATGGGAAACAGATTATAAATTTTGTTGTTGCTACTCACTCTCCATTCCCCAATTCTTTCTCAGGATTATATAAAAGTGTGTTACTTTAAGTGTTAATATGAATATTCCATTCTGGCATTCTTACTTTTGGTTTCGGGCACATGAGAAAATTTGACTGATGGTTCTTTGGCAAAAGGGGGCGGAGACGGCGGGAGATTCACCATGCTGGAAAAAATAAGACTGCTGATGTCCTGACTTGTGATCTGTTGGGGGGAAACAATGGGGGAAAATGGGTTGGTGAAATTAGGTAAACAAACAAAAAATGCATCATCAAAATCATAAGTGAGACCAAAAGTACTATGAACAAATCTAAAGTACAAGATTAAGAGGGCATCTGTGGAGACAGAGAGACAGTAATAGAACTCTATCTTAGAGAAAGTTAAAGTAATGGAAAGAACATTGAAAAAACAATTGTGAGAGACATAGCAGCTGTCATTCATAACTAACTGGTTATATCTGCAGCAGTAATAACTGTCACATTTACCGAGGTATGATTTCAGAAGACAGAACTGTCATACATTAATGACTATGATTTCAGAAGGTAAAACTCATATTTTAATCATTAGGATTTCAGAAGATAAAACTCATATTTTAATCATTACGATTTCAGAAGATAAAACTCATATTTTAATCATTACGACTTTAGAAGGTAAAACTCATCCTAATGGTTAAGAATTCTTCCACTTCGCCTTCACTGCTGTTAAACTCTGGTGAAAAGTTGTGTTTGTTTATTCACTTCTAGACTTTAGTCTTGTTACAGAGCTTGGATTGTGCATGCACATCCATTTTACAGATCTGGCTTATATGTATGCAGACTTTTGGTTTTTTGCCTTTCAGGCAGACACATTCCTACTTTGAAGGAAAAAAAACATAATTAGTTCACTTTTATGATATGCTTGTTAGGGGGAAGTTACTCTATTCTTTTTTCCCTCACAATGAAGACCCGGAACCCACACAGGAAGTTACGATTTCAAAAGGTTAAACTAATATCTTAATGGTTATGATTTCAGAAAATATAAGTCAAATATAACTATTTAAAATTACAAAGGTTAAAACTCATATCTTAATGATATGGTTTCAAAAGGTAAAACTCAGAACTGGTTATTATTTCCTATGGTAAATCTTATATTTCAGAAGTTGAAGAACCTGTTACAACTAACTGGTTATCATTTGAGAAAGTAAAATTTACTATGATTTTATTAATTTGAACTGTTTATCAAACAGGCTGATATATCAGTAGTGACATTTATCATTCTCTTACAGCAGATGCTTTTGCATGAGAAATCATTTCTACCCAGGTCTTTTGTCTCAAGTACTGCAATCATATCTGACCTAGATGTCATCCAGTCGAGTAAACAGTTCTGTCTCAAGTACTGACAATCATATCTGACCTAGATGTCATCCAGTCGAGTAACCAGTAAAGTACTGACAATCATATCTGACCTAGATGTCATCCAGACGAGTAACCAGTAAAGTACTGACAATCATATCTGACCTAGATGTCATCCAGTCGAGTAACCATTTCTGTCTCAAGTACTGACAATCATATCTGACCTAGATGTCATCCAGTCGAGTAACCAGTTCTGTCTCAAGTACTGTCAATCATATCTGACCTAGGTGTCATCCAGTCGAGTAACCAGTACTGTCTCAAGTACTGACAATCATATCTGACCTAGATTTCATCCAGTCGAGTAACCAGTTCTGTCTCAAGTACTGACAATCATATCTGACCTAATTGTCATCCAGTTGAGAACCAACTGTCTCAAGTACTGACAATCATATCTGACCTAGATTTCATCCAGTCGAGTAACCAGTTCTGTCTCAAGTACTGTCAATCATATCTGACCTAAATGTCATCCAGTCGAGTAACCAGTTCTGTCTATAGTACTGTCAATCATATCTGACCTAGATGTCATCCAGTCGAGTAACCGATTGTGTCTCAAGTACTGTCAATCATATCTGACCTAGATGTCATCCAACTGAGTAACCAGTTCTGTCTCAAGTACTATCAACCATATCTGACCTAGATGTCATCCAGTTGAGTAACCGATTGTGTCTCAAGTACTGTCAATCATATCTGACCTAGATGTCATCCAACTGAGTAACCAGTTCTGTCTCAAGTACTGTCAACCATATCTGACCTAGATGTCATCCAGTTGAGTAACCAGTTCTGTCTCAAGTACTGTCAATCATATCTGACCTAGATGTCATCCAACTGAGTAACCAGTTCTGTCTCAAGTACTATCAACCATATCTGACCTAGATGTCATCCAGTTGAGTAACCGATTGTGTCTCAAGTACTGTCAATCATATCTGACCTAGATGTCATCCAACTGAGTAACCAGTTCTGTCTCAAGTACTGTCAACCATATCTGACCTAGATGTCATCCAGTCGAGTAACCAGTTCTGTCTCAAGTACTGTCAATCATATCCGACCTAGGTGTAATCCAGTTGAGTAACCAGTTCTGTCTCAAGTACTGTCAATCATATCTGACCTAGATGTCATCCAACTGAGTAACCAGTTCTGTCTCAAGTACTGTCAACCATATCTGACCTAGATGTCATCCAGTCGAGTAACCAGTTCTGTCTCAAGTACTGTCAATCATATCTGACCTAGGTGTAATCCAGTTGAGTAACCAGTTCTGTCTCAAGTACTGTCAATCATATCTGACCTAGATGTCATTCAGTCGAGCAACCAGTTTTGTCTCAAGTACTGTCAATCATATCTGACCTCTAGACATCCAATCGAGTAACCAGTTCTCGCTGTGAGCTCATTTCTGTCAACAGATTGTTTATTGCACTTGTAATCTGTTTATCTAACAGGAAATAATGTTTACCCATGAAACTTCCCCATGTGATTTACAGGGCCACAGTGTGTGTGTGTGTTTGTTTGTGTGTGTGTGGGGGAGGAGTGGGGAGGCCCCCTGTGACCCTGTGACCCTGTGACCCTAATAAGCAGTTGTAAAAGGCAACTGATTAGTAAAGGACCTGTTTCCATACCTTTCGGCGTATTGGGTATATAGCTTTAGACCTATATTTTATAGACCCAACGGCACCTGGTGGATGATGTGGTCAGCGTCATGCGAACTGTCTTTACTTCCCAGGACTGCACCTGGTACGCACTCAAGGTTGGGTTGACCTGGGAGCCAAGGGTAATTTTTGGGGGAACAAATCTGGTTCTGTCAGGACCCAAACACACCACCTTCCAATCCGTGGGTGAGCGTCAAGCTGCTACACCAGGCGACTCCCTGCGATTAATTAGGGGTGTTTTATTCAAAATTGGCATACATGTGCCTGAAAGGTGAGGAACCAACAGTCTGCATACAAAAAGCAAGATTTGTAAAACAGATGCATAAGCAACAAAAACAAAAAAATCCAATTCTGGAAGAAGATTTAAGTGAACAAACAACTAGTACTTTTTGACCGGAGTTTACAGCTGGGAGATGCTGAGGAGAAGAAGAGACTAGTAAAACTGCCATTCTTCATCGTCTTTTGCATTTGCCCTTAAAAAGATTATTAGCACACTGTGTAGTGGTTTAAAGTCTGGCTGTGATATCTGTGCACTACTGCCCAACACATCCAACTTCACTTCAATGAACCTTTAATTTAGCGTTTTACTAAATGCTTGTTAAGATGCAGTGGCTTCAGTCCCCTCCCACTTCCACTAAAATTAGCTCCCGGAGCCCACATACGAGACATATTCCAAACTGAAATAAATTTCAGCACTAGAGAAGAAAGTCAGAAACAAAGGTAACACACACAATCTGTATACCAAAGGGGTCGCCACTATTGAGACTCCAGCTCCCGTCACATTTGGTAAATTAGTTTCAACAGGACTAATAGTGCTGGCTGCAGTCATGGCAACGGCCGCTGACACATGCGAACTGAAGGCTGACCCCTGGCCAGCTGGCACATGTGAACTGAAGGCTGACTCCTGGCCAGCTCGGGGCTGCTGGTACAAATTAGTGGTGGTCTTGATTGGATTAGCAGACGCCAGCAGAGGCTCCTTTTTCACACTAATGTACGCACCGGGATAAGTTCCTGAAATAACAAATTGATATTAGGGAGAGAAACTAAAGTAAGGTAATCAGTCGCAGTTCCAACTTCACAGTAAACAGGTCAGTCCACAGTTGCCAACAAAAACCACACAAAATATTCATCACCATCTCTTGTTGAAGAAAAAAAAATACAAATGGACACACTGCTGTCTCAGCAAAGCCAACAGCACACACACACACCTTAAATGCCTAAGGCAGTCATTAGAAGTGCCAAAACAAACAGTCTGACAACAGAAATGCAGTTCACCGCTAATGGAAGCAGTAGTCACAATTAATCAATTAGTCAAATGAAATCCGCAACTCATAGTACCATACCACGCACTCAGCTCAGTAGCTAGGTGACGGAACTTTATTTCAGTCTACATATGAAAAAAAATGCCACAGCAAACTATTGTCAGAAACAAAAACATACCATGACTAAAAACAGTAATTCTGCCTATCCATCATACTGTCAGAGAAGGTTTATCCATGTAAACGATGGACAGAAAGGATAACAGAATCCATAGAAACCTCTTTTATAAAACCTACAAAGTGGCATTTTCTTACTGTCTATACTTAACCTTGACACTGCAAGAAACAAGAGGGCTGAGATTAGATAAAGTAAAGGAGGATTTATAAAATTTAGATGAAAACTTATGGTTGCACTCTTGTTTTTTTTTTTTTTTTTTTTACATTAAAAGTTTAAAGTAACGGGCCTATTTTTATGCCATAAGGTTTTGGGGGGAGGGGGAGGCCTAGGGCACCTATCACATACTGATGGGGTAATCATACTTATGGTTAACACTGTCAACATTACACAGATCACATTTGTTTTCAAAATACATGTACAGGACCCTCTTTCATGCTATATGTAGAAAGTATATGTAGAAAGTATATGTAGAAAGTATATGTAGAAAGTATATGTAGAAAGTATATGGTGCTGGCCCCACATTTTTAGAGCAAGGGGAATTCCACGTATGATGTGGTCAACATCAGTTCATCATCCTTACTTCCCTGAAAGGCAGCCGCTCTGGTGTAACAGCTAGACACTCATCTGAAGATCCAAAAGTTATGGGTTCAAGTCCTGATGGAGCCAGACGTTTCTCAAAAATGATCTTGGCTCCCAGGTCGAGTCTGCCTTAAATGGGTACCAAGTAAAGTCTTGGGAAAGAAAGGTGTTGATCACATCACCCACAGAGTGTCGACAGGTCTTTAAAAAATTTTGGTCTAGCCCTATATGCCCAATACTCCTAAAGGCATGGAAAGGGGGTCCTTCCTTTACTCACCTTTTACTTCCTTGGAATCTTTCTGGTTCTCCTTTAGGTTGGGTTAACCTGGGACTTGAGCGCTCCTTCTCAGAGTTACAAATAATAAACACATTTTATCATGTAATGTGCCTCACATGCTGATGGAGACTGACCACTAAAGAATATGCCCAGACTGCACCCCTTTAATTTTGGCAACAGCTAGAGTCAGTCGACGTCTGTGGCTTGGGTGTTGCTAACACGCTTCGCAATGCTGGAATGCTGGTTTTGATCCCAGCTGTTGTCCTTGCTCTGGTTTTTAGAGTGCTATCGAGAAGCTGATCGTCCAGAAAGCAATGGCAAACTACTGGATGTAAACTTGCCTCGAAAAACCACAACAGCCTAAAAATATTGGGGTTGGTTCTGCACCATCCTGTAAAGGATAAGCAACTAGCTTATAGTCAAGTGAAATCACAAGCTGCGGGTACCTGTCAGTCTTTCCAGACGCTATCTGTGCTGTGAGGGGGGCATGGGACTCACAGCCCATGGTGTGTCTAGCAAGAACCACCACATCAGGAAAAGTCTGTAAAACCCGTGAATTTTGATCTAATAACATGATTGCTAGTCAATAGCTAAAGGAGAAGAAATTAGGCAACTTACCATTCTTCAACAGCTCGGCCAGATAAGAAGCCTGAGATGATGGTGATGGGATCAAGGCAGTTTGCTGGAGTGGTGCAGGCGGTGGAGCGGGTGCAATGACACGATTTTTTCGAGACAGGATTAGAGGTTTGGCCTGGCATTCAGAGAAAAGAAAATTAAGCTAACCAGTCTAGTATTACAATAATACATCATACAACCCACCAACATTAGTCTTGTAATACAATGTAATACATTATCAGCAGCTAGGTCTGAAATTCCATAAAGGAAAGACAAAGAAAACGAGATTAAATAAAGCAAATAGTAATGTGGTTTCTCTTAATGGCACCCCACTTCAAGATGTGGAGTCATACACTCATTTGGTCAGTAATGTAGATAAAGATGGGGAAACTGATAGAGTTATTAAAATAAGAATACAGAAGGCATAAGGACTTTCATAGCACTAAGGAATTTGTGGAGGTCAAAAGAAAAACGTAGAATTTTTTTAATTCTAATGTCAAGTTAGTACTTTTGTAGGGGGCGGAAACATGGAGAACAACTAAGGCAATTACTAATAAATTACAGACATTCATTAACTGGTGCCTGTGCAGAATAGAGGGAATTAAATAGTATGGTAGAATCACTAATGTAGAGCTTTGGGAGAGAACTAAGCAAGCTCCAGTGGACCTAGAGGTGAGGAAAAGATGATGGCGTTGGATAGGATACACACTGAGAAAACCGGAGAACAATATAACTAGAATGTCTTTGTATTGGAACCCACAGGGGCATTGGAAAAAAAGAAGGCCAAAAAACACACGAAGAAGGGAGCAAGAGAATGAAGTAAGAAAGATGGGGAAGACATGGGGAGAACTGCATGCGATAGCAAAGGATAGAACAAATTAGCGTGAGTTGGTTGAGGGCCTATGCTCCATTGGGGGCTAGAAAGGTAGAAAAAGTTTAGTATTACAATAATTCATCATACATCTCACCAACACTAGTCTTGTTATACAACAATTCATTATCATTACTCTAATAGTGCAATAATTCAGTATCACTACTTTGGAAATATAACTGCTCAGCAGCCTTAATTTAGTAAGACAACAATTTGCTAGACTATTACATCAACTCAGCATCCCTAGTTTAGTAAGACAACAATTTGCTAGACTATTGCAACAACTCAGCATCCCTAGTTTAGTAAGACAACAATTTGCTAGACTATTGCAACAACTCAGCATCCCTAGTTTAGTAGGACAACAATTTGCTAGACTATTACATCAACTCAGCATCCCTAGTTTAGTGCAATTTGCTAGACTATACATCAACTCAGCTAGTTTAGTAAGACAACAATTTGCTAGACAACAACTCAGCATCCCTAGTTTAGTAAGACAACAATTTGCTAGACTATTACATCAACTCAGCATCCCTAGTTTAGTAAGACAACAATTTGCTAGACTATTACATCAACTCAGCATCCCTAGTTTAGTAAGACAACAATTTGCTAGACTACATTCAGCATCCCTAGTTTAGTAAGACAACAATTTCAGCTATCCCTCAGCATCCCTAGTTTAGTAAGACAACAATTTGCTAGACTATTACATCAACTCAGCATCCCTAGTTTAGTAAGACAACAATTTGCTAGACTATTACATCAACTCAGCATCCCTAGTTTAGTAAGACAACAATTTGCTAGACTATTACAACAACTCAGCATCCCTAGTTTAGTAAGACAACAATTTGCTAGACTATTACATCAACTCAGCATCCCTAGTTTAGTAAGACAACAATTTGCTAGACTATTACATCAACTCAGCATCCCTAGTTTAGTAAGACAACAATTTGCTAGACTATTACAACAACTCAGCATCCCTAGTTTAGTAAGACAACAATTTGCTAGACTATTACAACAACTCAGCATCCCTAGTTTAGTAAGACAACAATTTGCTAGACTATTACAACAACTCAGCATCCCTAGTTTAGTAAGACAACAATTTGCTAGATTATTACAACAACTCAACATCCCTAGTTTAGTAATACAACAATTTGCTAGACTATTGCAACAACTCAGCATCCCTAGTTTAGTAATACAACAATTTGCTAGACTATTACAACAACTCAGCATCCCTAGTTTAGTAATACAACAATTTGCTAGACTATTACAACAACTCAGCATCCCTAGTTTAGTAAGACAACAATTTGCTAGACTATTACATCAACTCAGCATCCCTAGTTTAGTAAGACAACAATCTGCTAGACTATTACAACAACTCAGCATCCCTAGTTTAGAAGGACAACAATTTGCTAGACTATTACAACAACTCAGCATCCCTAGTTAAGTAATACAACAATTTGCTAGACTACTACAACAACTCAGCATCCCTAGTTTAGTAATACAACAATTTGCTAGACTATTACAACAACTCAGCATCCCTAGTTTAGTAATACAACAGTTTGCTAGACTATTACAACAACTCAGCATCCCTAGTTAAGTAAGACAACAATTTGCTAGACTATTACAACAACTCAGCATCCCTAGTTTAGTAATACAACAATTCAGTATACCTAGTCTGAAATACAACAATTCCCCAACACTTGTCAAGTAACGACATTTCTCTAGACTGAGTATGAGTTAAAAGAAAAAAAATTAATTTGCTAACTGCCAACTAATAACAAAAACGGATCTCTACTAAGACCTTGATTTTGTTCACGCTGACTAAGTGTTCTTCTTAAGGTAGTCTGTGTTAATGAGGTTTTACTGTAGTTTTACTGTATACAAATTATTGTATGATTCGTCATCACCAATCCAGGCACAGAACAATTCAGCATTACTTGTCCAGGCACAGAACAATTCAGCATTACTTGTCCAGGCACACAACAATTCAGCATCACAAGCCCAGGCACAGAACAATTCAACATCACTAGTCCAGGCACAGAACAATTCAACAATTCATCACTAGTCCAGGCACAGAACAATTCAACAATTCATCACTAGTCCAGGCACAGAACAAATCAACATCACTAGTCCAGGTACAGAACAATTCAGCGTCGCTAGTCCAGGCACAGAACAATTCAACATCACTAGTTCAGGCACAGAACAATCCAGCATCACTAGTCCAGGCACAGAACAATTCAACATCACTAGTCCAGGCACAGAACAATTCAGCATCACTAGTCCAGGCACATAACAATTCAACATCACTAGTCCAGGCACAGAACAATTCAACATCACTAGTCCAGGCACAGAACAATTCAACATCACTAGTCCAGGCAAGGAACAATCCAGCATCACTAGTCCAGGCACAGAACAATTCAACATCACTAGTCCAGGCACAGAACAATTCAACATCACTAGTCCAGGCACAGAACAATTCAACATCACTAGTCCAGGCACAGAACAATTCAACATCACTAGTCCAGGCACAGAACAATTCAACATCACTAGTCCAGGCACAGAACAATTCAACATCACTAGTCCAGGCACAGAACAATCCAGCATCACTAGTCCAGGCACAGAATAATTCAGCATTACTAGTCCAGGTACAGAACAATTCAGCATCACTAGTCCAGGCACAGAACAATCCAACATGACTAGTCCAGGCACAGAAAAATTCAGCATTACTAGTCCAGGTACAGAACAATCCAGCATCACTAGTCCAGGCACAGAACAATTCAACAATTCATCACTAGTCCAGGCACAGAACAATTCAACATGACTAGTCCAGGCACAGAACAATTCAGCATCACTAGTCCAGGCACAAAACAATTCAACAATTCATCACTAGTCCAGGCACAGAACAATTCAACATGACTAGTCCAGGCACAGAACAATTCAGCATCACTAGTCCAGGCACAAAACAATTCAACAATTCATCACTAGTCCAGGCACAGAACAATTCAACATCACTAGTCCAGGCACAGAACAATTTAACATCACTAGTCCAGGCACAGACTGACAGACTAATAGACTAGACTAATATCTGTATAGATCAACTGGCACTCTGTAGATGATGTGATCAAGAGCATGTTGGCTACTTTTACTTCCCATGATATTGCCTGTTACCCATTTTAGGCTGGATTAACTTGGGAGGCAAAGTATTTTTTTTTTTTAAATCCTACTTGATGCAGATTCGAATGCAAGACCTTCGGGTCAGCATCCAAGTTTATAGCCTACATTGCTCCCACTGAGAATAAATCAAGCAAATAACAGCCTATTTTCTTTAGTGAAACTTCATTTGAGGAGGTGGAATTGTACACATATTGACCATATTTGTCAATGTGTAAGACGCTCCCTTGTAAAAGATGCATCCCCAAAAACTAAACTTAATTTTCCTAGAAAAACTCAAATGAATTAATCTCTAATTCCAGCCACATTGCATTTTTTCGCATTGCGCAGGCTTGCCTTTGTTCATTTTGTTGAAAACATCATATGGAGACCATCCCAGCCTTGTGGTCTTTTCTATTGTTGTAGGTCTGAAATAATGCTCTGCTGTTCTTTTGCCATGTTCTTTGCTGTATAAGACAGCCTAATTTTGAAGCCTTTTTTTAGAGCATAAAAGTGTGTGCCTTATACGCCAACAAATAAGGTAGGTAATAATGTGGATGTACATAGAACAGACTGAGATAAAATAAGAATATAAGAGGCAAAAGGAGTTTCACAGCCCCGTGAAATGTGTAGAAGTGTTGAGAAACAGAATATCAACCTCAGAATGTTAAATCCGCCATTAAGCTGCAGCTAGAAGCCTGTCTTGGGCCTTAAGACTGCGAGTTAAAATCCAGTCTTTTTTATTTAAATGATTGACACATACACAATAATACAAAACCACTTACGGCAGGAACAGTAAACGGGCCATCCTTTTTCTTGTGATTGCCAGATGACAGTGGTTTAGACTGACTTGATCCAGCACCTACAGAGTCGTTACTTGCAGTGTTCTTGTTCACTTTGTTGACTTTATTAGACTTTCTGTGTGTGTGGGTGGGCTGGGCTGCTGTCTGGGGCTGCTTCTGCTGGACGTGCTGTTGAATGGAGAGGGACTGCGCAAGGATGGGACTCTGTGATGCGATGCTCGGCTGATAAATGCGTTGCTGCAAATTTTGTGACCGGCCTTGTTGACTTAATGATGGTGCTGGCTGGATTGGTGTGGGCGACTGCAGTTGTGAATCTTTCTTCCGTGTGGCCATCTCAGGCGGCCGTCGCTGCAGCAACTGAGTCAGCAAGTCTGATGAACAGGTGGCAGCAGGAGTTGATAAAGTCTTCCGTGAATTATTAGGGGGTGTGTTGACCATGTTCTGGATATTGCCGTAAAGCTCCGAGGGCACAACTGTGAAAGTCTGTGGAGAGTCCTGCGAAAACTGTGTTCTCAATAAAACTGTTGCAGGATCAAACTGGTAATGACCAGTTGATGTCAACTGTAACATAATGTTCTGAGGCGTGCTCACATTTCCGCACATAAAAGAGGTTGTGTTGTTACTGCCAAGAGCTGTAGTTGCAGAAGCATCTACTAGTCCTGCAGATGTGTTGATGGTACCAGAAATGCTGCCAGATGGATAGGAAAGAAAGTTTTCCAGCGAGATGTCCCCATTCTGGATGCTCCCCTGTTTAAATGTTTGATAAAATGAAAAAGAAATTTCAATTGAAATGTTATAACATACATTCAATAAGCAAGTAGCATAGTTTAGAGTTTGACCATTAATTTCAAAGACTAACATTTTAGTATACAGGTATGTGGCCAGACGTTCACCTGCCAGCCAAAAGGTCTTGGCTTTCTTCTCAGTGTTCCCCGGCTGTTAACTCCTCTGAAAAGTTCTGGTTGTTCGTCCACTTCTAGACTTTGGTCTTGTTTCAAAACTCGAGTTTTGCATGCGTGATCATTTTACAGATCTGGCTTAAGAATGTTGGCTTCTCATATCTCAGGCAGACGCATTAGGATTCTGAAGAAAACATGGTAAAAATAACATTGCTCCCCCCATTTACACAGTGTTACACACTAGCTCACTTCTGACTGGTCGGACTTTGAGCCACACAACCTTGGCACAAGGTGACAGGGGTGTTTCCCAATGCCGCTGATATCATGTGTTCTATATTTCAGCATCCCACCTCTTTTAAAACTCCAAAAACATCAACAAACTGGGTCTAACACACAACCCCTTTAGAGAGTGATGAAACCTATGTCACAGGCATTCTCTTTCTCGGAATAAAAACGTAAACGCAAGACATTCCAGAAAGCAAACAACAGAGCGGCACATCCGAAACGTCCAGCAAGTTAGACCAGTCCAACAAAGTTTTTAATGGAAAGTGACCTACTTTTTCTGGGGAGACTATTGTAACACTTACCGAAACATCAATAATTAGAACATTCCCAGACATGCATGTGGAGAAAAAACAAAGGGGGGGGGGGGGGGGGGGGTTGGGAGGGGGGTGTTAATTCCCCCCCCCCCTCTCCAACCCCCAAAATAGGACCCTGGAAACTACATGTGGAGGTCTTGGGTTTGAATCCAGAATAAGTCCGACTTTTTTAAACCCTTTTTTCTTTTTTTCAAATCCCTGGTTGACCCAGCCTAAAATGTATACAAGGTCCTGGAAAGTTGAGGCAGCTGGTGTGATGCTGATCTTTAAAGATATGAGTCGAGCATCATATGCCCCATGCGAAACTGGCGCAAAAAATGGTCCTCCGCCGCATGCTTTTTAATTTTAATGATTAAAGACATAGGTATACGCACAACTTACACGTGGAAAAAACGCTGCACGTTGGAAAAAGGAAAGAATGAATAACAAGATGTTGTTATTTAAGACCAAAAAAAAAAACTTTTTTAAATCCAATACCAATTACAAGAAATATGTTAAGTTATACGGTTAACTTACCAACAACAACCAACAAATTCAATAATTTGAGAAAGATACAGAACACTGAAACTGTCCTTAGGCATTTATGAATTACAATTACAAATTCTATCAGTGTTTCTTTTTCCATATAATTTATTCCAGCTTTACCCTCAACCTATATTTCTCTCTATCCCTCTCCTTCCCTCTTTCTCCTTCCTCCTCCTGACTGCTCAATTAAAAAAAAAAAAAAAAACTTGAACCACTTCAAATATTATAATCCCTCATTCCTAAGTACACAATCTAAGTCTATGTAATGCTCTTCCTATTCTCTTTCAGCACACAAGGACAGTTCTATTCCTGGCAACTTACCAGACTCAGGTCAATATTTGGAGAAGAGTCTGTAGCAAATGTTGAAGACAGTGATGATGGTATTCTTGAGGAGAACAATTCTGAAATATTAAAAGTGTCCCTTTTGTAATGACTTTAAGCAACTTTATTAAAAACTTGGGCTATCCTCTGAATAACGGTCCCAAATTATTGAGGCCGAAAATATACCATAACAGGGCCTCAGTAACATGTAAATTGCGGACTTCCGCCACCGCCAAGAGTATCTCCCACGCAGCTACGCGCGGCGTGGAGTGGGGCTAAACTAGACAGCTGGGACTCACGAGCAAATAAAATTAAAGAAGCTGCAGGAGATGCGGTAGCTGCTGCTCGTGAGTCCCAGCCATCTATCTTGTTTCGCCCCGGCTTGGGAGATACTCTCGGCGGTGGCGGTAGTCGCCGGAAATGCGCAATTTAAGTCCCTGGAAGTCTGCAATTTACGTGTGACTGAGGCCCTGTTAAGGTATATTTTCGGCCTTGATAATTTGGGATCGTTATTCTGAAGATAGCCAAAACTTGATTTTGTTATTATTCATTCAAAGTCAGCAGTGGGCAACACTATCAACTTCCTAGCTTGTTCAGTTGAAATCAATATGGGAGGGGCTTTTTTCTCTGAATCTGAGCCATCGTGCAGAGTAGCTAGAATTTAGAGGTTTAGGTCCATTAAGCTCTACCCTGACAATGTTTAAGTGAATTAGTTTAATCACTAGCTATAAGTCAACAAGTTAAATCACCAGCTAAAAGAGAAAGAGTTAAATCACCAGCTCTAAGCAAAAGAGTTAAATCACAAGCTATAAGCAAAAGAGTTAAATCACTAGCTATAAGGAAAAGAGTTAAATCACTAGCTATAAGTGAAAGAGTTAAATCACTAGCTATAAGCGAAAGAGTTAAATCACTAGCTATAAGTGAAAGAGTTAAATCACTAGCTATAAGGAAAGAATAAAATCACTAGCTATAAGCAAAAGAGTTAAATAACTAACTAAAAATGAAAGAGTTAAAAGACCAACTATAACTGAAAGAGTTTTAAATGAATAACTATAAATGAAATAGTTAAATGACCATCCATAACTAAAACAGTTAAAAGACTAACTATGACTGAAAGAGATAAAAGACTAACTATAACTGAAAGAGATAAAAGACTAACTGTAACTGAAAGAGATAAAAGACCAACTATAACTGAAAGAGATAAAAGACCAACTATAACTGAAAGAGTTAAAAGATTAACTAGAACTGAAAGAGTTAAAAGATTAACTTGAACTGAAAGAGTTAAAAGACCAACTCTGAAAAATCAGGCCCTGGAACCCATTCAAGGAAAAACTCCAACACGACAATATTTAGGTTTAAATTTTTTGTTTATGTGAGGACAGAACAACACAGTCAGCATTACCTATTTCAATTACCCCTGAAGTATCCAGCAGAGATAATGGTCTGTGACAAGCTGCTAATAAATGACATAAGTAAATACCCTTACATGTTGACTGATAATTAAACTCTGAAACAAATGATCTCCGGCTTTAAGCAAACACCCCTATTTAGCTGCCCTTTAGGACATGCGTTAGAGGGGCAGGGGGTTTATTCTTCTCCCCCCAAACTGGGCCCGGTACCCACACACTGAGACTGACAGATGAAAAGGGGGAAGGGGTGGGAGAGCGGGGTGTGTGTGTGTGTGTGGGGGGGGGGGGGGTATAAAAAGAAATATAGAAGAAAGAAGAACATCTTCACACACAAAAAGAGGAGATTTATGTTTTTTGTTTTTGCTTACCTTGCATGGAATCTGTGTCCATGAACTCCTCAAGGTTAGGTTGCAGCTGAACCAACCCTGGCTGGATGAAGTCAGCATATCCCAGTTGACCTGAGGGCAAAAAAGCAACGACAAAACGTCACTGTTATTTACTTCTTCATCTCATCATCATCATATCATCATGTATCTAGTCAATAAGTCTAGAAATTTCAGCATTCCAACGTACCGCGATCGAAACCTACTGCTAACTGCATGGATTTGTATCATGGTATGGGGCGTCGCAGATAAACCCAGATTAAAATGGGTACCAGGATGCGTGTCCTAGGGAAGTAAAGAGGCAAGCGTACAGCTGACTACATTACCCGCCTAGTGCTGATAGGGCTGTAAAAATATGGGTGCTTTTGCCACATGCCTGATGTGCCTAAAGACGTGAAAAGGGATCTCTACTTTTACTGTCTGTTACTTCTGAACGACTACTTCAGCTGTTTTCCTTTTTGTCAATAATATTCTTTACATTCTGATTGGAAAGCAAGTTTTGAATGCAATTCAAAGTTGTTCAGCTTGTCTGCATATTGCCAATGTTAAACTTGTATACACCAGTCTCCTTTTTCTGCTGCTGTCCCACTGCTGTTGTCCCACTGCTGTTGTCCCACTGCTTTTATCCCACAGCTTATGCTGTAAAGTGTCGAAAAGAGGGAGAGGAGTCAATGTAGTTTCCTGTCGTTTGCTAGTTATGTAGCTGCCTTAATGTCATATTGCATTTTTGTAATGTCTCTTATACTCCCTCCCTTCACTTATCTTTATCATTCTGCATTTATTTCCCCAATGGCATGAGTACCACAACATTTAGAAAGCAATGGCAAACTAATGAATATAAAATTGCCTAGTAAAACCATACAGTAATTAATGAATGTTGGGGTAGGTTTGCAATTTACTGAAGAGGATATACAAGTAATGACACAGATATTTTAACAGCAACACTACAAAAACATGAATCAAATATATCAAACTCACTTAGCTCTCTTGGGTTAGGAAATGCAAATGGTTGGTTCAAATTTGCAAAGAGTTCATTGGTGAAGTCCATGTCCATCATGTCGGCTTGCAGCAGATTTAAATCAGTATTGGATACATAGCTTCCAGAACTGTGAGGGATAAACGTCACATCCTTGACTCTCTCCAAGAGCTCCCTCTCATTCAGAGAGCGATTTTCTAGAAAATAAATATGCTGCTGACTCCGAATGCGGTCTTTGAAATATCGCCGCCATTTTTTGTACTCTGCAGTGACAGTGTCGAGCTGCCTCTTCCAGTACTTTCCTTCTAACACTACAGCCTGTAAATATATTAGATATTTGATAATATGTACACAAATTATGTAATCATAACGAATAATCTTACTGTACAATGTAAACCGATAAGATAAAAATAAGGCAGAAACTGCAGACCTCACAGACAGTGGTGTACCCTATACAGATAACAATCATAATGACAATGTTCTGAAAGACAACTCACACAGAAAACTGATCATCTTCACCATAAGGAATCATTCTACATTCTCTGGTCACATTATGAGAAGTAGAAAACTGGATGGGAAGAGGAGCCCTGAGAGATCAAGACAGAAGTGCTGGACAGATTGGTATAATGACACTGAAGGACAGCTATATCATAAATGACCGACAGTACGTGTGACAGAACTGTACTAAGAAGACATCTGGAGCAAACAAGGTGATAATATTCTGAAAAGTACTAACGAACATTGAAAAGTGCTTAACGTAAAACAGAAGTGAAAGTTGTAGTATGGCCATAATGGGCCAGAGATGTGTCAGTAAATGCATGTATATCACTAAAGAAGACAAACAGTAGCTAGCCAGAAAGAGATGTGTCAGTGTATACATGTATATCACTAAAGAAGACAAACAGTAGCTAGCCAGACAGAGATGTGTCAGTAAATGCATGTATATCACTAAAGAAGACAAACAGTAGCTAGCCAGAAAGAGATGTGTCAGTGTATACATGTATATCACTAAAGAAGACAAACAGTAGCTAGCCAGACAGAGATGTGTCAGTGTATACATGTATATCACTAAAGAAGACAAAACAGTAGCTAGCCATACAGAGATGTGTCAGTAAATGCATGTATATCACTAAAGAAGACAAACAGTAGCTAGCCAGAGATGTGTCAGTGTATACATGTATATCACTAAAGAAGGCAAACAGTAGCTAACCAGAGATGTGTCAGTGTATACATGTATAGCACTTAAGACAAAAAGTAGCTAGCCATACAGAGATGTGTCAGTGTATACATGTATAGCACTAAGGAAGGAAAAAGTAGCTGGCCATACAGAGATGTGTCAGTGTATACATGTATATCACTAAAGAAGGCAAACAGTAGCTAACCAGAGATGTGTCAGTGTATACATGTATAGCACTTAAGACAAACAGTAGCTAGCCAGACAGAGATGTGTCAGTAAATACATGTATAGCACTTAAGACAAACAGTAGCTAGCCAGACAGAGATGTGTCAGTAAATACATGTATAGCACTTAAGACAAACAGTAGCTAGCCAGACAGAGATGTGTCAGTAAATACATGTATAGCACTTAAGACAAACAGTAGCTAGCCAGACAGAGATGTGTCAGTAAATACATGTATAGCACTTAAGACAAACAGTAGCTAGCCAGACAGAGATGTGTCAGTAAATACATGTATAGCACTTAAGACAAACAGTAGCTAGCCATACAGAGATGTGTCAGTAAATACATGTATAGCACTAAAGAAGACAAACAGTAGCTAGCCATACAGAGATGTGTCAGTAAATACATGTATAGCACTAAAGAAGACAAACAGTAGCTAGCCATACAGAGATGTGTCAGTAAATACATGTATAGCACTAAAGAAGACAAACAGTAGCTAGCCATACAGAGATGTGTCAGTAAATACATGTATAGCACTAAAGAAGACAAACAGTAGCTAGCCATACTGAGATGTGTCAGTAAATACATGTATAGCACTAAAGAAGACAAACAGTAGCTAGCCATACAGAGATGTGTCAGTAAATACATGTATAGCACTAAAGAAGACAAACAGTAGCTAGCCATACAGAGATGTGTCAGTAAATACATGTATAGCACTAAAGAAGACAAACAGTAGCTAGCCATACTGAGATGTGTCAGTAAATACATGTATAGCACTAAAGAAGACAAACAGTAGCTAGCCATACTGAGATGTGTCAGTAAATACATGTATAGCACTAAAGAAGACAAACAGTAGCTAGCCATACTGAGATGTGTCAGTAAATACATGTATAGCACTAAAGAAGACAAACAGTAGCTAGCCATACTGAGATGTGTCAGTAAATACATGTATAGCACTAAAGAAACAAACAGTAGCTAGCCATACTGAGATGTGTCAGTAAATACATGTATAGCACTAAAGAAGACAAACAGTAGCTAGCCATACTGAGATGTGTCAGTAAATACATGTATAGCACTAAAGAAGACAAACAGTAGCTAGCCATACTGAGATGTGTCAGTAAATACATGTATAGCACTAAAGAAGACAAACAGTAGCTAGCCATACTGAGATGTGTCAGTAAATACATGTATAGCACTAAAGAAGACAAACAGTAGCTAGCCATACTGAGATGTGTCAGTAAATACATGTATATCACTAAAGAAGACAAACAGTAGCTAGCCATACTGAGATGTGTCAGTAAATACATGTATATCACTAAAGAAGACAAACAGTAGCTAGCCATACTGAGATGTGTCAGTAAATACATGTATAGCACTAAAGAAGACAAACAGTAGCTAGCCATACTGAGATGTGTCAGTAAATACATGTATATCACTAAAGAAGACAAACAGTAGCTAGCCATACTGAGATGTGTCAGTAAATACATGTATAGCACTTAAGACAAACAGTAGCTAGCCATACTGAGATGTGTCAGTAAATACATGTATAGCACTAAAGAAGACAAACAGTAGCTAGCCATACAGAGATGTGTCAGTAAATACATGTATATCACTAAAGAAGACAAACAGTAGCTAGCCATACAGAGATGTGTCAGTAAATACATGTATAGCACTGAAGAAGACAAACAGTAGCTAGCCATACAGAGATGTGTCAGTAAATACATGTATAGCACTAAAGAAGACAAACAGTAGCTAGCCATACAGAGATGTGTCAGTAAATACATGTATATCACTAAAGAAGACAAACAGTAGCTAGCCATACAGAGATGTGTCAGTAAATACATGTATAGCACTGAAGAAGACAAACAGTAGCTAGCCATACAGAGATGTGTCAGTAAATACATGTATAGCACTTAAGACAAACAGTAGCTAGCCAAACAGAAATGTGTCAGTAAATACATGTATAGCACTAAAGAAGACAAACAGTAGCTAGCCATACAGAGATGTGTCAGTAAATACATGTATAGCACTAAAGAAGACAAACAGTAGCTAGCCATACAGAGATGTGTCAGTAAATACATGTATAGCACTAAAGAAGACAAACAGTAGCTAGCCATACAGAGATGTGTCAGTAAATACATGTATAGCACTAAAGAAGACAAACAGTAGCTAGCCATACAGAGATGTGTCAGTAAATACATGTATAGCACTAAAGAAGGTAACAGTAGCTAGCCATACAGAGATGTGTCAGTAAATACATGTATAGCACTGAAGAAGGAAACATTAGCTAGCCAGACAGAAATGTGTCATTAAATACATGTATAGCACTAAAGAAGACAAACAGTAGCTAGCCATACAGAGATGTGTCAGTAAATACATGTATAGCACTAAAGAAGACAAACAGTAGCTAGCCATACAGAGATGTGTCAGTAAATACATGTATAGCACTTAAGACAAACAGTAGCTAGCCAAACAGAAATGTGTCAGTAAATACATGTATAGCACTAAAGAAGACAAACAGTAGCTAGCCATACAGAGATGTGTCAGTAAATACATGTATAGCACTGAAGAAGGAAACATTAGCTAGCCAGACAGAAATGTGTCATTAAATACATGTATAGCACTAAAGAAGACAAACAGTAGCTAGCCATACAGAGATGTGTCAGTAAATACATGTATAGCACTGAAGAAGACAAACAGTAGCTAGCCATACAGAGATGTGTCAGTAAATACATGTATAGCACTGAAGAAGGAAACATTAGCTAGCCAGACAGAAATGTGTCAGTAAATACATGTATAGCACTGAAGAAGACAAACAGTAGCTAGCCATACAGAGATGTGTCAGTAAATACATGTATAGCACTGAAGAAGGTAACAGTAGCTAGCCATACAGAGATGTGTCAGTAAATACATGTATAGCACTACCATGTTCCAGTTGTAGGAAAAATTAGAATAAAACTAAAGAACATTAGAAAAACACCACAGAACATCAAGTTAAATTTAGGAATTCTTAGAACGGATAAAGAAATTAAGGAACAGTACAATGTCACTGTACAAAACCGGTATAATGCAAAGGAAATTATACAGACTACTGATGAACAGTGGGATATGTTGCGTGAGTCAATTCAGCAGACATCAAAAGAGACAATCCCACCAACCCATAGAGTTGCAAAAAAGAAATGGATGTCAACTGAAATTCTGCAGTTGATGGATGAAAGAAGGAAGAAAAAGAATGATAAAGAAGAATACTCTAGAATGCAAAAAGAAATAGTGAACAAATGCAAAGTGGCTAAAGAAGCCTGGCTGAATCAAATGTGCACAGAGATTGGGGAAAATCACAGGAAAGACTCACATTCCATGTACCAACAGATAAATACGTTAACAGGAAAGATGACACATAACAGCACTGGATGTTTGAAATCAAAAGATGGTGACTTATTAATGGGACATAGTAATATAATTAACAGATGGACAGATTATATAGGGGAATTGTATGATGATAATAGACCAGACGTAGAACTGCAGACCAACAATGATGGTCCACCAATAATGACTGGAGAAGTTGATGATGCAATACATCATATGAAGAAAGGAAAAGCACCTGGGCCAGACAACATCTCACTGGAAGAAATCGAAGCACTGGGAAATTTTGGAACTGAAATGATAACTAAACTTTTAAATTTTATTTATAATGGTGGGTATATTCCAAATGACCTTTTAAAATCCATATTTATAGCTCTGCCAAAGAAACCAGGCACTTTAAAATGTGAAGACCATCGCACAATAAGTCTTATGAGTCACATGACTAAGATTTTACTGAGAATAATTATGAGAAGAATAAGAAACAAAATTAAACCAGAAATCAGCGATGAACAATCCGGATTTGTAGAAGGAAAAGGTACAAACAATGCCATATACATCCTAAGGACATTGTCAGAAAGAGCTATAGAAGTAAAGACTGATTTGTACTTATGCTTCCTAGACTATACAAAAGCATTTGGCTGTGTGAAGCATGAAGAAGTAATCAAACTGTTAGAAAAATTAAACATTGATGGGAAAGATCTACGAATAATAAAGAATATGTATTGGCAGCAAACAGCAGCTATAAGAATTAACAACTGTTTAGGTACATTTCAAAGCATAAAGAGGGGCGTACGACAAGGATGTGTACTTTCACCTGATTTATTTTCAATATACAGTGAATATATAATGAGATCTTTAATTGATATACCCGGAATTGTGGTTGGTGGGCACAATATAAACTATTTACGTTTTGCTGATGACACAGTTTTGATAGCAACAAGTCAGAAAGAATTATAGGAAATGATAGACATTGTGGCGTTAGAAAGTGGAAGAATGGGCCTCAGTTTGAATAATGGTAAGCCAGAAGTAATGGTGGTATCAAAGAAACAAATTATTCCTAAATGTGTAATAAAAGTCAATGGTGTTATTTTGGGACAGGTACAGAAATTTAAGTATCTGGGAACATGAATAACATCAGATGGAAGATGCATAACTGAAATAAGAAACAATTGGACAGGCAAAAACTGCATTTTATAAAATGAAAAACATCTTGTGCAATATGTCCTTGTCATTGAAAGTTAGAAAAAGAATTCTTGCTTGCTACATACATCCAGTTTTAACATATGGCTGTGAATCCTGGACAATCTGTAGGCAGGTCAAACAATTTTTAGAGGCCTCAGAGATGTGATTTTACAGAAGAATGCTTAGAATACCTTGGACAGCCAAATAGAGCAACCAAGAGGTTTTGAAAGAGGCGGGAGCCCGAAGACAACTTATCACAGACATCAGAAGGAGACAGTCATCATTTTTCGGCCATGTTATGAGAAGAGGAAAAATAGAACATGTTGTGACCACTGGAAAGATCTGTGGAAGGAGGGATAGAGGAAGACAACGAGAGAAGATGCTTGACAGTCTTGTTGCATGGCATGGAGGTGTATCAGCACACGAACTGATACATGCTGCAGGAGATCGCAGATTATGGAGAGGCATAATCGCCCACGCCAGTCGGCAAGGCACCTGATGATGATGATGATAGCACTAAGAGATGAGATGCCTGAGAAAAGCAGCAAACCTAACCATTGAAGATCGAGTGAATAATGAAACTATCAGGCAAATTGTGGGAATGACACCTTGTACTAGATTCATCGAGAAACAGCAGACTAAGTGGTTTGGCCATCTGGTTAGAATGCAGCAATATCAAATACCATCACAAGCACTACATCTCAGAAGATCAGCTACAAGAGCAAGAAGACGGCCACATAAAAATGGATTGACAACATTAAAGACACTCTACGCCTTCACAGCATGACAATAGCCAGTGGCAGCCAACGTGCAAATTATTCCTCCCCACGACGCTTAACGGCAGAAGTGGTTTATCATGATGATGATGATGATTGCACTAAAGAAGACAAACAGTAGCTAGTGATACAGAGATGTGTCAGTGTATAGCACCAAATTTGCTTCTGTGCTGCATAAAGATAGGAAAACATATAATAACTAACTAGCCTTGTGAGTAATGTCTACAATATATTTTTAACAAAAGTAAACACTGTGCATTTCCAGTAGGGGTTCTGGGGCTCTATTATGGAGAAAAAATAATTACAGAACCACTGCCCCTCCCTCCCCCCAACATGTTGTTTGTAGGAGGCGACTAATTAAGGGTGTTTATGTCAAAGTCAGAGTACATCTGCCTGAGAGGCAAGGAATCAACAGTCCGGATACAAATAAGCCAGATCTTTCAACTGGATGTGCATGCAAAACTTAAGTTCTGGATCAACACCAAAGTCCAAGAGTGGACAAACAACTGGAGCTTTCAGCTGGAGTTTATAGCTGGTGAACGCTAAGAAGAAAAAGTAGAAAAGTCAACACTGTGCACCTCTAATACAAGCGAGAAGAACCATAGATAGATAGATAGATAGATAGATAGATAGATAGATAGATAGATAGATAGATAGATAGATAGATAGATAGATAGATAGATAGATAGATAGATAGATAGATAGATAGATAGATAGATAGATAGATAGATAGATAGATAGATAGATAGATAGATAGATAGATAGATAGATAGATAGATAGATAGATAGATAGATAGATAGATAGATAGATAGATAGATAGATAGATAGATAGATAGATAGATAGATAGATAGATAGATAGATAGATAGATAGATAGATAGATAGATAGATAGATAGATAGATAGATAGATAGATAGATAGATAGATAGATAGATAGATAGATAGATAGATAGATAGATAGATAGATAGATAGATAGATAGATAGATAGATAGATAGATAGATAGATAGATAGATAGATAGATAGATAGATAGATAGATAGATAGATAGATAGATAGATAGATAGATAGATAGATAGATAGATAGATAGATAGATAGATAGATAGATAGATAGATAGATAGATAGATAGATAGATAGATAGATAGATAGATAGATAGATAGATAGATAGATAGATAGATAGATAGATAGATAGATAGATAGATAGATAGATAGATAGATAGATAGATAGATAGATAGATAGATAGATAGATAGATAGATAGATAGATAGATAGATAGATAGATAGATAGATAGATAGATAGATAGATAGATAGATAGATAGATAGATAGATAGATAGATAGATAGATAGATAGATAGATAGATAAATAGATAGATAGATAGATAGATAAATAGTCAGTCAATAGATTATCCTCACTGCACATACAACCACTCAGTCCCCAAGAGCTTGGATCCCCTTCCCCTTCCCCCCAGTAAATCCTGCAGTGTGTAGCGGCTGATGACACCAGTTCTGTGTTGATTTCTTATTCTTCTTTGGCTTCCTGCATACTGCTCTTTTCTGGGCACATCACCTTTAACATGTTGTGCTTGCAGTCTGGTAGAATCATAGATAGAGCTGATGTAATCAATACTGTACCAAACATACCGGTGGTGTTTAATGAGTCTAATCCTGATCTAAGAAGGAGAAGATCCTTAACCTGACAAGTCGTGCAAGTAAAGTCACGCAAAGCATGTCTACGTCTATACCATCTAAGAGGTCCAAATAGGAGATAAAACCAACCTAATTTGAGAACTGTTGTTTAAAGCACATTGTGATTGGAAATGCCATATGTGTAATCTTTTTCTTCTTCTTCACATTCCCTGCTGGTGGAAAGTTCTGGTTGTTCATTCACCTCTGGATGTTAGTCTTGTTTCAGAAACTGAGTGTTGTGTGCATATCCATTTTACAAATCTGCCTTATCTGTGTGCAGACTGTTGGTTTCTTGCCTCTCAAGTAGATGCACTGACTTTAAAGAAAGTTCCCGATTAGTCTACTCCTTGGACATGCTTGTTAGGGAGGCAGTGGGTCTTTTCTTCTTGTCCCCACAATGGGACCCCAGAACCCACACGAGAAACATGTGCAATGACATCAATCTTCATAAAATTGTATCACTGTGCACCAAATACTATCAAACTATGAAAAAAAAAAAATCTCACCTCTGGTTTTGAATGAATATGATCTGACAATGGCACAGCAAACTGGCAAACAATTGGGGGCTTGCCATAGATATCTGGAAACAACAAACACAGGTTAAAAATTGTTTACAAAATTATATGCCACTTCCACAATGAAGGTTGGCTGCAGTGTACCACTGTGGTCTTTGAGAACATGAAATGGTGAAGCCTCAATCTCTTGTTAAATGTTGAAATCACAGCACTCAGGAGACTCCCATAAGTGCTCAGTCCCCATCTTCAGCAGCAAGCAAAGAATTCCAGTTCTGATGGCACCAGTAACCATCTGAGTGTATATCCGTCTCATCCTTCCCCTGGTAACTCCTTGCAGCGCCATTCTTCTCAGACCGTAATGATCTATCTGCGCCTCCAACTCTGTTCACCCGTTCTTAAAGGGCCCTCACAATATCTAACTTGTCATACATCAATTCACCACCAAGTGGTGCAGAGCCAGCAAGTTTATCTGCCTGCTCATTTCCCAAAACAATGGCATGACCAGGATAAAATATCCAAAGGATGCTACCCGGGACCTTTCAAGTGATACTTGCCACTCTGCACGGAGCATGTATTATAAATGCATCAAGGAGCAAGTAAGCAGTTTTAGAACATCTTTAAAAAAAACGCCTAAAGGAAACTGATGAACGTTAAATCAGATGATCCCCGTGGTGGTTTAGGAACCTCCACTGTGGGGAAAACAAGAACAGACCCACCGCCTACCGAATAGACATGTCATAGAAGTCGACTAATTAAAAACTTCCCTTGCCTGACATGCAATAAACCAACAGTCTGCATGCAAGTGAGTCAGACCTGTGAAATGGATCTGCATGTAACACTCAGTTTCTGGAACAATGCTGGTGTCCAGAAGTAGACGAACAAGCAGAACTTTCCACCTTTCAGCCAGTCAGCGCAAAGAAGAAATCAGATCAATTCAAGAAAGCTGAAGAAAACAACAAACTATCAGGACAACTGTTAGTATAAACAGGTATCAGACACAAAATATAGTAACATACTGGACACATCATAATAAGAAATGGACAGAGAATCACTAAGCAAGCAGTGAAATGGGAAACAACTGGACTGAGGAAATGAGAACCTCAAAGAGAAACTATACTGAATGTAGAATTAAGAAACTCTGGACACTCCCATAAGCGCTCTGTCCTATCTTCAGCAGCAAGCGAAGAGTTCTAATTCTGATGGCACCAGGAACTGTCTGACTGTATAGACATTTTGCTTCCTTTGAGTGCCGAGTGTCAGCCAGATTCCATGATAACTTCCAGGGGTGCCATTCTCCTCAGACCGTAATGATCTACTTGTGCTTTTTCACTGTTAACTCTGAAAAAGCCCTTAAAACATCTAGCTTTTTATACATTAATTCATCACCAAGGGGTACAGAACCAGTCAGTCTATCCGTCTGTTCTGTTCACAGTAGAGCGGCATGACCTGGAGACATCTGAAGCGATGCTTGCCGCTCTGCACATGACATGCCTGTCTCCTCAAGCTTATGTGATGTGTTACCCTGGCAGAACACAATGATGATTACAACAACTTAGAACAGGAAAAAAACTCAACAAAACTAAAATTCCCTTCTACAAAACTTACACTGCATGTGCCACTCTCTCCAAATTAAGTTGTTGAGGCGAATGCGCTGCTTTTGGGTCAAATGCATACCACGGAACTGTTTCCATCTCGGTGATGTGATTTTGCCACTACAAAAAAAAAACAAAAACATTAATGGTTATCTGTCAGCTGTTGTGGTCATACAGAAATGTTAACAATACAGATGGTGTGATGTTTGTATCCCTTCTGACTATGACCATCCGTATGCATATAAACCAACTGTTTATTATATTTTGCATCCACAACTGGATAAATCTGAAATTTACTTGACAAATAAAGCAACAGTAAGTACAAACGCAGCAAATACATACAAGGAATTAGTTGAGGAGGTCGTAGAAGAAAAGGTGGCACAGAAAAAATTATAAATTACATACAAAGACAGCAAATCATTCAGAGAGAATGCCTTGTGATAACATACCACATAGACCCTTTTGGGCCTAACAACCCTTTCACTTTCACATCGGAATACACATATTCACTAAAGTTATGAAGTAGCAATGAAAATAATTGTACGGCTGGCTTGGGAGTCACCACAACATGAGAACTGTATTAAAGGCTCGCAGCATTGGGAAGGTTGAGAGCCACTGATATAGAGCATACACCAAAAGAAGAGAAAGATGTAGAGCACAAGGCAGACCAAGAACAAGATGGAAAGATAACATCAGAGAAACTCTACAACAATACGGTGGTCTATGGTCAAGCAGCCAGAAGAGCGAGAAGCAGAACCTTATTTCTCCCTCAACACCTGAAGCAGTAGAAGAGGAAGTGAACAAGGAGAAGGTTGAAGAGTTCCCAATGTTAGTATAACATGAAAGTCCAGATGATCAACTCAACTGCACCGGTTATGGCATTGGGTTGTTTCTCATATCTCAGTTTTTTTCAGCTGATGAAGGCTAATTACCATAGCATCTTTTGTTCATTTACTGTAAAGGTCCTGCAAAGCAGACATATAACTATGTTTTCCAATCTTGTGTAAATGATTATGCATGCTGTATTAGACAAAACAACACTACTAAGAAAATCAGACTAAATCATCCAAAAGACAACTTAAGCTGCAAAACTGAACCCACACTTAACAAGTCCACAAAGGTTATGGGTTGGCCTGGCCTATACTCCAGTAGAAGATGAAAGCAAGAAGAAGGAATCATCTGATGTCTCTCAACAGAATTATCCTCAACAACAAAATCAACATTGTACACTATTTGTTTAAAAGGTGTATGAGCAAGCATGTCTTCATCATCAAGGCTCTCCCCAACCCACCCACCCCCCACCCCCCCCCACCCCCAGAAAGAATGGTGCCTGTACTCAACTCAAGGTATCTGAGGTGGGGGAGAGGAGGGGAGAGAGGAGCCACTACACACTACACATTATCTTTTATAGTTGTACAAACAAATGATGCCTAGAAACAAGTGTTGGTACGTATCGCCACTAAGAAAACGTCCTGATCATCTTCAAATATTATTCTCTCATTGTGTACACATTTTATGAAAGTGCTTTTTTACTCCAGCACCAACTTTTTGTGCCAAGTTGGATCTGATACTTTTCTTTACAATTACTTAGCTACAAAATTGTAAGTTCTCCTACTTTATAAATATTTAATCTCATTTTGGATTTCTCTGCATCAATATTTTTTTAGTGCTACAGCTAAAACCATTCTCTCTCTCTTTCTCTCACACACACATACACACACACACACTTGCACAGACTAGGTTACACACACCTTTGCAGCAGAAACCATTTTCTCTCCCTCTCTCACTCACACACACTCGCACAGACTAGGTTACACACACCTTTCCAGCTAAAACCATTCTCTCTCTCTCTCCCTCACACACACACATACAGACGCACGGGTGTGCACAGACTATGTTATACACAGATGCACGTGTGTGCACAGACTATCTTAGGCACTTGCTACAGCCAAAATCATACCCTCTCTCCCCCCTCATACATCCACAATCATCTCATCTAGAGCTATAATTTTACCATCTAAATTGATATGAGCTGACTTCTACTTCTCCTCAGCTTGAAAACATTCCAGATTCACACAAGCCCTGGGCATTCACAGAATAACTATCTCAGTGACTTTGACCACTTCATTTCTTTGAAGTCTAGAATGATTAACAATATAGACACCTCTTTTCATTCTACAATCAATAATATGAGATAACATCATTACCCGCACTGGACTACAGAAATTACATGGTAGTAATTGGTATCGCTTTTGCAGGTGCCCTAATTATAACTTAGCAAGAGGATGAATGTGGTTTCTGGGATTTACCCTGTAGGTTTGGAATCCAGGATGCAACTTGAAGCTACAAGGGTGATCAAACTTTTAAGGCCAGTCAGGATGGATCTTCTTCATAAAAGACTAGAGAAGTCTTTAGAATACTGAGACCAAATGTAAAAATTATAAAATACATCAAGCGCTGCTTGGTATGTGTGGAGAAAGGCTGATCATACATAGTGTGTTGTTTGGGATGTAAAGAAAAATACACCTTCTTCTACATTTTGTTTGTCAGTGTGATGTAACTGTATTGTGCCTGTCAGTGTGATGTAACTGTATTGTGCCTGTCAGTGTGATGTAACTGTATTGTGCCTGTCAGTGTGATGTAACTGTATTGTGCCTGTCAGTGTGATGTAACTGTATTGTGCCTGTCAGTGTGATGTAACTGTATTGTGCCTGTCAGTGTGATGTAACTGTATTGTGCCTGTCAGTGTGATGTAACTGTATTGTGCCTGTCAGTGTGATGTAACTGTATTGTGCCTGTTTACAGCAAAGCTGCAATATCTGCACCTTTTGGCCGACACATCCGACCGCACTGAGCATTTGTTGACCAGGTTAACTTCCTGGATAGTCTTGTGGGACACGACATAGCCTTATTTGTGTGGCGTTCTCTTTGTCCCCTTATGTACAGGTGTTTCCCTAGAGAACCCATCCAGGCAACCGCACACAGACTGGTCAGCCCTCAATACAGATCATTGCTTAACTCTTTAAGGCCCAAGCAACGGTGTGAGCGTTGTTTGAGAAGTTCCGTTTAGCCTAAACAACAGTGTCGTCGTCGATCGTGTGTCCCGTACATTTTGCTTCGCACACGCCTCCTACTAGTTTCTAATGTTTGGAGGTAGGATTAAACTATTCAGGGAAAGTCACTCTGCCAAAATCCTTTTGGTTTCATTTCCTATTCTAAACCAAACGTGTGTAATTTGATAGAATTAACAGCAAAATTTTTTTCAACAATGCTTTTTAAGTTCGTTTTCGGGTGCCCTGAATACCAATGTTCCAACCACATGTACAGGTTGCAGAATGCGTCTTTCTGCGGCCGAAGCTCTGAAATTGTTTCAGTCAGATGTTTTTAATTCTGATAATGATAATGAAAATTTAGATTTCTCGGAAAGTGATTCAAGCGGTGATTTTTCACCAGCAAACCTGAGCGATCAGCTGTTCTGAATCTAGCGATTCTGATGAGGTTTTTTTACACAGACAATGTCCCATTGCTACCGTATTTATGGTGTAAGAGAAGGAAAGTGCTCTAAACAAAGAGTCTGTACTATACTATAGCTAAACTACATTGAAATCATCACAGTTACAGTCTGTATATAACTGTACAAAGTAAACAGTAAATAGCGCGCGTGTCATTTTTCTGCCATTTTTTTCTCTGAAATTTTGATCAGCACTCTGTGAGAACTAAGAGCCCCTGAATGCTAAATTAACCCAGAAACTTATTATAACTTTAGAATTTGTTAGGAAATTGAACAAACTTTGAAGTTTTGTTCTCAAATTTGGATATTCACTACTCTTGTGGCTGCAAAATCATGGTAAGTGAAGAATCTGTTTGTAAAATGTTGTTGTTGTAAAATTAACACCTGCTGAATTCTTCTTTCCCGCTAACTGTAAACAAATTAAACATACACTTATCATTAGATTCAAAATGTACATTCATTTTTCTCTTTAAAAAAATATATACTTTTTAAGGATCAGAAGTATATATATATATATATATATATATATATATATATATATATATATATATATATATATATATATATATATATATATATATATATATATATATATATATATATATATATATATATTCTCTATTGCCTTTCTTGTACACCCACCCCTCTGCCATTTTTGTAAAGGGAAATTAATGTAGGCCAAGTCTGTCAAAATTCATGGGCCTGAAAGAGTTAACCTCTCATCCGCATGTTGAGCTAAAAGAGACATTATAAAACTGCCAGCATTTGTGGCTAAGGCAATATGTTGTTAATTTTTGCGTTCACCATCTGTAAACCCCGGTGGAAAGACCTGGTTGTTTGTACATTTCTGGACTTTGGCTTTGTTCCAGGACCTGAGTTTTGTGTGTGTATCCATTTTACAGATTGTGCTTATGCGGACTGCTGGTTTATTGCCTCTCAGGCAGATGCACTCCAACTTTGAAGGAAGCCCCCAATTCATTGACTCTTACGACAGGCTTGTTAGGGAGGGAGTGGTCCATTCTTGTTTTCCCCACAATGGTGCCCCAGAACCCACACGAGGAGCTTAGGCAATATGCACGCACTTCGTAATTCCGAGGTACCCAGGTTAATTTCAGCGGCGGGCGATTTGGCAGCAGACCATCCTGTGATGATTTTGACAGGGGCATTGAGGGCTGACCATTTAGAAAGTGGTGGCAAACTAGTGAACATAAAATTGCCCAGTAAAACTAAAACAGAGCTATGCGTGTGAGTCATGGGCAATGACAACAGCTCACTGATATCTCTGAAAGGTGGTCCAAGTGAGAAGAAGGGACACATTTCACAATCAGACAATACATCATGATCTTGAAAACCAGGCCTTACAAACTCAAGTGGGAAAGTCACAGTTATGATAGTTTGAACGTGTATGCAGAATCCGAGAGAATCAGCCACCACGGCAGGCATGGGAAGCCAGGAGGCAGGGAACCAGACCACCACAGCTATCCAGGGTTTGCTGAGAAGACAACATCTGACAGTCCCTGACTGACAGAGGACTGGAACAAAACCAAAATGAAAACTGCTGACAGAGAGTCTGGCGATCTCTCTAGCAAACCTCTACATGCCAGGGTAGAAGAGGACTGACTAAGTAAGTAAGCAAAACCACAACAGCAAACAAATCCTGGGGTTGGTTCTGCAATGTCCTGTAAAGGATACACAACTAACTTTTTATATAACTGTAAATGACAAAGTGGCAACCTAACATTCTATGTGAGAATGTTCAACATATAAAGAACATTCAAACATATCTGGCCTGACACACAACTCTTAAATGACAAATTACAGATTTGCCTTCCGTGATTGCTCTTAAAAGAGTGGTTGGCACAGTGTGTTGTGGATTAGTCAGGCTGTGCTATCTGCCCTTTCAGTCCAAATATTTGATTTCAGAAAATCGTTTTGCACAACATGCTTGTTATGAGGCAGTGCTCTCCCTTTGCCCACCCCCCACCTTTTTTTCCTGTCTTTAAAATTAGCCACGTGAACCACACAGGCAGACTAACTATACCAAGTTTCTTCTTTATTGCTTGTATTTACCAATGTAGGGGATCTTGGACAGTGTTTTCTCAACTTTTTGACGCCTGCGGCCCACCAAAATGGGGAAAACTGTTTTGTTGCCCATCTGACGGCTAACCAAACACAGAAACAAGAATAAACGTAGATGGCAGTTTATCTGTCAAATCCGAAGTCAATTTTCAGTGAAAACTGCTGCCGTTTAGATGTTATAAAATCTAATATACATGGCCGGAGTGTTCATTCTGATAGATAAAGCTCTGCAATTAGATCTGATTTATATGTTTTGGTTTTTATTACTGACATGGCTGGGAAAGTCTTTTCACACAAACAGGAAGTCAAAGCAAACAACAACAACAAACGACCAACAATCTGATAGTTTTTATGTCTGGCAACAATAATATCAGAAGACAACTCAATCAGCTTTTCTATTTCATGATAATTAAGTAAGCATGATTTTATATTTTCCAAGAAGGGATTATTAATCAAAAGATGGCCTTTCTGAGGTACCTCATTCTTAGGCAATGACTATCAAAGTTTTCAGCTAACATCTTTAAATCCTGAGTTGTTATGTTGAATATCACTTGAACCTGTTTAATCCTCACCCTTGAAGTGTTAATCCTACAGACTGCAAATCCTGGAAGAGAAGAATTACCTACCCTACCCTGTTTTAAGCAATGGCTACAACTGAACGTAAAAATGTGCCTATAAAAACCATAACAGCCACAAAATGCTGTGGTTGGTTCTGCAATGTCCTGTAAAGGATACGAAACTAAAACAAATACAACCCCATTACATCATTAAAGAGACATTTTTAGAGGTCCGTTGAGGAATTCTGGTGTCGGACACAGGTATTGTGAGCCTGAGGTTAAACTCTTTAAGGCCTGAGCAACGCTGTGAGTGTTGATTGAGAAGTTCTGATTTGCTTAAACAACACTTTCAGCGTCGATTATGTGTTCTGTAAATACGGCGGCGTATTCATTTCTAATGTTCGAAACTTTTTTTAAAGTATTCAGGGAAGGTTATTTTAATGTCTTCCTTTGAATAAAATTCCGGGTTCCAAGACATTTGGGCGCAGACTTTTCTGATTCACAGATATATTTTCTAGTGTATTTTCTAGGTTTGCTTCAGAGTGCCATGGATATTAACGTTCCAACCATAAGCACAGGCGCAGAATGCGTCTTTCTGTGGCTAAAGCTCTGAAACTGTTACATTCAGATGTTTTTAATCCTGGTAATAATGAAAATTTAGATTTTTGGGAAAGTGATTCGGATGGCGAATTTTCACCAGCAGCAGCTGAGCAGTCGGCTGTTATTCATGCCCAGGTGATCTGATTGTACAGATGGTTCGGTGCTGAGAGGAAAGAGAAGTGCCTGGGGGTTCATAGCGAAAGCCAACGGAAAATCTTTAGTGCAAGACAGCCTAGCATACGACATCGCAACATTTAGCATGAGAATGGAGGTGGAGGCGGTAACTGCAACTCTTCGTTGGCTAGAGAACAAGATACATACACGTCGTAACTGTAACAGACTGAAGGCATGCTGAGAAAGGTAGAGACAGGGATACTTCGAGCAGAGTGGCAAGCTTCACTGGAAAGGTCACGGGTAGTGAGCATACTTTGGATCTTTTCTCCAGACAACGCCAGTGTAGTGGGTAATGAACAAACAGACAGATTGGCTGGATCCGCACCACTGAGTGGTGAATTGATACATAACAAGGCAGATGTGGTCAAGGTCTTTGGGAACAAGCAACGGATGATTATTATGGCCTGGAGAGAATGAGGCACCTAGTTGTAACCAGAGGGTCTGGCCGGCTCACTACACTCAGAGGAAAGGCAAGACATTTAACATTTAACCAGATTTTGACCGGTGCCATCAGTATTAGAGCTTTGCGCTGGCTGCTGAAGATAAGGACAGAGCACACATGGGAATGCCCTGAGTGCTGGGATGTCAATTCTTGACTCAACTCTTAGGAAGTAAAGGTGGCCAGCATGATGTTGATCACATCACCCACCATGTGATGATTGGTCTAGCCCTATATCCCCATTACACCTGTAGGTTTAGAAATGGGTCCATTATTTTACTTTACTTTGTACTGCACAATGGATGTTAACCATATATTTAACAGTATACAATAAGAGACATGTATTAAAACTTGTAACAAATTACAGAAAGGAATGAATAGGAGCTACCCGTCTTCAAAAAGAAGCTACATAATAAACTAAACCTGAAGGGTAATGGCTAGAAATACTAAATGATGCAACACACAGAAATGCTAATTGGAAGTCAGATACAACACCTTGTAAACAACATGTACAAAGGGCAGGCACTATCCTACCTGACCAGCCATTACAGATGACTCACAGTGAGAAATGAACCAAGTATAAACCATAAATCTTGGTGGATCTATCATCCCTGACCTCCTTTCTACCTATTTTAAGCACAAACTCAGCTAGAAATAGGTCATGGTGATAACTTTATCGCCATGCCTAGTTGTGTTTGTGCCCTGGCTGGCGTCTTAAACTCAATGAGATTTATATTACTGGCAACTAAACCGGGATATAAGACCAGCAGACAACATGCGGCAAAGAAAACAAGAGTTGATAATACTGCGCAACCTGGAGTTTGTTGACAAACATTGCGGGTTGCGCTTTCGCTTTCAGGCCCTTCCTCCCGTCTGCTGCGGGGATTGTAGGTCACAGGCTGCTGCCTGTTTTCTTCTCACTGTTTGCAGTTTGGACGCCTCGGCCAGCAATCTATCACACACTGGGTTTTTTCAACACAAGTCTGTCGTATACACCCAGAACTACATAAACACAACAAGAAATATGGCTAGGGAGCTCAACGCGGGGAAATTAAAACTAATTAAAATTAGAACTGAACGTTTCGCCAAAAGTCGTTTTCATCAGCCAAAAAAAAAAAAAAAAAGGAATTCTAGACCGTACAAACGACATCATCAGAAATTTAATACGATGCATATTATAAAATGTAACTACTTTATGAATTATCCTACGTCTGACCCACTGCTATTAAAAGTTAAGCTTAAGAAAACTAACAACAAACAACAACGCTTTACTAAGGGAAGGAGTTCGCACCTGTATGCCAGTGTCATACACTGGAAAAGTTTAGTCAAAGACGCATCAATCACCACCGACTGAGCATCAGCATGTGGAACATCGCACGCCATCGACGTCTCTTTCTTGTCAACGGCCAGAAACACAAATCCATTGGGCTCGTCGTTAAAAGGCGAGGCCACCTCCTCCTCGTCGTCGTCATTGTTGACATCGTCATGTACACGACTAACCATGAAATGGCCACTATGTATCGGGCAACTCTTACTCCCCGACTCAGAGCGAGGATGTTCCTCTTTGATATCCACCATTGCACTTTGAGAACACACGGGTCTCATATCGTCAACAGCCATCGTGAAATAAATTCGTGAAAGCACAGCTCTGAGAAATAACTACATGATGAAGTCACATATACTACGAAGAATCCAACTAAACAACCAGGCCAGGGGGGAACTTGGGACACAACTGAAGCAGAACACGATCTCCGTGCGTGGACATGCGCAGCCAGCCAATCATGGCGCTGGAACAGCTCCCGTCTCAAGGTTCAAGGATGCCAAGGGGGGCTGACTGCTTTAAGGGGGTCTGTGATGTTTTTGAGCCGTTCTTACCTCCCATTTTTCTGTCGTGCGCAAAATTAAAACACCCTAACCTGTACAGGCTGTGGCGACAGTATTAGTCATGCAGCCCTAAATCCTCAGGCTCACGACTCCCCGTCTACACCACCCTAAAAAGTGGTATGTAGAGACAGTTACTTTCAATTAATCTTCGTGTTAAGTTACAACATCAAGGCGATTGGGAAACTACCATCAATGCCCCCTCCACCCTCCACTACCTTCAGCAGCCAGTGAGAGTTCCAGTAGCAGTCTGATTCATAAGCCCTGTTACCTGGGCGCTCAGGTCCCTGTGAAGTTAGGGCCCTAAGAACCCCCCTCCCCCTTTTCCACACACACACATCAAGATCTGTATATTTTTAAAAATGTTTAAGCCCAGGTATGTCTTTACAGAAGAATGCTTAGAATACCTTGGACAGCTAAAAAGAGCAACCAAGAGGTTCTGAAAAAGGCGGGAGCCTGAAGACAACTTATCGCAGACAGAAGGAGACAGACATAATTTTTCAGGCATTTTATGAGAAGAGTGAAAATAGAACATGTGACCAATGGAAAGATATGTGGAAGGAGGGATAGAGGAAGACAACAAGAGAAGATTCTTAGCAGTCTTGTTGCATGGCATGGAGGTGTGTCACCACAGAACTGATACATGCTGCAGGAGATCGCAGATTGTGGAGAGGCATGATCGCCCACGACAGACGGAAAGGCACCTGATGATGATAATGATGTGCTCTAGTTGGTCGTAAAGGTCTGTTCATCACTCTCAAGAAGATTGGGTATCCGCATACCCTACTAAGTATTATTGAGTTTATTATACAAAGGTATGAAAGGTGGTCTCAACTTTGATAGTATAACATCGGAGTAGTTTGCAATCAAGAATGGGGTGCAGCCAGGATGCGTACTTGCTTCTACCCGCTTTCTTACTCCTTTTAAAATATGCGTTTCGAGATCAGAAGGGTGGTATTTTCATGTACGCTCGATCTGATGGCAGCCTTTACAATGCTCGTAGGATGAAAGCCAAAGCCAGGATAAGGAAGGTACTCATCAGAGAGCTGCTCTTTGCAAATGATGCTCACAGGATGGAGGAACTGCAATACTGCATTTGCTTATGCATGCTGTAAATTTGGATTAGCAATCACCAAAAAGAAGATAATAGAAATGGTGCAATGCATTAATGATAGACCTGCAGTCTACGTTGAGTGTGAAGAGCTGGAGACAGTTGACCATTTTACAGATCTGGGATCTACAGTGAATAGCAAACTATCGCTGGACCAAGAAATCAACATCAAGATAGATAATGCAGCAACAACAATGAGCAGATTAACACAGAGTTTGGGAGAACAGAAAGCTCACGATTAAAACAAAAATTCTTGTCTATGAGCCTTGTGTTCTCAGCTTTCTGCTTAATGGCAGTGAAACTTGATCAACTTATTCGCGCCAGGAGAAATGACTAAATGGCTTTCACACGATTCATCCGTGTTCCACATGAGTTTTCGATGGATTTTATCACCCACACATTAAGGGTGGACTAATTAGCGCCAGACATTTCTAGACACTGCATCTCCGGGGACCACCAACTCAGAATGCTGAATCAAGAATTGACATCATAGCACTCTGGACACTACCATAAGTGCTCTGCTCCCATCTTCAGCAGCATGTGAAGAGTTCCAATTCCTGATGGTACCAGTAACTGTCTGAATGTACACCCATCTCACCTTCCCCTTGAGTGTAGAGCGTCGGCCATATCCCCTGGTGACTCCCTGCAGCACCATTCTCATCAGACTGTAATGATCTATGAGTATTTGTGCCTCTGCACCGATCACTTGCTCCAATAATAATATGATGAAAGTGATTCTTCTAGTATTCTCTGGGTCTAAGGTCACTTCAAAACACATTTCAAAGAGTGTTTTGCTCTGGTTTCTCAAGAGTTCTCAATGACTTCTTGGTCCATGACCTGGATTAGAAAAGGAGTTGCCCTCAGTCTCTTCCTGTCAAAGTACATTTTTCAGGATTGGCTGTTCGGGAACCCAGATTCTGTTAGGAAATCTTGCCGACAAAACAAGACATGGTTATTGCAACTGAAATTTGATTTACAGTCTGACTGCGTTAGCTAGGTTAGGAGTGAACCAGCAGTCTTGTCGCCGCCGATTTGCCTTTGGCTCGCTATGACGACGAACACAGTAATCTAGTTCCAAATTTTTCAGAAGAAGAATAGGTCACACAAAGGTTTAATTCACCTTGAATCAAACTACTCAAAGATCAACAATATATATATAAGACAATATTAATACTCACTATGAGATTAAAAACACTACATTTATCTGGTGCAGCACTATTGAAGAACACACAACTGTTTACAGAAGTCAACTTTATTCTGATCATAGGAAACATAACATAATTACTGAATAAACAGTGCATGAAACACACAAACTGGTATCAGACAGTGCTGATTCAGCTGTGTGTGTGTGTGTGTTTTTTTTTTTTAAATTTTTATTTATACAAATAATCATTTTAAACATTCCGGCAAAGTTACTGCAAGCCGTTTCAAGCTAAAATATGACAAACTCTAATCAAAGTCTTCTGGGCATATGTTACTGAGATATAATAAGTACTGCCAATGTGATATAACAAACATTAGAAAAGATTTGGGCCCCAACACTTGTTATTAACCTGGCATCATGTGAAAATGTGGCTCCAATACCAAGTTCAAATGAAGAGAGACACGAAACTAACATAGGAATTGATTATCACAACAAGCCTGAAAGGAAAATGTTAGAGCTCAAAAAAAAAATGGTAAATGTGGAAAATGTAAAGTGAAAGAATCTGGACGATGTGAAATGTAGGTGACAGAAGAGAGGTCTTCCTTTTCTAGAAATGCATTTAGAAAAACCAGAATAATGAGATAGTTTTTATCATTATAGAATGCAGAAAAGTGTTTTAGTGTTGATAAATGTTCATTAACTTAAGAAATGATTGGCATTTATAAATAATGCAATATTTGCTTCTAACAAAACTACTCCTAAAGTAAAATTCTAAGAAATATTACTTCTTCAGACTGAGAGAGACTGTAGGTCCAGCCAATGTCAGCCACTGCTCAAGATACTAACACTTCCAACTACTAAAACATGTCAAAAGTAACAAGTTAAACAAAAAATGGGGAACCTTTTTTCAAGTTAGTAGAGCATCAGGCCTATGGCCCCAGACCAATATTTGTATAGACCAATTATGGTGTGGTTAACATCAAATCAGCCAACCTGATTTCCTTGGATATCTCCTGGTACCCATTTCAGGCTAGGTCAACCTAGGAACTATAGATGATAGATAAAATCTGTTGTCAGAAGTGTACATATAAATACATAAAGTAACTATTTATGCACCCAGCTACTTTTGGATCAGATTATCATAGAGACTATCTTCATTGCATACAGCCACTGGTGCTGACATAAACTCAGATGTATGCATCAACTTATCACGCCTGGCTGTGATTCTTTTACAAATGTTTTCCTTTACAAAATACTGCTTGATTACCTTATTGGACGGTCTCCCCCGTGTCAAGCTGACCAACATATTTCTATTCACTGACCCTTAGCAACAGCCAATGAAACCCTCAAAATCATTTCAAATATATCTAGAAAGTATTCTAATTTCTTAAAATAACTATTTACTTAGCTTCTAAAAATTATCAATGATATTAGAACTTAACTTCTGTGTATCAGTGTCATATAGCTGGCAGAAGTGAGAATGGAAGAGAACTGTAGTATTACTTTTTACTTTCATGTAATACAAGAAGAAATGTGAAACAAACAGAAAAATTACAAATCCATGAAAGAAACATAAAACAAGTCCTAATGCAGTATATACACAAAGCTAAACAACTCTGTATGCTGGCAAACATGTACTAATTCCCGAGTTGATTGTACATTTAGAGTTGACTTGGAGAACCTAAGAATACAGGTCTTCCCTGTCCGCGCCCGCCTGCTCATGCTCTTCCATCTGACTGAAGAACAGGAAGTGAGATGGACGGTGGATCTCATGGTAGAACTCCTTGGGGTTTGATAACTGCAGTTCGTACTTCATGTTGGGGTCATGACGCACACCTAGAGAGTGACAAAAGAAAGGCTTTATCAACCGACTCTGTAGAGGATTTAATATTTATGCTCAGTAAGGCTGACGACACTAATCGAGACAGTAAGTCTCCCTGTTGAAGTGGCTAAGCAATCCGTTGCATGCTCTGAAGGACATGGTGCATGTGTTCAATTTTTACAGAGATCCCCGGTGATCATTGCCGGTACTATGAAACTTGTGTTTTGTGCAGTGCTCACGGCAGGTGCCTAGCTATTCTGCAGACTGGGCCATACAGGCTAAAACCCAGTGCAAAGAAGTTGATAAATGTTTGGATCAATCTCTAGAAGTCTCTTCTACTTCCACCTTGCATCCCCCAATGGAAACTGACCCTCAACCAACTAATACTTTGATAGATGTGTTTATAACTGGTGGTATTTAGCAGCTAAAAGTCTCTATTTAATAATGAGTCCTGAACCTCCTTTAGTTGCCTCGTGAATAGTTAAGTGACTTTTCTTTGTAAGAGGAGATCTGTGGGGCAGCTCACACAACAGGAAGCTTCTGTTCATCAGGGAAAGACCAGGTTATGTTCAGCTTTGAAACTTGTTGGGCACCCTCTAAGGGTGGGCCCATGTCAAGTCAACACAACAGGATCTCTCTACAAGCAGCAGGGTATATTTGTTTCAACCAGTTCAGCTCTGGGGTAAATTCAGTTTAATAAAAATTAATATTGGATAATATTCCAAATTGTTTAGTAGTAATGACAGTAAAGAGAAGAATTGGTTGTGCAACCTCATTAAGTCACCATAATATGCAAAGACCTAAAACTTCACACTCAATATTAATGACAATATCTGCAATTTATTATATGTAACTAATAACACCCCCAGCCCAAAAATTAAATGAGTATGAGAGAGATACAGAGGGAGAAAGGGAGGGGGGAGGAGGAGTGAGTGTGTGTGTGTGCGTGTGTGTGTGTAAAAATAAGAAACAATGTGAGAGACACAGTAAAGAATATATGTAAATAAAGAAAAAGAGAGAGAGAGAAGCATGCCCATGGAAGAAAGATGAGAAATTCTGTGAAGGAAAAGAAAGATTCAGAAAGTGACAGTGTGCGCACAGAACCATAAAATATATGTTATACAAGGAGCAAACTCAGTACACAAACAGCTGTCCAGATTTAACAACTGACCCATGAAATTGTAGTTCCATGAGTTCTGTGCCGGCACCATGAAGAATCCCAAGAACCTGTCTGAGAGCAGCATCTGAACCCTCTCATAATGAGATGGAAGGTAGCCCTTGGGGTTGTTGCCTGTATCTTTGTTCTGCCTGCCCCACTCGTAACCACTTGGTGTCAGCTTGTAGGCCGTCAGTGAGCAAGACCCAGGGGTAAAACTGGCAAGAGATGGAAGACACTAGGTTACAAACAACTGTATGGTAGATTTTTTTTTTTACTGGAAGTGGTGATAACAGCATACTAGACGAGCATTAAGCTTTAACTCATAAACTAACTGATTAATAAACGACTGTCATGTCCTGTTACATGAGGATGGTTAACTCAATCACCAATAAACTACAAACATTCATGAATCCTGTCTCCACAGGAATGCTAACAAAAATGGGGCATGAATCAGTGGGAAATCCCCCTCCCTTCCAATCCTTGGAAAAAATATTTTTTTTACATATGGCGCTAATAAACTTTTAAAAAATTTATTTATCTACATTGTTTCATTTTTCTTATATATAGATTGTGTATGTCAATCTGGCTTTAAAAAGTTGTTTGGTTCACAGGCAAATACTCTGAAATGTTATTTTTAGCTAACATATTAATAACCGGATCAACTAAATGTTTGCCAGTAGCATAAACTATATGTCTCGTAAACGTGTCACTGAGATATAGATGGATAGGAGAGAGCTGTACAAGACAACAAAAGACAGCACAGCTTGGTATCAGTTGCTGGAGGGTCTATGCTACAAATATGGATAAGTGGAAAATGAGGAGATGGAAGAGGCAGAAGAAGAACATAACATACCTGCATGTGATGACAACAGTTTTTTCTCCATCCCAGGAAGGATTGTCAGCCATAACCTTAGCGTGAGTTGTGATATCCTGTGGAGCCAGCTGGGGCAACTCATTGGGTTGTGTGTGGATCCAGCCCAAAGGTTCCATTTCCTATTGACAAGAGAGAGAAACTATCAGAGGACAGATGCACAAGGATTTTTAAATAACTTCAGCAAAATGAGAGCATGTGATCTTTCCCTGGGTAAACTCATCTGTAAAGATATATACACAGAATAGTAATTTATAAAGACACTAACTATAAATAGAGTCAAAAGCTGAGTATAAAGAAAACCAACTAGAAGAAGGTACACAACATTCTTTGACCATTTTATGAAATAAAAAAGAACTTAAATATAATGCTCAACAGTATCAATTAATGGTGGTTAACTGTATAAGGGTTGAGGGTATAGTTTCCGAAGAACAAAGCGGGAGCTGACCAAAGATGAATACAAGACAGTGAAGATGCACTGGCTGTGAAAGCACACAGGGTTGGACAGCAATCCAGAGAAATAGAGACTTTTAGGCGTGCTGTGACAGAAGCCACCAGAAGGATCTGATGATTGATGATAATGAACAGTACAGAGTGAGAGGGGCAGGAACCAATCAGCACGATGCAGGGCACACAGGACATAAGAGACATCCTAGGCAGGAAAGTGCATGTTCCATGAGAGCTGGTGAGCAACTAAGTTTCTTTTAGGTGGGCTGTGATGAAAGCAACTTTGTGTAAATGACCTGCTACATGACAATGATTACATAAATGCATCAGCTTTTCTTCCAGAAAACTGAAAATCATATGATAAACAGTTTTTATGAGGTTTAGTAAACATCAGAAGCATGATGGTTAGGGGAACAAAAATCTTGCCTTTGCTCGAGACTGAATATGGACCAATGTCTTGGTAGGCAAATGCACAAACCACTTTAGTTAACAAAGTTAGTTGTGTATTCTTTACAGGAAATTGCAGAACTAACCCCAGCATTTTTTGGCTGTTGTTTTTCTAGGCTCAGTAATTTGCCTCTGCCTCTGAATGGTCAGCTCTTTATACCACTGTCAAAACCAACGCAAGACAGTCCGCTGCCATATCGCCAGCAGCTGGGCTCGAACCCGGCACACTTGCATTACCAAGCAATGCCTAAGGCACAGAAGTCGACTACAATAGTTAATACAGCCAGCTAAGAAAAGAAATAGTCAGAAAACTGTACCTTCTTCTTCTACTTGTAAACTCCTGTGGAAAAGTGTGGGTTTGTTGTTCATCCACTTCCAGACTTCAGTCTTGTTCCAGAATTTGAGTTTTGTGTGCACATGCATTTTACAGATCAGGCTTATTTGTATGCAGACTGCTGGTTCCTTGCCTTTGAGACCCCAGGACCCAGACAGGAAATCAAACTATACCCATAAACCCTGCACCACTCACTGCTGTTTCACTGATACTTAAAGCAAAGGCTGACAACTTACATTCAGGTACTCGTGCCCAGGCAGCAGGTTAGGAAGGTGAACTGTCTGATGAGTGCCCCACTGTGGTGGCATGACGATACACCTGATCTCCTTCACCTGAGGATTGTCTGGTGGACTTACTCCATACAGGTAGCCTGCAATCTGGAAAGTATTTGTCATTATTAGTTTTTAAAAAATTTATGAATGACAATATTTCATCTTTTAATATTATTTTTAAAAAAAACCTCATATTTTCAATTGAAAAAACATGAAGTATTGGTCAACTTGCAAAAATTACCATTAAATTTTTTTTTTCAGTGAAGTGCTTGAGCTGTTTGCCCCGTGCTATGAAGGCTGTGGGTTCATTTCATGGACTTGATCAGATATTGAGTGTAGTTTTATGGAGATTACTGGGAATTGTCACAGGAACTACAGAGTTAGTGCTGTGTGACACTCTTGGCAGTAGGGTAGCTGTTCTTCATAAGGGGACCGAGCCAAATGGGGGGAAAAACTGGTTCCATGCAGTTGATCCTCTCCTGGAACTATAGTAAACCCTTATTAACATGAACTCCAACTCATCTTTGTCAGAATTCTCTTAACGAATAGGTCAGATAAGGTCATCACATATATTCACTTTCAATTGAAAAAATTCAAACAATGATCCAATAAAAATCATTTCTTGGTTCGCCCTTTATTCCTTGTGGCGTCCGTGGATTAGGCGTCGCGAGTCCGACTCGTAATTCCTGCGTACTGCGATCAAAACCCACAGCTGGCTGCGTGAATTTTTATCATGGTGTGGGGCATCGCAGGTCGTCGACCCAGCCTAAAATGGGTACCAAAATGGCAGTCCTAGGGAAGTAAAGACGGCATAATGCTGACCACATTACCCACCTAGTGCCGATGGTCTGTAAAAATATGGGTGCTCTTCCCATATACCCGATACACCTAAAGGCATAGAAAGGGATCTTTACTTTTTTTTTTAACTTTATTCCTTAACCAAGAATAGGCTTCCTCAACTAACTCATGCTGGTTGTCCTATCCTTTGCCATCGCAGGCAAATGTAGTTTACCCCATGCCATCCCCATCATTTTCATTTCATTTTTTTTTTTTTTTTTGGGTGGCCACACCCAAAGCTCAACTCAACCCTTCATTATCTTGTTATACCTGGTATGGTGCTGTGTTACCTTTATATATATATCTATAAAACAAAACAAAAAAACAAAAAAAAATTGGTTGTTACAGTTCCTTACAACCCCTAAGAGCTCCAGTAACAAATATTAACATTCACAATCACTTGATCCAATAATCATGACAATATACAGTCACACCTCACTTGATCCAATAATCATGACAATACACAATCACACCTCACCTGATCCAATAATCATGACAATACACAATCACACCTCACCTGATCCCATAATCATGACAATACACAATCACACCTCACCTGATCCAATAATCATGACAATACACAATCACACCTCACCTGATCCCATAATCATGACAATACACAATCACAACTCACCTGATCCAATAATCATGACAATATACAATCACAACTCACCTGTGCCCGAAGATCAGAGATAATGATAAACTTCTTGAGAACATTCTTCGGCAGGATGTAAGTGTAACCAGTCTCCTTGATGTCATCAGAGCTGACGTAGATGTGGTTGGTTCGCAGGTGAAGGTTGGTAGCAGATATAGCTCTCACACGCCACTCAGTCTTGGATGAGAAGGTGGCCGTCTCATGGTTGGACGTGGTAGTGGTGATGATCTCGTCTCCATGCTTGTTGACTGTCCGAGTGGTGGTTGCTGTCATCTGAGACTGTTCCTTGGTCTGTTTCTCAATTTCTGCAATCTGCTGCCTTTGAGCGCTGGGTGCGGAAATCTCCATGCCCAGAATGATGTCCCTGGTTTCAGACTGGGTTAAGGAGCTGACATTGACACTGTGTGAGGCAGAAGTTACACCCAAGTCAGTTTAAGATATCAATACAAACAACAACAATACTTCCAGTAAAAAATAGCATCGGACAGTTGTGATTTTTCAACATCCGCATTTTCATCTATTACGATTAATTATTTATGCCAGGACGTTCACCAGAAGTTTTCTTTTTCCTCAAGATTTTCACTGGTGCTACATAGTTTGTGCATCTATGCTAAAGCATGCTTGAAGTTATCTTAAAGCATATGTGTTTACCGATACTGTGTTGTGTGTTTGGCTTTCCCGTATGGTGGACAAGAGTTTATGCTCATACAGAAAGAAAGTAAACAAATCCTGAAGTCAGCGTGGTTGGCAACAAACCAATAAAACTAGTAAAAACACATTTAGAGAAGGAGCTACCCAAATGTTGCGACTTACAATTGACATAAGAGAAACTGTATTTCATACATAGAATAGAATATATGTGCACTGATCTGAAGAAGAGTCTGAGGGTTTAACACCTTTGGCTGCCATGATAAACTCTCATTAATCGAAGTTTAACTCCTTCTATAAGGTGAATATAAGTTAAAAGGTAAAAGAAAAAACAGCACGAGTAATGAAGACTTGGGGGAGATAGCTTTTTTACTTATATACTCATTGCAGAAAGAGTTGAACTTTGATTAATTGGAAATGGCAAAGAGGCAGGTAATGACAATCCTGGACTAACAACACTGAAGAATGGCCAGACTACATGACTGTCAGACTGAATATAATACTTCACATAAAAAGCCAAAGGTCTCAGGCTCTAGCCTGCAGTGTAATGAAGTGATTCCATCCATGGGTCATTAGGATGCCACAGTCGATAAACACGTAGTCAGTCTTTCACCACTATTTATTGTTAGCATTACATTCCGTCTGGCAGTTTTCAGCATTACCTTTAACATAAACCAGCAACACAAGAGGGTTTTCAGACAGCCATGCTGCAGCTAGGAATCAGAATCACACAGTGCTCTCAGTGAGGGTTCTAGAAACCGGAAGGGATGAAAACGGTGGTGGGGGTGGGAAGACAGACAACAAAAATGGCCTTAAAAGTGTTGTAAAAAGCAACTAATTTGGGGTTTACTGAAATAATCTGTTGCACAAAAGTCCCAGAAATCACAGCTTAGTTGTAACCCACAAAACAATGTTCCAAATGCCATTTTAAGGATGAATGCAGAAAAAGAAAAATATCGCATTTGAAAACAAAAGCTCACTTGTTTTTCTTTCCGTAATCAGCCAGGATGAGATCCTTCAGCTGCACTTCAATCTTCATCCACTCCTCGTCCGACAGTGTTGGCCAGATATGATGTGCTTCTGTGACAGTAGTTTTGTCAGGCTTCAGTAAGATCTTAGTTTTGTCATTGTTCACGTGCAGGGCTCGTAGAATCAATATCAAACGAGAGAAAGCCTGCAAGACAGAAAAACACAATTGAAGCCTTTAAAAATCAGAAAGAAAAAGCCAAAATAATAGTTGCAGAAACAATTAAATAAAACTAGTACATCAGCAGGGGAATCAGCTTAAGACCCTAACAACAAATGAAATTACACAAAATTTCATACCACTGCAGACAGTTCTCAGAATAAAGTAGATTATAAAATGAAATACATTCCCTGGAGTCTAAAAAAATATGTATCAGGTGACTAATGCTGTGACCCAGTGACCTTTAACACCCCAGCTTACAGAAAAATGTGATAGCGTGGCTTTAAAAAAAAGCAACTCCTAACTAAAAGCTCTTTTGGTTAACATAGTCATAGATGGGTCTCCCAAAGACTGCGCAGGTGCATTCAGAATCAATGTCATCTAAATATACTTTTTGAGAACAGGTCAAAGCAGAAATTATGATACATCGGCATTTACGAGATTGTGTCACAACCAGAGGTAACTAGATTTATTCTTCTCTGGGGGAGAGGGTAAAACATCACCAAAACATTGTGAAATCATCATGCAGCTTACCGTGTATGATGAAATTGTTTTCAGCCAGTCATCATACAAGTTGAAGAGAACCATCTGTGGCTCTGTGGCCTTGAGGATTAGGTCACCAAATTTCTCCACCTTCAGACAAGCTTGGAATGGTAGCTGCAGTTCACTTCCTTTGATGACAATGTTGGGGAAGTCCAGAAGATGTACCTGAGGACAGTAAAATCAGAAACTATAAACACGCACTAATAATATGTTTCCAAATCTGATGTTTCAAAACTTTTAAAAGAGGGTCACAAATAAAATCTAAATGTAGATGGTTTACGTAATGTAAATAGTGACTTCGTTTATCATGAAACATTGGATTTTTCAATAACAATAAAACAAAAAGAGATGACAGATTCAAATAACTTTAACTGGGCAGGCACAAACAGTGAAACATAATTACTTGTGTGTGTGTGTACCTGAACAGATGAAACGAGTAATGAAGATGTCTTAAAAGAAACTGATCCCCGTAGAGAACTGAGACTTCCCTAGAGAACTGACTCCCCTAGAGAAATGAGACTCCCCTAGAGAAATGAGACTCCCCTAGAGAACTGAGACTCCCCTAGAGAACTGAGACTCCCCTAGAGAAATGAGACTCCCCTAGAGAAATGAGACTCCTGTAGAGAACTGACTGCCCATATCAGGAGGAGATAATCTATATTCTTTGGTAACGTCATCAGAACGAGAAATCTGAGTGCGACATGATGGTGGGAAAGATGGAGAGGAAAAGAGAGAAGAGGCTAGAAAGTTTGATATCATATCATGAAAAATCATTTGTGTCAGATTTTATTGAAAGTACACAAGACAAAAGGTTGTGGACAGAAATGACTACCAACACCCCGGCATGGACTGTAGGAAAGTTTGTACCTTTAGTTGTATTCACTGCTTCACTTCCATCCGAGGGCGTAAAGGCAAGTGTAAAGATTTCTGTGTTTTATGTTTGAGCAGGATTATCCCAGTGAGGATTCTGGAGCCCCATTGTGGGTGAAGACAAGAACAGACTCACTGCTTCCTCAACAAGCATGTCATAAGAGTCGACTAATTAGGGGCTTTGTTCAAAGTCAGAGTACATCTGCCTGAGAGGCAAGGAACCAAGAGTCTGCATACAACTAAGCCAGATATGTGAAACAGATGCGCACACAACACTCAGGTTCTGAAACAAGACTGAAGTCTGTAGGTGGACGCACATCCAGAACTTCCTACTGGAGTTTACAGCTGGTGAATGCGAGGAAGAAGAAGAATTTTTAAGTAGGATTAAACTAAGTCACCACAGTGTGGGTTCCAGGGCCCCAATGGGGGTGTGGGGGAGGATAAGGCCCATTGCCCCCTAACACGCATGTCGCAAAAAGCAACTAATTAGAAGTTAGCTGAAATCAGATGTGGTGGGACGAACAGCAGATATTCAGCCAACTCCAACATTCTAGTAACTGCCTTTTAAGAGTGAATGCTGAAAAAGCAGACAAATGCGGTCATACCTAGCGCCCTAATCCACTACAACAGAAAACCCTCATAATGACGGATTTCAAACAAGAATGATAAAATGTAAATCACTTGAATAATCAAACCAAATGCCCACAGTTCTGCTTCACCCCACTTACCTCAAGTGGATCCAACATGCCCTTGCGTGTGACAATAATCTGTTTAGGCTGCTCTTCCACTGGCAGAGATCTGATCAAAGCAGCCACCTCTTCTGCAGTCTTCCACTTGGCCAGTTGACCCAGACGTTTCTGGCCCGCCCACACAGAGGTGTGGATGATCTTCAAGAACAGCTGACCAGTTCGAGGGTTGAAAATAAAGATAGCCCCGTTGATTGGTTTTGTGGTCAAGTTGCCTTCAAACGTCTGTAACAAGATTTTTTTTAAAGCAACATTATAGTTTAATCAAACATATACTATAGGGTGTTCCAAAGAAAATTAAGGAAGAAGTATATAATGAAACAAAAACAATAAACTAAAGAGGTACTGCGGAGATTGGGAATGAAAAGAGATTTGCTAAAAGAAATGAGACAAGCAAAATACTTCTACATTGAAAGACATAACATACTGAATACTAAAAACCATACTAGATAAAAAAAAAAAAAAAAAGATTAAAGACAAGCAAGCAAGAGGAGAATTACGGTACAAGTGGGATGAAAACATCAAGAGACTAGTGAGCAGTTGTCTCAGAGAATGTACAACCAGGACACGAGGCTGAGCATCTTAGAGATTCATTGTAGCCAACCTTTATCAAGGAGAGAGCACCTGATGGACTGATTGACTTATAAGGTAGTTTCAAGATGTTTCCTGAATCAAGCTAAAACAACTCACTTAGAACAAGCACCTAAACTAAATCCATTTACACACAGCAATGTGTCGGTTCCAGGGTTCAACTGGGGAAGCGGGGAGGGAGGAGAAAACAGACTGACTTCCCTGTACAAAGCATAGTGTAAAAAAAAAACAAAAGAACTAATATGGGCACCCATTATCCTAATTTCAAGAATGTTCAATAAAAAATTACCTTGTGGATAGTGACTCTGTACACATTAGTGTCGTCCACAAACCAAATGATTTGGTTTGAGAAGAGCTCTCCATAGTTCTGAGAGCTCAGGTATGGTTCAGTAGGCTCGGATGAGTACAGCTGCAGACCTTTACGTATTCTCTCTCTCAACACATACAAGGCCGGGTTGGCTTTCATGATCTTTGCCATGGCTTGCTGGATCAGAGGTTTCGCTCCAGGGAACCAGTTGCCGTATGCACTGTGGACATAAACATATATCTTTTCTGAAACATCAGTAACACCTATCTTGCAAGTTTACAGGAGGGAAAGAGAGTCATTTCACAACATCAGTTATACTATTCCTGTCTAGGCATTTTATGGATATTTTGAGAAAGAAATTAACAGATTAGCGATTTTGTGTATTCTTGCTTGCAACTGAATCATTTTCCTTTTTTTTTTTCATATGCTGATGAGAGGCTTTACAGCTGAAATATTTATTTGTTGTTCGTGATTGTGATAATGTGGGGCTGACTAGTTCTAGTTCTTCTTGTCTGGATTGTGCTTTCATATAATCAGTAGCACCTGTGTTGCAACTTTACTAGAATAAAGTATAATCATTATGTAACATTAAAAATACCTTTCCTGCAACTTTATAGTAGTGAAATAGAATCAATCTGTAACAGTACTAATACCTGTCTTGCAAATTTACAGAAGTGAAATAGAATCAGTAACCATTTAAACAGTGTATCGTGAAGCCAGCTAAGTTCTCAACCAGAGCAGGATTATTTTTCTCTATGGCCAGCGCGGCTCTTGAGTCGACCCCGCCTCATAAAGTTGAGAGAATCAACTTGCACCGAGTTGTATCCCATATGGCTCAGTGTCTCTATGCAGAATGGCTAGTCGCCTGCCAAGAGTGTTGCATAAAGTACAAACTCTGTAGGTCTGGTGATGATCCTCATGGATCTCTGCTACAGAAATGTTGGTGCCTTATTTTATTTGATCATTCATGCGTGCAACTACTGATTTGTTCTAAGTACTGCTGCTATCAATGATAAACTGCATTTCTAGTGTCAGACTGTTTGTGTTAGCATTTCTGACAGCTGCCTTATGCATTTAATTTGTGTCTGCGCGCGTGTGTGTGCTACTGGATTTGCTGAGATTGCAGTCTGTGTCAATGTTTCCACAAGGGACAGTGATGGACATTCTGTGTGGTTCTTTGTTGGCACAGAAACAAAGCAACTATGAAGCAACCTGGTTGCTATGAGGCTGGAGATGTAATTACCTCATTACTTAAGTGAACAAGTGTTTCATTTCTTGACCGCTCTGTCTCTTCCCTAGGGTGCAAAGGTAAGTAAGACCTGTATTCCTATTGTATAAATTTATGCTTTTTTTTTTTTTTTTTTCAAATGCCTATTTCACTTCTGCAATCATATTATTATGTTAACCGCCATGGTGGTATGGAGAGAACAGTGATGGAGGCTGCAGTTTCTGGAAAAAGAGGCAGAGGGCAACCTCAACAAATGTGAATACAGAACAATGAAGATGCATTGGTTATGAAAGCACACAAGCTAGGGAAAGGGAGACTGTTAGGTGTGCCATGAAGACAGCAACATTCTATAGAGGACATGCTGACTGATGATAGTGAATTATGTTACTACATGCAAAAGACAGGGAAAACTTGTTGATGACAGCACTATCATCAACATGGATTATGCCAGTAACCGAAGACAGTAAATTTCCACATCTCACATCACCACCAGAATCCTAGATTAAGTCAGTGTTCTTGTCTTGCACCATCCTTATGGCTAAATCATCAAGGTTTGTTGAAGCAACCTCAGACAGCACTAGTGGGATAACAGCCAACTAACCTGTGCAAGTTATAAGCCAGATCCACGGCAATCAGAAGGCCGGTGGGAGATGGGTAGATACTCATGTTGTCGGTGGTGTAGTCCAGAAACTTGGCCCTGGCGTATCTCTCAACATCATGGGAGTCATAATCGCCCCATCTCAGCTGCACATCGATCCAGTATTTCTGTGTGGTGGCTCCGTCCATCACATCTCTACAAGGAAAGATAAAATAATAACTTGTAACACCAAAATTATCATTCTCAAAAGATCAAAAATATTAATCCTGTCGCCCCAAAAAGGCTGCTCTGGTCACTTCCAGTTGTGACACAGCACCATACATGTTAACATATTGTCATTTCTGCAATGACCTTGTTCTCGAAAAGCACAGTTGAATGCCACCGACTATATGTGTGCCTGTGTAGTATTGAGGAAGCCTAGGTCTGATAAACTAAATAAATATAACAGAGAGGTTTTCCTGGGAATCCAATAGCTTTTGACAAGCTCAGCTGAATTAAAAATTGTCCCATAAACCTCGGTGATAGAGGTCAGGGAATCACTTGATGAGTCACCAATACATAAATGTTTAGTCCCTATGCAATGCATTCCATCTAATGCTTCGCCCTGTTATTGTTTACTAATTATTTCCTTTAAACATTCCAAAACAAAAATATACAACATGAAGATAAGCAGATTTTAAAACAATTTATCAGCTACCTGTGTAAGATTGTTATTTAAAAGGATTTTTCAGAAATTTTCACTGGTTTATGGGCCATATTTTTCAAGGTTTGCAGGGAAAAGGGGTTTTAAATCAACCAGGGGCCTTCTGCACATTAAAGGTTGGCCGCAATGGATCTCCAGCTCTATCTTTCAATTAACAAAGAAAGAATGCACAAAATATTCTTCATTTTATAAAAAGGCTGCCTTTGCTTGAGCTATTTGACAGTTAACTTCCTTAATACACCTTCTATCTGATGTTACCACAGTAAAAAAGGAGCAACTCACTTGCTGTCAGCCAAAAGTGATGGCTTGGCAACATTCCACTTATAGGCAGCAAACAGCTGAATGTCTGCACAGGAGCTGTTCATCTTGTAGGACTTGCGGGGATGAATAGTCTCTTTCTGCACAGTTTCTATCTCCAGAGCATCCAACTCTTGATCGAAAACCTAGGGACAATTAAACAAGCTCTTAATGCTCTGAGTACTTTTAACAGTTCTGTGATTGGCCTTGTCTGTTCAGTTGGTAACTCCAGGTAGGTCAGCATATAGATATTATCTCTCCACAATCTTCTTGGTCTGCCTCGAGGTCTATCCTCATTCTTCTTTTTCTTCTCTTTCGTTTTCACCAGTTGTAAACTCTAGGCTGTTTGCCCACTTCTGAAATTTAGTCTTGCCCAGAACTTTAGTTCTGCGTGCACATCATTTTACAGGGCAGACTTTTATGTATGCAGACTGTTAGTTCCTTGCCTCTTAGGCAAATACATCTCATTTCAAAGGAAACCCTAATTAGTTTACTCTTATGACATGCCTATTAGAGGGACTTAATCCAATGAACATTGACTGAAATGGGAAAGCAGAATAACGTGCACACAAAAAAAACGTTTTGGCGCTGGGCCTTTCTCAACATCAACGGAACTACAACGGCCAAACAACTTTTTTTTTAACTCCAAACACTACAGTGTCATATAAGAAACTTTTTTTTTTTTCAAAAAGTGATGTGGAATGAATTAAATAAAATAAAATAATGAAAGGCTAGAAAAATAGGCTTTAAAAAAAGTAAAAGGGATAAAATATAATAGTAGGAATAAAAGAACAGTAGAAAAAGAAATGTTTATGATCCATAAATAATACTGATATGTGATGGAATAAAATACACTATATATTTTTCCCTATTTCATTAAGCTTTTCAGTCACTGTTCATTGGATTAATTCCTTTGTATTAGCTAATCTGCAGTCGTCCCTATTTTTTTTTAACCACTGGTGAGGGGTGAAAGTGTCTAAACCCCCCCCCCCCCCCCCCCCCCTTTTTCGCTTTACGGAACTCATACAGCGATATTCCCCTTTAACTCTTTTTTGTCTTAACAGTTTTTATCACTGGGTTATCTGCCATTCTCTCTACATGCCCCAACAAGTGCAGTTTATGATGCCACAACTGGTGCTGATTCAAACAGATCACAAATTCACTGCTTGTCTCTGAGTCTTTAGTAACTGCCGTAGTGTAGCAGTTAATCCTTCGTCTTGGGCAGAAAGGTTGTAGGTTCAAATTTGCCAAACAAATTTCAAAAATGACCCTGGCTCCCAGGCCAACCCAACCTAAAATGGGTAGCAGGTAAAGTCCTGGGAAGTATATGCAGTTAGTGTAATGCTCCCCGCATCCCCCACAGAATGCCTGCAGTTAGTGTGATGCTCCCCACATCCCCCACAGAGTGCCTGCAGTTAGTGTGATGCTCCCCACATCCCCCACAGAGTGCCTGCAGTTAGTGTGATGCTCCCCACATCCCCCACAGAGTGCCTGCAGTTAGTGTGTTGCTCACCACATCCTCCACAGAGTGCCTGCAGTTAGTGTAATGCTCCCTGCATCCCCCACAGAGTGCCTGCAGTTAGTGTGATGCTCCCCACATCCCCCACAGAGTGCCTGCAGTTAGTGTGATGCTCCCCACATCCCCCACAGAGTGCCTGCAGTTAGTGTAATGCTCCCCACATACCCCACAGAGTGCCTGCAGTTAGTGTGATGCTCACCACATCCCCCAAAGAGTGCCTGCAGTTAGTGTGATGCTCACCACATCCCCCAAAGAGTGTCTGCAGTTAGTGTGATGCTCCCCACAGCGTGCCTGCAGTTAGTGTGATGCTCCCCACATCCCCCACAGAGTGCCTGCAGTTAGTGTGATGCTCACCACATCCCCCACAGAGTGCCTGCAGTTAGTGTCATGCTCCCCACATCCCCCACCGAGTGCCTGCAGTTAGTGTGATGCTCACATCCCCCACAGAGTGCCTGCAGTTAGTGTAATGCTCCCTGCATCCCCCACAGAGTGCCTGCAGTTAGTGTGATGCTCCCCACATCCCCCACAGAGTGCCTGCAGTTAGTGTATTGCTCCCCACATACCCCACAGAGTGCCTGCAGTTAGTGTGATGCTCACCACATCCCCCAAAGAGTGCCTGCAGTTAGTGTGATGCTCACCACATCCCCCAAAGAGTGTCTACAGTTAGTGTGATGCTCCCCACAGCGTGCCTGCAGTTAGTGTGATGCTCCCCACATCCCCCACAGAGTGCCTGCAGTTAGTGTGATGCTCACCACATGCCCCACAGAGTGCCTGCAGTTAGTGTCATGCTCCCCACATCCCCCACCGAGTGCCTGCAGTTAGTGTGATGCTCACATCCCCCACAGAGTGCCTGCAGTTAGTATGATGCTCCCCACATCGTGACTGCAGTTAGTGTGTTGCTCACCACATCCCCCACAGAGTGCCTGCAGTTAGTGTGATGCTCCCCACAGCGTGCCTGCAGTTAGTGTGATGCTCCCCACATCCCCCACAGCGTGCCTGCAGTTAGTGTGATGCTCCCCACATCCCCCACAGAGTGCCAATTGGTCTATACAAAAATATGTCCAGCACTAAATCCCCCAAAATGCCCTAATGGCATGAACAAGGGTTCTTAACCACTCACTCTTCAGAATGCTTACCTGACACAAATCCATAACAATGCTCTCATGAATCTTCTGCCACAAATGGGCCCTGAAAATCTGGATCAGTGAGATCTTCAGTGTGGGGATCTTGCCGTGCATAAAGATACCAGTCAAGTCCAGTTGCACCTGGAAACCCACGTACACCTGGCAAAGGACCAACACAACAGTGATTAGAGAACATACACCTGGCAAAGAACAAACACAGCAGTGATTAAAGAGCATACACCTGGCAAAGGACCAACACAACAGTGATTAGAGAACATACACCTGGCAAAGAACAAACACAACAGTGATTAGAGAACATACACCTGGCAAAGAACAAACACAGCAGTGATTAAAGAGCATACACCTGGCAAAGGACCAACACAACAGTGATTAGAGAACATACACCTGGCAAAGAACAAACACAACAGTGATTAGAGAACATACACCTGGCAAAGAACAAACACAACAGTGATTAGAGAACATACACCTGGCAAAGGACCAACACAACAGTGATTAGAGAACATACACCTGGCAAAGGACCAACACAACAGTGATTAGAGAACATACACCTGGCAAAGGACCAACACAACAGTGATTAGAGAACATACACCTGGCAAAGAACAAACACAACAGTGATTAGAGAGCATACACCTGGCAAAGGACAAACACAACAGTGATTAGAGAGCATACACCTGGCAAAGGACCAACGCAGCAGTAATTAGAGAACATACACCTGGCAAATTTGTACTAGGAAATGTCACAGGAAGTAAAGGCAACCATGTGATGATGACCATATACCCAGTGGTCTATAAAAATATGGGTCTAGCACAATATGTCCAACAGTTTTACTGATGTGAAAAGGATGTTGTTCACAGCAAATTTATGTACCATCGAGGTATCAATTTACAGAATGTCTTGGAGCCTGGACTATGCTAGATATCCGCCCTTTCTGCCAGGATTTTTTAAATATAAGTAAGATTGTGAATATCACAGTTTTGGTGACATTAGAGCAAATTACAGATTAGGTGGTAGACCAAAAGTTTCTAGAATAATCTGTGAGAAAACATTACCAATATTTTTTGATGTAGCAATTGTCTAAGGGGAGAACTGCCAAAAGTTTATTATTTATAATGTAAAAGGGTAAAACTGTCCTAAGTTAATTATTTATAAGTACTGTAATAACTATATGCAACTGAAAGTTGAAGTACCGCTAAGACATAGAATGAAAAATAAATGCATTCGAGAAACAAATGCCTCCGGAAAATGATGCAAATAAAATGGGATGAATTCAAAAGGAGTCAAGAAATTAGAGAAACGTCTGGGCAACCCCAGACATCAACAGTTACAAAGTACAAGGATGATGGCGACACATTGGATACCTCCTGAAGAAGAGATCAGCTGAGAATCACCAAACAGATATTACAATGGGAAATGAAGGTATTCAGGAAGTGAGAACACCCAAAAGAAACCCTAAGACAAAAGTTGAGAGACGCCAAAGCTGCTATAATAGATTCGATCCAGGATATTATTGAACTGATTGCACAGGACAGAGCGGAATGGAGAACTAGACTGTGAGCCTTATGTGGCACACAATAGCACAACAAGATAATGAATGAATGAACTGTAATTACTAGAGAGGAGGAGTTGGAAGCGTTAGAAAGTTAGGCTCTCGTGTAAAAGTCACAGGTTCAAATCCTTGTTAGTGTTACGACTTTTTTGTCTTTGAGACATAAAGAAAACTCCTAGTCTGTATGGTTTACAGCAACTCCGCTAGCCATGTAGCCCTAAATGCTACGGCTAAAGACTTCATCCCTAACTACAAATGCCTTAAACAATTGTGAATACATGCATTAATAAGTTTTTAAGATTAATTATAGAAATTCTAAAAATTGTGTACAGACAGACCTACAAACACTTGGATTCACCAAATGGAAAGAGAAAGCCAGTCACAGCTATGAATGGAGGCAGGTGATATCTGTAGCAGTTAATTTTAAAAGCACAAAATGCAAAAGATTAAACATTATACTAGAAAGAAACAATGACAGACACAATTGTCAAAACTTACATTGGCTCTGTTGATTGTTGGTGACCACCAGAGAGTAAACCTTCGGTTGGGGATCTGGTTCAGACCTGACCTCTGAGCATTGGTCAACTTCTTGTACTTCATGGACTCCTCAAATCCACTTGCTCTCTCCCTGTGGTAACAGACAAGTGAATTTAGTACATGTAATATTTTTCTATAACAGACAGTTCAACGAATTGTGAGGAAAAAATATCTGGAATCGGTAGGAATGTGGTTTTATGGACGAATGATGAGAATACCCTAGACAGATAAGAAGAGTAATGAAGATGTCTTTAAAGAAACTGATTAAAAAAAAAATATATATATATATATTTGTGCACAATTAGTAAACCACCTACATTCTTCGGTCATGTCATGAGAAACAGAAAACTGAAGTACACTGTGAATGTGGCAGCAGTGGAAGACAAGGCAGTGGGAGACCAAGATAGAAGGTGCTGGACAGTTTGATATCACGGCATGGAAGATATTCTGTGTCGAGAGAGACTGAAAGTTGTTGATAGACATGACCACCAACCCCACACTGCACGGACTATAAGAGGAAGACATGAAATAGAAACAAAAAAGTAAAACAATGAGTGACATCAGCACATCATAATAAGTGGGCACAGGTGTTCGTTATCTAAGATCGTTAAGCCTTTGCTACTACTGATCCATTGTGTTGATATGACCCCCCACCCCCTTACCCCAAACCCCCTTTCAAGACCCAGAGTAAAAATAAACAACACACAATGAAGCACACAAAAATGAATCCTTCTCACTGAAATGCAAATACACCTAGTCTCTGTACATCTCTCCAAAATAAATTATTTAAAATTAACATATTTACAAGAACACATACAGAACAGTTAAATTACCATAATTCGTCTACTTGTTGAGAAAATGCAACGTTTACACAGCCATGACTGATAAGATGAACGATAATTTTTTTAATATTAAATTAGTTTTTGGTCCCAAAAAATCACAACAATCTATCACAAACATGAGATGAACCTACCAGAACAAACCCTCCCATGTTGGGAAATAGGTTCCCTTGAACAGTGTGTGCTCAAGAATACCCTCCACACCACCTAGTGCCTGGATCATGTCTGTTCTGTAGTTGTTCAGGTTCCACAGTTTCCCGTCGTGCCGTTGGTGAGTCCACCAGAATGGGTTCTGTTTCAGCACCTTTGTAAGAAGACCAGAACAGATTAGCACAACTGTGATACCACCGCGGCCTTGGTTTAATTATTTTTTTTTTTCTGTCCCTAAAAAATGTAAACCGAGTGACAATCCTCTGCTTTGAACCCCAACAAGAGGCAATGTCTCAAGTTTTACATTCCGATCCAACAATAAACATGAAATATAACTGGCTTCACTGACAGTTTCCCCCAAAGAATACTGGTTCACAAACAGAACCATGAATCAGAAAATATAATACTCATCATCATCACTCAGTAGTGCTGTTACATGTTACCCCATTCAGTAGTGCTGTTACATGTTACCCCATTCAGTAGTGCTGTTACATGTTACCCCATTCAGTAGTGCTGTTACATGTTACCCCATTCAGTAGTGCTGTTACATGTTACCCCATTCAGTAGTGCTGTTACATGTTACCCCATTCAGTAGTGCTGTTACATGTTACCCCATTCAGTAGTGCTGTTACATGTTACCCCATTCAGTACTGCTGTTACATGTTACCCCATTCAGTACTGCTGTTACATGTTACACAGAGATTACAGTCTAGTCTTTGTTGTATTCTGGGCAATCCTTTTGATTTCATAGATGAAATCCAGCCTAGCACCCTTGGCCTCTCAACACTGTTTCTCTTATTGGTTTTTTTATTTTTCTTTGGAAATTCTCATTTCCTCAATCCATTTGTTTCTCATTTCCTCAATCCATTTGTTTCTCATTTCCGTGTCTGTTTAGAGATTGCTTTTTCCCCTTTTATCCTCATGATGAGCCCAATAAATTTTCCAATTTATTTGTCTTATAACTGGATGAAGAACTAAAATATGTCACATATATTAAATGTCGCAGTGTCTAAGAAATAATTTTAGGTATGGTACCTGAATACCAGACAGAGACCAACCACCATGAACATGAAAACAATGCAATAAAAGACTGTCGAGGGAAACGCATCAGGCTGGGGAACGGGCAAAAGACAAAGTATTTCCAGCAGATTTTGAAGCAGATCAGGGTTTGAATCCTTGGTAAGGTAGTCTTAGTGGTTATTTTCTCCATAAGCTGCAAAAATACAATTCTAACATTTCTTTCCTAACTGGGAAGTGAAACCAAACCGCCAGTCGCACTACACTATCACAAATTCATAGAACATAATATGTAATGAAAGTAATAAATTAGATCTAGCATACCTGGTACTGTTTGAAATCTGTACGGACTCTCCAGCCCTTGTCATAGGCCAAAGTCTGCTTATCTTTCTGAAACAGTGTGTTGATACGAGGAATACCGCGATCCCAGCTGTCTTCCAAATCTTCCAGGGTCAAGCGGCGGTTCTGTGCATTGGCTTCATGTCTCTTGAGGGCATACTCTGCCCAAACTCGCTGAGAGTCGATAAACTCACTTTCCCAGGGCATAATGTACCTATAAAATCAAGTATACACTTACCATCACCCATTTTAAAAAAACAAGAAACTCAACAAGGATTTCATGAGTTAGCCCCTTTTATACAACTCTAAATAAGCATATTTCTGCAAGTAATGTTAATTATTAAGCCAAATTCCAAATAATGCTTATAATAATTGTGGGATCTTTTTGCAATGAAGTTAGTTTGATTATTGTGAGGAAATTATTGCATTATTGAAATGATTGTCTGAACACACACTGTGTTTTCATGAAAGTCTTTATAGACTATATACAGGGTTCATAGCCAAATTTACCAATCAATTTCAAGGCTTTTCAAGGTCTTTTTCAAGGTCTCCTTAGTTTTTTTCAAGGTTGTCTCGGTATAATACTGAAACAAGATTTTTGCCTTGTTCAAGGGTGTACTGAGCACACAAGGTACTTCATTTGTGCCACATGTGTTGGTATACCAGCACAGATATCATCATCATGTAGCATTTCCTTTGTCCTGACAAAAAAACATCGGTCTCTCACCAGCTCTCCCGCCTCATGTACTTTTTTATACTCAAGGAGTCATTTATATCCTGTGCCCATCTTCGTGTTGGTCGGCCCCTGAGCTTGATATAGTGTTTGAAATTTTTTTTTAGGGCTTGGTGGTAGAGGGCAGCAAACTGAAGTCCTGTCTGTTCTGGACCTGGTACCTGAGAGGGTTAGGGTAGAGAGAGAGAGAGTCATGAAGAGAAAGGAAGACACATGCTGAGGTAGGCTGGGAGAGACAGTGTAAAGATGGACAGATGAAGGTAGAGAAAAGAAGGAAAAGAAGTCTGGGGAAGGAGGAAAAAATGAGAGGGAGGGATGGAGACATGATGAGGAAAAGTGGGGAAGGGACAGCGAAAGACAGAGAGGGAGACAAATACAGAAAGAGGGAATGCAGATAGAGATGGGCAGATGAAAAGAGAAGGAAAAAGGGAACGAAACAGAGATATGGAAGGAGAAAAATATGACAAAGAGTTGAAAGAAGGGAGACAGAGGGAGAGAGAACGGACAGGGTGAGAAGCAGATGCAAGCAGAGAGAGATGTAGACATAAAGGAGAGAGAGACAAAGGGACAGCACAGAGAGGCAAGCAGACAGAGGGAGAGAACCAAAGAAAGAGAAAAAAGGCAGAGCAGGAGAATGGGAGGGAGGTATACAAAGAGGAAGTGATGAAGGGAGGCAAACAGACATAAAGCAAGGGAGAGAGAGAGGTGGGTAAGGAAGGCAGTGACAAACACAGATTAAGAGAGAGGGGCAGGAAGGGAGACAAGATACATCAAAGAAAAAAAACAGCCACCTACTCCCCCCCCCCCACACACACACACACAGTTTCAAGTGTAGTGGACACAACCACTAGGAAAAAGATAGTTATGGGGCAAAAAAATACGTAGATGAACCAGTAACAAAATGGGGGGGGGGGGATGAGAGAGGGGAGCGGGTAAGGAAATCTAGAGAAAATGAAAAGACGGGATGGAGAGGAGACAAAGAAGAGATGGGACAGGAGAAAGGGCAAGGAAAGGAAGAGAGGAAGAATGGAGAGAGAAAGGAGAATAGTAGAAGATCAAAGGAAAGAGAAGAAAGGTAAGACACTGTTTTTGGGGGGGGGGGGGGGTGTAAGAACAATGAGTGCCAAAAATAGAATTAGGAAATCTCTAAGTGAGGACACTTTTCCAGTTCCTACCCTCTCCCAATGTGAATGTGGCCGTGGTCCAAAAACAACAGTGCTAACCCCTACTGCCCCTTGCTTGTCCTATCTGTGTGTGACAACAATAATTCAATTTCTTACACTTAAGGCTGGTGACCTGAGAGCCAAGGTCATTTTATGAAGAAAAAAAAAGTCCAGGGGATCCCAACCCACCACTGGTGGAAAATAGAGAAGTTTACCCCACACACATAAATAGGGTCAGACACATAAATAGGTCAGGGCAGCAGTGGACTTCGTTTTATTTCTGGTTTTCCAATTACAAAAAGGAGGGGGAGAGAGGAGGTGGTGGAAAGTGGTGTAGAAGGCTGAGGTGGTAAGGGTGAGACAGAGGAGGTGAGAGAATAAAGTTTAAGAAAATAAAGTGGGAATGAGACAGGGAGAGAAAGAAGGGAGTAAGAAATAAGATGAGATATAGAGGGAAGAAGGTAGCAGGAAGGGGTGCACTCCCTCCCCTAGGTGTCATCAATGTGGGAGGAGAAAAGGGGGGGGGGGGTGTGACGGCAAATGTGTTTTTTAAAAGTATACATATATTTAATGTGTGGGAGGGGGGAATGGTGGACATGAAATGTTCTGCACTAGGCAACACATAACCTTCTACACCAACTGAAGGTATGGAGAAAGAACGAGAGAGTTAGAGAGAGTGAAAGAGAGAGAGAGAGAGAGAGAGAGAGAGAGAGAGAGAGAGAGAGAGAGAGAGAGAGAGAGAGAGAGAGAGAGAGAGAGAGAGAGAGTTATGGAGCCGCACATTTACTAAACATTTAAACAAGAAATAAAATAGGAAAAAGGGGGAGGGGGACAGGAAATGAGAAAGTAAAAGGAAAGATAGAGAGAAAGAGAAGATGTTGAAGATCAGAAGGGAGGGTTAGAGACAATGCAGGAGACGGGAAGGAAGGAGCAATAGGTAGAAGAGTGAAAGAGGGAGGGAAAAGAGAGAGAGAGGGGTGAGACAACAGAAGAGGGAATCTCGGGGAATTACAATACTGATCGCCAAACACACTGTAAAGATAAATCCAGGCCAAAAATAGAACTGGGAAATCCTGCTGCATTCACTTTGCTTAGCCCCAATGCCATCTCTAATTAATAGAGAAGGCGGTGCTTAGCCCCCACCACGGCGACTCTATTTATAAATACAACTGAACCGAGCCCCACCATCTCCCAATGTAATCCTTTCTAGAAACCACAGCCATATACAATTTATACTGTTCATTCTGTCCAACTTGCTAGAAACAAAGGCACACACACACGCGAGACAGAAGCCGCTACTTCCCGCCCCATGCCACACCGCTGCTGTCTGCATGTATTCATGATCTGCAACACAGCCCGCCCTCCCCTGGCCTTTAACAAGCCATTTCGGCTGAAAATAGCCAATAATCAGCTGCCCTCACACCTGAAACGACCATACAACGAAAGTAGCCAAAAACTAGCCAAATGGCCAAAAAAGCCAAATGGCTCCCCCAAAATTGCCTGTGCTGAAAAACACAGGATTTCTGACGATTTCATTGCTCATTGCCGCGGTCAAAATTCACGGCTTTTCAAGGTCGGAATGTCTTTTATAAGCTAAAAATCCCGGTTCAAGGTCAACGAAAAAAATCCCGGTAATTTCCAGATTTCCCGGTCCACTACGAACCCTGTATATACACAGGCTAGATAATGAACATAATGAATCAGTGGAGAAACAAGATTTTTATGGCCTGGAAAGAATGAGGCACCTGGGTGTAACCAGAGGGTCTGGCCGGCTCACTACACTCAGAGAAAAGGCAAGAACAACATATAACCAGATTGTGACCAGTACCATCAGTACTGGAACCCTGCGCTGGCTGCGGAAGATAAAGACGGAGCATGCATGGAAATGCCCCGAGTGCTGTGATATAAATTCTTAACTCAACTCAAAATTATAGCCACGGATGGGATCTGGAGTGGTCGCTAGACGTTCATCTGCTGATCCAAAGGTCATGACTTCAAACCTGAAAGGAGCCTGACTAAAACTTGGCTCCAAGGCTTAAATGAGTAGCAGGTAAAGTCATGGGAAGTAAAGGCAGACCACAACAGTGTTGATTAGTCTTTCAAACATAGGTTCAGAACGATATGTCCAGTAAGTCTGATGGTGTGGGAAGGGTCCCTTACTGGTTGTGTATACATATATATAAGTCTATTAGGTGATCACTGGGTTCACTATCTTATTTGTTGCCAAATTCAACCAGTCTTAAAACAAGTCAATATTAGTGTTTAAATAATAAGATATTATTCTACACCATTTAAAACAGATCGCAGTCCTAACAGGCTATTTTATATCAACGTGCAAGTTCAATATTTGCTAATAATACTGCATGAACGAGACAGTTATTTAACATGATAACATTAAACCTATGGCCCTTAATCAATGGCACTGGTTCTCAAACTTCCTAACAGCGCAACCGTTTAATACAGTTCTTCATGTTGTGGTGACCCCCAACCATAATTTTTCACTGCTGCTTTATAACTTCAGTTACTGTTTTCCTGATGGTCTTAGGCAACCCCTGTGAAAGGGTTGTTCGACCCCAAAAGGGGTCACAACCCACAGGTTGAGAACGGTTGAACTATGGCAAGCAAATGTTAATATGTTAAAATGTCTCAACCGTGAATGCAATGATTCTAAACTATGCAGCCTGTGACATTATTTTTCACTCCATCAGAATTTACTATTCAGAAATCTTCTTGACATATTTGAATACATTAACGTACTTTATTCCGGTCACTTCAACTCTGCCCCCATAGTGGGTTTTTTTTTTAAAATAAACAATTTGTTTTGTTTTTTCATTCATGAACTGTGAACTCTGGTGGAAAGTTCTGGTCATTCATCCACTTCTGGACTGCAGTCCTGTTCCAGAACCTGAGTGTTGCATGTGCATCCATTTTACAGATATGACACATTTGCTTGCAGACTGTTGGTTCCTTGCCTCTCAGGCAGGTCCATTCCGACTTCGAAGGAAGCGCCCAGTAAGTGGACTCTTATGCTTTTGGGTAGGCAGTATGTCTATTCTTGTTTTTCCTATAATAGGGCCCCGGAACACACATGGGGGGACTGATTCTTTAAAAGTTATAACTTTGTAAAGCTACAGAGGCATAGCAGATGTACACTATGTGGACCCATGTATTAATTTTCTTCAAAGTGGTGATTTTTTCCTTTAACTTAAGCCCCAGCTAGCATACAATAACTTGGGACAGCATCAATATTCCCAGATAGCAAAGGCAGCTAGCACGATACTGATCACATCACCCAGGATTGTTGAACAACAACAACAACAAAAGCATGTTGCTGGTAGAGTACATGCAACATGTCTAGATGTTAAAGCCTTTTCCTACAAAAGTTAAATAAGCACCAATCAAGGACAGAATGAGTTAATTAACCTTACTCCATCCAAATAAGTCAGCATCACACACATCCACCTACCTGTACAAGTTAGGAATCAGCTGATCCTCATCATGAGACATCCCAGACAAGAAATGGGTGATGCCGACATCAGTCTGCTTGGACCAACGCAAGTCTGACTGAGGAATCAGCACATGGCCCATGGACAGCATGCCCAGACCCCCTAACTCTTTCGGAGTGTAGAACACCACCGGGGGAAATCTGCTGGGCATCTTGGAGTTGAGACCGATCTTGATTCGAGTCTGGATTTTGTTCTCACATTTGACCAAGAGGTCCAGTAATTCTTGTGTATTCACTACAGCTTCTCTGAAGTATGTCATCAGTCCAATCAGTGCGGTGTTCCATTTGTTCACAATCTGTAACAAAGTTCAACATAAACTGGATAAAACAGATATAAATAAATTCAGTACTCTGCCAAGACTAGTTCATTATAAACTTGATCAAATTATACAAAGTAATTACCAGGGCTAGAACCATTAATTATAAACCTGATAAAACAATGCGAGCAAATTAAATACTATGCCTAGAAAAGTGATGATTAAACTAATTATAATAATGGAAGTGGTAAAATATATGAAACACCATGTTTGGGACTAAAGAGATTCTAAATAGAGGTAAAAGTATTTTCTTCTCTGGCCTATGAAAGAGTTAGAGAAGGCACTAATAGAGCAGGAAGCACTGAAAAATAGAATTAGAGAATAGGGTAAAGAAAAACAAATACTAGGAGGATATGGGAGGGCAAAGAATAGGACCACTTGGCTTCAGTTGGTTGTGAGCATATTATAAATTAAACAAACTAGCTCAGGATTAAGTCTTATTTAATCTATCCCTATTTGGACAATAAATTTTAATTTAGATGCAAGAAATGTGTCATCTTGAGCCAAAAACAAAACCTGAACACTGAATCTGAGAATGTACTATCCCCCTCACTTTGTCTTACACCTTCCAATTGAGCGCAGACCTTCAGCAAACCCTTTGCACGACTTGTTCATGAATGACCCAACTTTCAGTGACTTCTATAAGAAGTCTCACAGCTATCTTCTTTAGTCCCCTCTTATGACATGCTTGGTAGGTAGGTTACTGTTCTTTGCTTCCTTTCACTGCTGAAAGTAAAACTTCCATAAGCTCCCTGTAATGACTGATGTTTCCTTAGTTCTCAAGCCAAAACATCGTTAGCTACCACTGGCATCATGTGCTGTGTAAGACAACTTGACCATTGTCAATAGGGACACATTTCAGATTTACTGCATGCAGTCATTCCATAAGTTTACTTCTATATCATACAGATCAGGGCTATTCAACTGTGGGTCAAACCCGCCCCACACAGGCTTGCAAGCTGCCTGTGGATCATTGCTGTTTGTACTGTATTAATGATCTACCTGCGCAGAGGTTCAGCCCTCTGGTGATCCCCATTTTAAAAAATGTCTACATCTGAATAGCCATAATGTATACAGACATCAAAGGCATTGAAAACGGAAAGTCTCACCTTGGTGAATGTTGTAGAACCAGAAGCCATCAAGATCTGCCTGACTCTGTTATGAAACTTGCCCATGGAATCTTCATCAACTCTCAAGAAACACTGTGCTGTCCTCTCTTTAGTCACCTGATAAAAGAAAAGCATGCATAGATCACAAACACCTTCAGGGTAATGATAACAGTCCATGAATATTAACCCTCTCATTCGTTATTCACAGAATATTAGATATGGGCATTTGGGCAGTGGCCACTAGGCCTATACAACAGCTTTAGTATTGCTGCAACTGCATAGTGTGTAGATATGGTTGGTATTGTGATGTATACCCCCCCCCCCCCCCCCCCCCCCGCCAAAATACATTATTAGGCATAAAACACATCACATATCAAATGTTTTTTAATCCCATGCATCGTCACTTTGCTCTTGTTGGCTAAGTTAACAAAACCTTGTTTATCAAAGGGAAGGAAAGCAGTTTATTCTTTGCTCTATCTGCATTTAGGGTAAATTTTGTTATTTTAAAAAATTGCATGCCAAAATTAATTGTGAAGATAAATGTGAAAGATTTTAGTGACCTGTAGGCAGTGTTGTATTATGCACTTCATGCCTGCCTGTTGTTGGGTGGTCTAGGGTTTGATCCCCTGGATTTTTACAAAAAACTCTATGATTCCATATTTTTTCTGCTTCCTCTTTTTCTCTAGTTTTGTAGGGGTAGAGTTTCACAGAATTATACACAGCGTTTCTTGTTATTGAAATTGTTAAAAGGTTATTTTTGTAAAGGTTTTTACACATGGAAAGGGTTGAATCTGTGAAACACATTTGTCTTAGAATATCAAAAGCTGATAAATCAAGATAAGTCTCTGTGTACATTTCTGACTCTCAAACATAAAGAGAATCAAGAAAAAAAGTCAAGGTGAGGTTAGAAAAGACATTAAAAAATCTGGGAACACAGAAGATCACAGTAACAGTTTGCAAGAAAACCCAAAAAGGTTAAGAAACCGAGACTACAATAAAGAATTTAATTATCAAGACAGTTAAAATTAGCAAACATTATATCGACAGAAAAAGGCTAGGTAGACACATTTTTAATTTCTGTTAACAACTGCAAAGTTGTTCTGTTTTCTTTGTTAAGAAGCATAAATTACCAACAGAAGCTGCAGGGACTGACCTCATTCTGTAGGTTCCAGACTCCATCTTTGTGAGTGAACTCCTCATGCTGAGTCCTGCACTTGGGCAGGATGCGGCACTCAAAGCCACAGATGTTGAACAGCAGGTTGGGGTTGTCCTTACTGTAGACAGACACAAAGCTGGACTCCCACTGGATGGTAGTCACTGACCTAGGCAATCTGTTCTTGATGTCCCAGAACACAGCACGCCCTCTAGCAGAACAACAGGGAACAGAAAATATGTACAAATGATACAGTCCCACATTCCCCCCACTAAAAATATTCCTGAATTTGTTTAGTCAGAGCTTCTCAAACTGTGTCTTGACACACACAAAGATATGCTGGCTGCAGTGTGAAAGGCAAATGTAAAGAATTGAAAAAAAAATTATGTTGAGTGTTGAGCTAAGAACTGACATCACAGCACTCTGGACATTCCCATAAGTGCTTCATCCACATCTTAAGCAGCCAGCAAACAGTCCAATCCCAAGGGTGCTAGTAGCAGTAGAATTATATACCTGCCTTGCCTAACAATTCCAGTTACCACCAGTTCTATCAAGCTTCAATCCCAAACGCTCTGATTTTCACCATACACTCCTACTAGAATTTATTATTATTATTCACAATCTATATACATGTCCAGATTGATTGATTGATCAGTCTGTCTCGCTCTGATTTTCACCATACACTCCTACTAGAATTTATTATTATTATTTACAATCTATATACATGTCCAAATTGATTGATTGATCAGTCTGTCTCGTATGCACTACTTTCTAAAGATTTATCTTACCATCCTCAGATTAAAGAATCATAATCAGGAAGGCAGACCAACAAGGTAGAGCCCAGATACCTCGTTCAATCTTTAAAGAAGTTATAATTATGGCACCTGTCACAGCTACATCAGCCAGGTAAACCTGCAGCCCTATGCAGCTAACGATGTGTCAGTATCTCTTATAAGAGGCTACATTAACCTCTGGTATCCTAGTAGACTGAATTATGAGTCACAAAATTATACTTGTCCGTAACGTATCACCAGCGTAAAAACTTTGGAAAGCCCTGGTCTAGTTACAGAACATATGTTCTACACTAAGCAATACAGGAGGTCATGTCTCACCACAGCTGTATGTCTGTTACTGAATTGCTGGTGAATTTCACAGCTGTCTGTCTGTTACTGAATTGCTGGTGAATTTCACAGCTGTCTGTCTGTCACTGAATTGCTGATGAATTTCACAGCTGATAATCTTCAGCCAACTTAATTATAACATGCTATTCATTTGCTTTAGAGTTATTTCTAAAGAAAACCACTACGCCCACCACAAAATGGTAAAAATAACTTGGGATGCCTGGGGGGAAAAAACCAACTAAAGAGAACTAATTACTTGTGCTTCCCATTTGGGTTCTGGAGCTCTAGTCAGGTGGAATTTGGGGGGGGGGGGGGGGGGGGGGAGGATAAACCCACTGCACTCTAACAAGTATGTTGTGAAAATCGACCAATCAGGGGTGTTTCCTTTAATGCTGGAGTTCATCTGCCTAAGATGTAAGGAATTTTCGACCAATCAGGGGTGTTTCCTTTAAAGTTGGAGTTCATCTGCCTAAGAAGTAAGAAATCAACAGTCTGCTTATAAATAAGCCACATCTGTTACTCTGTGTCTTACACTATAATGTATATAATTATTCGTTACGTTCTTTTTAGAACGTAATTTTTTTGTTATTTGAAGCCTCACTCTGGCTTTTGCCAGAGGCCGCAATACAGGCAGGCCATAAATATGGCCAATTGTCTGAACGTGGTTTCTGGGACCTCTCCACAGTGATCCTCATCAACATTATGGCACTTTGTGTCATCAGGTGTTTATCGCTTGTGTGATGTCCTAGTGGGGTAGAAAGTCAGTCAGTTACTCTGTACATGCAAAATGCAAGTTCTGAAACAAGACTAAAGTCCAGAATTGGATGAACAACTTGAGCTTTCTGCTGGAGTTTACTGCCAGTAAAAGCACAGAAAAAGAATAATAATACTTTTGACATTTACAGTGAGTAGAGGCAAGGGGTGGGGGGGAAGACTTGTAAGACCAAAAGAGAAGATGCTAGATGGCTTCACATCGTTGGCATGGAGAAACATTTTAATTAGCAATGACAGAAAACTGTGGGGAAAATAACAGATACAAATAAAATAAGATCAGAGGTGCAACAGGGATGCCCTTTGTAGCCTTTACTATTTGTGACTGGTAATTGACTGGATTAGGAAGACAGATACAGCTACCGTCTGGAACGGAATTCAGTGCACAAAACAGTTTGAGAACCCGCGGGGGCATAGAAATAATGGCAGAATAAAAACAAGGATGGAGAAGGGAACTAGAGAATAAGTTAAAAAGAAAAAAAAAAGGGGGGGGGGGGGTGGGAGAGAAGGTGCGCACAAGGAGAGAGCTGTATGTGTTAGCACTTTTTATGAGCTGGCTGAAGGCCTGTGCTCCTTCTGGGGGAAAAGGACTAGAACAAGAATGAAGCTGTGCACATACATAAAGATAAGACAAACAAAGCAATGAACAAAAAGAAACAAATAGCAGATCTTACAAGTTGACATCATGTTTCATCAGCCTCATGCGAGAATCTCTGGGCCAGCACTTCTTGTTGTTGTAGCCGACAATGTTCTCATTGTTGGGATCTGGGTGCTCCGTCAGGTATCTCTGGATCAGGTCACGGGACTCCTCTGCTGTAAACCTAAACAATACAAGGCAAATACACGAGTGGTTAACTTATCTATTACACTACCTGGCAATGTCAGCAGCGTCACAAACAACAGTAAAAGAGAACCTTCTTCCATGCCAGCGGTGTGTGCAGCATTTGATTCCAAACCCCCAATTGTAGAGACCAACTGCCATTCAATGGGTGACAGGGTCAACACTGGCTGTCTTTACTTCCCAGGATATTTCTGTGACCCATTTCAAGCTGAGTCAAACTAGATTCCAAGGCCAATTATAACAAATCCCCTATGCAGATTCAAAGACAAAATCTTGGGACCGGCATGCATTTATATGACAGACAACTGGTAATAAAAACAGATACAATGAGAATGTAATCAGGAAATAACACATCACGCAGCTGCATGACAACAATGCTGTATGATACTGGTCATGATTCAATACATTTAGATTATCTTTGCGCTAAAGTGGATGCCAGGTGGCACAGTGGTTAATGCCATGGCTTTTTTTTTTTTTTTTACTTGCCGCACACAACATTACGCAGTACCATCACTTTTTAGGCATTTTTTTTTCAGCTTTTCTGTATGCAACAGATACTTTGTTGCCAACAGTGGTCTTTTTGAAGAAAAAAAAACTTTGTGTTGAGCACCGGCAACCTTTTTCAAGGAAAAACCCCAGTTGGTGAATTTGCCTAAGAGTGGTCTGATTCAAAACAATAGCTTCCAATGGTCATGGGCTGCACTCACCGGAGATCAGCATCTAGCACTGGCTCTCCCTGTTAGGTCCCACACTCTGGTGAGTGGGGTCGACGGTAACAGGCATGTAAGCCGTTCTGCCAATTAAAAGGACTTTTTTCGGTCGGATATTCAGGACTTTTTTTTTTCTGTGCCATAGGACTTGAATCAGACATTTATGACAAACCATCCCACTGACAGTTTGTTGTGGTGTACCCCGATGCTGTGACAGCGACATTGAGGAATAGCAAGTGATGTTCAGAGACGGGACTGCTCCACGAGTTACCACCCACAAAAGATTTTTCACGTCTAAGCTGCGAACATATCTCTTGTTTTTGGGTGTACATTAGTTCTTCAGTCGACAGATGTTTTAACCGATGGTTGTCATTTAGAAGTATATTTGGTCAGCAGACTTTGCCTATGTTCCAGATGAGCTCTGGTAAATGTTTTCACCATGCATGGGGGGGGGGGGGGGGGGGGGGGGGGGGGGGTTTTTGGACCAGATGTGATTCAGGTCGGACAATACATCTCTATGGGCCACCAACTCCGAGATCGCTGGCCAACTCGGTTCATGTCACACGACGGGGATATCCGGCAGAAGTCTTGCGCGAGGATCCATAAAACCATCCAAGAGCCAGCTGGCACCCGAGGTGAAGTGCGGAGTACCTCCTTATACACATCACAACAGCCCTAACTTTCTCTTACGCCTGTGATAGTAAAATATATATAAATATATCTGTGTGTATGTATATATGTGTGTGCATGCGTGTATTGCAATCTTGGGAGCCAGACAGCTAGCCCTAGGTGCCATATAAACAGATGCTTCCTAATTGTTCAGTATACATATACTTTCTTACAATTTTCTACTTAGATGTCATTGCCTGCAAAACAATCACACAATACTGTCCAGATCAATTAAGCTTCAACTAAAGAGTTCAACATTCAACAGAAAGTTACAATAAATAAGGATCACTTGCCTAAAGAAAATGTGGATTTTGTCGATATAGCGAGAGTACAATCTGATTGGATGGGCCTGTTCTGTGACCACATTCTGAAATGAATTAAACAAAAACAATGTCTTAGAGCTTTAAAAAAAAATTTACAAAAAATGTTTTTATGTTTAGGAATTCAAGTAATAAAAATAAAGTAGCAAAGTATCACCTGAGATAAGAGTGAAAACATGCATGGCAAAAAAAATGTGTCTTTGATATGTTAATTTTAGCATATTTACAGTTGTATATTCAACTCTTGTTCTGTTTGCGTGATAATGTCCAGGTCTGAGATGAGTTCTGCAATGAGCTCCGACATGTCCATAGAAAAAAGGGACTTGTTTCTACTACTGAAGGTGTACAGGGTACATGCTGCTGGTGCCATATTTGCACAGACTGATCTATATTAAACTTTTCTAGAAAAAAAATGTGAGCTTTTGAACAGAAATGTTACAGAAAAACTCTTGGAATACCATCAACCAAGAATAAGAAAAACACTGATGGTAAGGCCAGGTAAGGTTAGTTGCGTATCCTTTACAGGACGTTGCAGAACCAATCCCAGCAGCCCCTGGCTGTTGTGTGGTTCCAATAGGCAAATTTACGTCCAGTAGTTTGCCATTGCATTTTGGACGGTCTGCCTCCTGATACCACTGTCGAAACCAACGCAAGGCGCACAGCCTGCAGCTGGGATTAAACCCGGCAGCCAAGCATTGCGAAGCGGATGTCAGGTAAAGTTTCCCCAAAATAAGGTAGACAGTTCTTCGGGAACCCGGATACACGACATTTAAGATGCATTAGCTATGAAAGCCCACAGGGCCAGAGAAGTGGCTGGAAAAAGATGAGTGATATTTTGTAAAGGACATGCTTACTGATGATGGTGATGGTCAATATCATGCCATTTGTCTTGACTTCCTAGAACATTCCCTGATGGGCTGGGTCGACTGGGAGCCCAGATCAGTATTTCAAAATCTCTGCCTTGACAAGTATTGGAACACATACCCACAGGGCTGGCAGGCTGGGGTGTTAGTCATTACCACAGTACCTATGCCTATATTCAGCGCGATATTTATTTCATCTAATATGTTAAGCAAAATCATTTAATGAGGCAAATTTGTTGCTTTCGTCCTGAATATTTCACACACAAATATTTCTGATGCAACTATTACAGCAACATGTTTGTTAATTTCACCCTTCCTTGGCCTCTCTGTCCTTGTGGCATTAAGCATCCTACATAACTATATACAGATAATTTTTTTAACCAATTTCGCCAGTGTTACAAATTTTCTTCAATATTAAACAGAGTAAAAATCAACTACATGATACTAACCTGGTAAGTGAGGAACTCATTAGGCAACTGGGGTGGCCCTGCCATCTCACTGGCTCGATGAAGACCCAGGACAAGGAGATCCAAAACAAGCCCATAGTACTGGACAATGAAAGAAGCAAACTGCAAGCCTCGGATAATTCCGTAAGAATTTGTGTGGTTCATGTCCTGTAAAATACAAGACAAAAGAAAATAACAAACAATTCCAAAATGACACACAAGCTATTGTTGACGTTTAATTAAACTTATCAGGATGCCTTGATTTTGTCAAGGATCTCTTTACCCAGAGATACCACATCTGCATGCCAGATTTTTCTGTGTAAATCACGCCCCCATGTATGTCGACCCCCATTTTTAAGCTTAAAATTAAGAAATAAATACATTAAACAAATTCTGATTATAAGACGACTTCCAATTTTAATTTTAAACTTAACTGTAGGGAAACATATCGTCTCAAAATGTGGGGGAAAAGATGGTAAGTGTTCCAGTCCCTTTCCCCAGCACACACAAGCAGCATCTTAACAGCAAAGTGCACAAATTACACAGCATCCACATGGATCAAACCAAGTTACTGCAGATACTGCAGAGAGAGGAAGGTAGAGAGAAAGAGAGGGAGGTAGAGAGAAAGAGAGGGAGGTAGAGAGAAAGGTAGAGAGAAAGAGAGGGAGGTAGAGAGAAAGAGAGAGAGAGGAAGGTAGAGAGAAAGAGGGAGGTAGAGAGAGGGAGGTAGAGAGAGAAGGAGGTAGAGAGAAAGGGAGGTAGAGGGAAGGAGGGTGGTAGAGAGAGATGGAGGTAGAGAGAGAGGGAGGTAGAGAGAGAAGGAAGTAGAGAGAATGAGAAGGAGGTAGAAAGAGAGAGGGAGACAGAAAGAAAGAGAGGGAGAGTTTCAACACCTATGTCACTCCAACAGAAGATGCAAATATTTTCAGGGTTCAGATGGCCTCAATACCAAAGCATCAGACCACTGTTGGATTACCTTTCCCTTCAATACTAATTCTACTACACAGTAATACTAGTATGCATCACCTTGTAGTTAATGACCACATTGTTCTTGGCGGTCATGTAATCAGCAATGTTGTGGTCAACAATGAGACGCAGCAGTCTGTTGAGAAGGGTCAAATCAATCTTCTCGTACATCTTCTCAAAACTGGACTCCATCATGACGTTACATTCTCCTTCACTGGTGTCCCACACATCCTGCAGGTTGTTGATGCCTGAAGTACACAACAAACAAATTATAACAGGACTGGTGTCACCATATCTTTTTCTTCTGTCTTATTTTCCAAACAGCATAGGCTCTCAACCAACACATGCCAACCTATATGGGGGAAAAGGGGGGTGTTTCCAAATGAGAACCTTAAAAGTGTGAAAGAAATTACAGTAACCGTGCCACTGTCTTGTAACGTGTTAAGGATATCAAGAGTGTAAGCACGTGACCTTAGCCTCCAAGTGATTTCCACCTGTTTGGACAATTTAAAGAGTCACTGGGAAGACAATGAAGAGGTAGAGCAGGTAATGCATGTGACGTAGAGATTTTTTTTATACGGGAATCTTAGCACTTTATCAGCGCTGGAGGATTTGCATTGAATGCAGAAGAGACTACTTTAAAAAAAAACCGATACACTGGTTCTCAATATTTGTAGATTATATTCACACATAAAACTAATTTTAAAAGGTTTTCCTCCGAAGCAGCTCATATGCAGAATAACTGGATAGGCAGCAACAATATTTTAACAGGATAAAGTAACAAATACCACACCAACTAACCTAAGTCAGCTCCTATGACAAGCGTGCTGGTTACAATATTCTTTGCTTCCCTTATGGGCTTTCCTGACAGTAGCAAGCTTTCTTCTGCATTACTTCCAAGCGACAGAAAGCGACTAGTGATCTCATTTCATAATTCATTTTAATGAAATAAACATTTCCAGGCACAACGTTTTTAAAAACTTGTCTGTCACATTCTTCTGCTGCCTGTGTGTATTTTTCTCTTCCCTCCCTAACTGAGCTTCATCACACGTATCAACATGTTACAATAAGAGAAATCAAAAAGCAAGCTTCACATATAGTATCAACACATGCACGTTTACCTTGGCACCATTTGTAAGTGAGCAGTGGAGGAGGTTCGGTATCTGAGGGTTTGATCCATGGTGGGAACAGTCTACGCTTGTCAGCTTCATACCACAGGTACTGGTCCAAGTATGCATCTGTGATCTTCTCCAATGGTTCAACATCATACACAGGAATCAAATGACTGTAGAGATCCATGAACTCAATGCCAACCTGTTTCAAGCACACATTTTAAAACACCCAATTAAACACAAGTCCATGTGCTGTCTGATTATGCAGTGTTTCTTAAATGGAGATCAAGGAGTTCTCTTTAACCTGCTCACCACATAATGGCGCTAATTCAGCATCACTGTATGTTACCATTCAAAGTTAAATGCTGCAAAAACAGCACAGCTGCAGTGACTTTTCCCTGAGGAGCAAAATTAGCGGCAGTGGTTCTGTTTGCACCTGTGCTGTGTTCGGGAGGCCCGGAGATGATTATATTTACTAAAAACAGCATGGGGGGAGGGGAACCTGCAGACAGAGAAGTCTGGCGATCTCTCTGGCAAACCTCTACACCCCAAGGTAGAAGAGGAGCAAGCAAGCAAGCACTAGGGGAGGAGGTGTTATGAAAAAAATAGATCAGTAGCAAGTGCGAGTCATACGCTATTTTAGAATCAAGGTCGTCAAATACAGTTTATTCTCTGTTCCACTCATACTTATTTTAAATGTGTCAAATTAAACTAAATTTAAGGTCAAACATTAAATTTAAAAAAAAAAAAAAATTTAACAATGTATTGGTGACGGGTGTACAATAGTTTTTTTTTAAGGAATTTATTTCCAGAAATTCCTGCGATCTTCTGTAATTTTCTCCCAAAGATTTCTAGGGCAAATGGGTAAAGGGGATATTAAACCATTTGCATATGCTATGTGTCATGTCACTGTGAAGTTATGTGGTAGGGTTCACATAAACATATGTCCTTAATCATGTTTAATAATTTAAACAGACCAAAATAGTTAAAAGCAGCTTCAGTACATTATCACATTCTTCTATTTCTTCGTTTATCTGAAGACATAAATATGTTTTGCTGGTTAACAATATAGCTGCGATATTTGTGCCTTTCGGCCGAGACACCCAACTTCTAGTCATTATTCCCCAGGTTAAATTTTCTGGTAGGGCACATCATCATATAATGTGTATACAGCTGCAGCAAGTATTGTCTGGCGATGGCCATTCTGTAACAGATTCTGTAGGACAGTAAACCATGCCGGCCTAGGCTTATCGACAGGGCACATGACTATAATGATGATGAATAAAACAAATCAATCAATGGTCTGACCTCTTTGAAGGCTCTTTGAGTCAGCAAATGACGTTTAATCCTGGACAGGGCTTCATGAGGGTTGTCAAAAGCTTGTTCAATCAGACCCAGCTCCTCTCTCTGAGATTGGTTCAATCGACTCTTCACACTGAATGACAAGAGAAAATAAACATTTCATTATCTTTAAGACAATTAACAAAAAATTTTTTTAAATGGCATAATGTAAGTACTTCTGAGGATGGCATCATCTTTCACATTTCCCTTGTGTGGGTTCCGAGGCCTATTTTGTGAGAAACAAGAAAAGGCCTACTGCCCTCTTACAACAACAACAAAAAGTTAGTTGCCTATCCTTTGCAGGACGTTGTAGTAGAAACCCCAGCATTTTTTGGTTTGTGTTGTTGTTTTTCTAGGCAAATTTTACATTTAGTAGTTTGCCACTGCCCTGAACGGTCAGCTCTCGATACCACTAGCCTGTCATAAAACATACAAATATTATGTGGCCATGCTTCACTCTCTTCCATGGGGCATTTCGTACCTCCGATATCCTCAAGAAGTCTTTGTCTAAATCGCTCACCAGGGAAATAGAACGGTGTACATCAAAGATAAAAGGCTTTTCACTTATTCTCTAGGACTTATACTTTAAACGGAGGAAATACTTCACCTGTAGGCCTCCTTGAGCCTCTCAAGGGCCAGAATGAGCAGCTTGGTGTCATGCTTGTAAGACAAAGGAGGGAAAGGAATGGGTGAAAATCTTCTGCTCTCCAGCCAGTGGACCATGGTGGTGTAGATAGCCACGGCTTCCTCAGCTGTGATATAGGGACCATCCTTCAGGTAATTGTGCTGCCTCTCCTGCTCTGCCTGTGGAAAAGACGATGGGAACACTTAACATTTATATATATGCAGGCATGTGGAACAATTCAGAGTTGACAAACACTGACTCCAGCCATGTGCTAATGGAGTTCTTAATGGAAGCAAAGAATAGTAACACACTTTAGCCATTAAAAAAACCAACCAACTATGGGAAAAAATCTAAAAGAGCAGCAATTAATTTGCAGCTTTCTGCAGAAAATGGTTGACTTGGCGTAAGTTGGTTGACAGCCTGTTCTCTACTGGGAAATTATTGAAAGAAGAAGTATTTCAAGAAGTAGTAGAAACTACTGGTTACATACTGTGTAATTTGACTGAATTGGCCCCAAAAACTGGTTAGATTCACAAAGACATGCCAAAAATTAAGGGTTTGTAAAAAACCATTTGTTAGTGTTAGAAAGATAATTTTTCAGTAATGAATACTTACTCATTAAACACAACAAAAAGAGAGCTAAATAAAGTGTTATTTTCTACTTCAGAGATAGAATTTGAAGCAATCTATCACTATGATGTCATCCCCAAAAACAGGTTTACTGCAACAAGTGCTAATCAACAATCCAAATGCAACATTGAAGTCCTAGAACAAAACCCTCAAAGTCCAGAAGTAGAAGAACAGCCAGGACGGTCTACTGCAGTTTACAGCCGGCAACGCAAAGAATTTTCTTTAAACTGAAAATGTTTCACAGAAATCAGAATTATTCATTTACCACTCCTTTCAAAGCATAAAAATAAAAAATGGCAAGCACTGTTACCTTCAGATACAGTCTGGTCAGACGTCCCAAGTTCTTCTTGCACACAGTTTTGTCTACAGTGGCTCCACGCCTGATTCTTTCCCTGTTGTAATGTGCTGTATTTGTCCACCAATCAGCTTTAGCTTTGACGTAACGCAAGATCATGTTCTCAATCGGAATTGGCAGGCCGGGTACCTAATGAAGGATAAAACAAGAACTATAAAGAAAATAAGTATTGTTCATTACAACCAATTAATGAACATCACCATGGTCAGGTTGTCTGTTAGAATCTGTCTCTCTCTTTTTTTTTCTTTCAGTTACTCGCTTTTCATTTCCAGCCTCTTTCAGAACCTTGGTATTAATTTAATCTGTTTTGCTTCCACCAAGAAATACAATCTATTCTTCGTCTCATGGTGACTGGTCGTAAACTTGACAGAAAGTGATAGACATTACAACAACAATACCATTGTCTTGTGACCTGTCAGTATTGATGTTAAGTGTTAAGCACGTGACATGCACACCAAGAGCAGTCATGCCACTCTGAAACTTCCTACTCCACTCATACACCTGCTGGACAGGCATGCATGCATCACCATACTGGACCTTCATTCAACCATCAACTGGTTGGTGCACATCAAAAGTGAGGTGGCCATCTTTAAACTGTCATTATGAGTTTACCTTGTTTGTCTGCACTGTGATGTTGAGTGCTTAACACTCTTGACATCCGTAACAAAATTATTGACTGTTTACAAGATAATGGCATGGTTATTATAATTTCTATCACACTTGTAAGGTCTTCATTTGAAACCCCCTCATACTTTAGGCTACAAAATATATTTTCTCATCCTCCTTTCTTCCCAGACAATTCTGGAAATTGTCTGGCATCCATATTTATAAGGCTCGGTAGACATTTCTGGGAACTGAACCTAGACCACTGTTTCAGCAGGCAATGAAACTAATCATTAAACCACCAAAGCTTCAAACTGGTTTACTAACTTTTATTCATCTTTCTGGCACAACCTCAACAAGTGACTAGTGAACACCACAGTGCGACCAGGGACTTTTCCTGGCAGTATGCAGTACTGGTATCTTTTTCAGCACTACTGTAATCAACACTTTGTGAGACGAGTACCTTTACCTCATTTTTAAAGAAGCTTTGTGGTAAGCAGCAGCAGCAGCTTGTTTAGCTGAAAGGAAGAAGGCCCTGACTGTGACTACAAACGAAGGTGAGGGTAGCAAGGAAAAGAGGAGTATCTCTCTCTTTGCACATGTATTGTTTTCTCAAAAGAGGGTGATCTCCAGATTCTTTTTTACACATTGCCAGCAGTATTTTGGAGCTAATTTAATTACTGAAGCACTAAGTAACTCTTCTCACAGAAAACAGATGGCGACCATACCTTCCAGGGAATATTTGCTTTCCAACATCTCCAGGCTTCAGACAAGTGCTGAAGGATGGTTCTGGCTTTGTTCTGCTTGATTCCCTCCGGCATCATGTCCAAAATATCATGCATTACCTGAAAGAAGCACAAGAATATATTACTTGCAGCAAGATCTGAACAATTCTGCCCTTTCTCTTCAAGTTTAAACTTCTAGTGGACCAGAAGGCAATCAGTTTTTAAAGCATAAGTGGTGAAGACAGTGAAAGACCTGTTATCTGCTGCTTTGATGTATAGGGCGTATGGCGCTATTTTCAGATATTCATTAGCCCAAAAGCTATTTAATGGGTGATGTAGTCAACTTGCTGTTGACAATCTTTACTTCCTATCTTAAAAAGATTAGGTGACAGCTAAAAGGTGCCAAGGGGGCAAGCGGGCCCCCAAGGAATTGATGAACTGACAACATGAACTTTCATGTTGCGAAGCACAAAATATGGCACTTGCGGTCTGTGCCACAGCCCTGTAAATATCCCTTTCCCAGCTTGATATAGAGGCTTGTTTTAATACCCTTGCTTCCATTTTTCCTAGGCAACTTTTCAGAATGACCGGGAACGAGCAACTGCTTAGAAAAAAAACCTTTAGGAGGGGGTTGCATTGTCAAAAATGGCTTTATTAGTGGCAACAGGCGGCCAGCTCACAGAGTCAAGAATGGGTCACATTAAACATTTTTTTAAAGCTGACAGATATGTAACCCAGTCAATTCGCTGCTGCCTTTCTTGTTTAATGATTACCTCCATTATTTTGTCAGCAGTTAAATTCTGTATTGGTCCACAAATGGAACCGTTATGGTTTTTAAAGGAATCATGTAAAATGTTTGTTTTTCAAGGAATACTTTTTCAGGATAAAACAGTTTTTCCAAAAATTCGGGCCTTTGGCATTTGTCTTCCTAGTCACCAGGGCAAAAGGGTTAATTAAAGACATTAAATATCTACAAGTAATAAGAACAGCCAAAGTCTCACCTCAAACACTAGGCCGCCGCAAACTTGTTCTCCCTACAACACTGTACAGTAACAGTGATGCTGATAACCCAAAAAAATATTAACACAGATTTGTTACTCACAGCAGCTCTCAACTCCAGATCAAAGTGGCTCTCCACCCTCTGCTTGGTGACAGTTTTGGCCACGCCTTTGCTGTGCCTGCCCTCAAACTGTCTTGACAGCAGGTTACCTAGCCATCGTTCCAGCAACGGCGTGATCCCTCTCATGAAGAACATCCAGACTCTCCACCCAGGTGCCCAGAATCCACACCCAGGACCTTTCCCAACAGGGCCCTAATGACAAAAAGCAACTAGGATTATAAAAATGATGAATTATAAATAATAAAGAATTATAAATGCATAAATTGTTGTAAGGAAGTGATTCATGGACAAAAGGCAGGAAACGTGACAATTTACATGAAAGCTGCAAAGAAAGAGTTTTTATAAATAAATGATGAGAATACCAAAGACACATCTTGAAAAAACTCCCAAAGAGAACTACTTACCAGCTTTAGAAGGCGACAATCTACATCAGGTCTATTCCACTAAGTTAATTAAGGAACCCACTGTTCATTTTAGAGATCATCTTCATTGCAAATCGAACATGGCCATAAGTACTCCCATCTCCTCCTATTATATGTCTCCAAGGCTAACAACTCCCATTCTGTTCTGGTTGATATAATGAATGGTGACTACCACTCATTTTCTTATCTCACGGCTTCAATTGGTACCCGGGTATGCAGTCTATTCAGTGAAGAATGACTTCCACGAAATTGAAAGTCTCACAGCGTTTAGTCTCCCGTACGTATGGCATGGCTGATGTCTCTCCTGTCCACTAAGGAACCCAAAATGTTGAAAATGAGGATGGTCATGGCCCAGTGGCTGAGCTCTGGCATAGAAAAATCATCAATACAACTGGCAATGATCCATGGCCACATGCTAGGCCGCCAGTTGACTAGTAGAGCCGAGTCAAGAATTGACATCACAGCACTCGGGCATTCCCATGTGTGCTCCGTCCTCGTCTTCAGCAGCCCGCGCAGCGTTTTAACACCGATAATACCGGTCACGGTTAAATGTCCTTACCTCCAGTTGAAGAGTCCTGATCTACTAACATTGGGCATATCAAGGGATTAAGCTGGAGTAGGTATTAGCAGGAAAGGCATTGGACGAAAAAGAGAGAATAGACAGCTTGACAAGATGGTAAGGAGTAAAATAACTATCAGAAATAACTGCCTATAAGAGGTAGAAGGCTGTCAACAGACATGATTCTCAGCGCTCTGACTAGACGATGCATATCAATTTAAATAACACTAACTCGTCCAGTACCAAACTGTTTAGGCAGACAGGTGTGGCCACCCAGTCCTTGAAAGACAGATAACAAAAAATGTTACAATGACAGTTCCTTGTCAAAATATGATGATGACAACATAGTAATTGTAGCCATTGGGAGCTGAACAATACTCACAGTGTTAAACCTGTAGTAGATGAGGTGCTTGAGGTCCTTGCACATCCTGATCTGTCTCATGAGCTTGTACTTGTACCTGTACATGCCAGTCAGCTGACCCACGTGAGCAAACACGTACTGTAAACCATCTGCAAGCTGACCAAACATGGAGATGTTACAACATTATGGTAATTTGCAATAAACATGGTTACAAACTTTAAGGGGATTGATATAAGCAAAATGAGGCTGAGTGTGAAAGTGAAGAAGAGAGAGTGGAGGAAGAGAAATAGGGAAGGAGAGAAAAAAAAACGGAGTAAAGAGCTAAAAATAGAAGTTAACGATTGTGTGTATAAGTGTGTGCAAATGTGAGAGAGGGAAATGTGTCTGTGTGCATGGAGGAGAGAAGAGGGAAGGAGGGACAGAGGAAGTAAATAAAATACAAAGATCACTAGACTTCATACAACTGTCACAAACTAACCTGGTAGGCATCCACATTTCCCAATCTGTACTGTACATGGCTGTCAATCACCAGCTTGGAAAGTCTCAGAATCTCACGGCACAAGTGGAAGGCATTGCCGAAACGAGACTTCTTACGCTCCTGGTGAAAAACATACACATGTAATCATTTAATACTCTGAATTACCATCAACATTTCTATAATACATATAGTTCCCAGGTCATTCAGCTTTCATCAGGCTAACCATCTGATAGGATTCTCAAAATCTTAAGTTCCATTTTGTCCCAACTGATCTTTTACATCTACATGCTTTTGATCTGAAAATTCTTATCATATTTAAATCTCTAATTAAGCACTGTCGTCTCTATAACATGTGAAGTTATTTAGAATTTTTAATTCACGGTTGTTTTATCTAGCTATAGAAAATACCGGTGAGCTGTTTTTTTGCTACTGTTTGTGGAATCAATTATTAGCTGTATGCAGATGCGGCTACACTCTTATGTCTAAGGCTAGTGATCTGCCCAGTCATCGGCACTTTCTGAGGGATGTTAGATTTTGTTATTCTTTTTTTTATTTTTTAAATATTTAACTGGAATGGCTTTTAGTGAGCTAGAGATTTTTGTGTCTAATCAATCAAACCTTAAATCACTATAATAAAACAGGATTCACTGTAGAACAGTTCTACAGTGGTGGCCAAAAGTTTCTGACTACCTAGTAGATCACTGATATTTCCACTATAATGGAGTACCGTAAAAAATGTATTTTTTTTAAAGTCAAAATGGTGACTGTAATGACCGCCTTTGGTGAATCCTAAACTGGCAGTGGATGCAATACCCCATAACAGTACAGAAAAACATTTAGTAGTCGGTCTCAAACTTGGTCACCACTGCAGATCAACTTATTTTGGGCAGCAGATCTTGCAGTACTGGTTCACTGTTGATCTATCACCCAGAGAAACATAGACAGTGATACCTCAGGTCACGAACTTAATTTATTCTTTGACTCGGTTTTTAGAAACCGAAATGTTCAAGAACCAAAAAAAATGTTTCCATTGAGATTCAATTCTAATTCAATTAATCCATTCAACAACCCCAAAAAACACTTTCAAAAAATTGAAAGTTGCTCCATGTTTTTTGAAGCACTTGACGCACTGAAATATATAACATGCGATATCAACAACACTGCAAAACACCCCTGTACCCTTGTGCCAAGGTGAAAGATTCAGGAACTACCAATAAGAAGTGACCTAGTGTGTATATAGCCGGGGCATGGGGAGATTAACGTTATGTGTACCATAGATAGTATAGGAGAAGAAAGAGGAAGACATCTGCTTCAAAGGAGATTCCCATTCCATAACATTTGGCAACTGTGTAGGTATTTCTTGTGTTTGTATTCTTGGACGTGGTTTGACTGCTGGTTCAGTGGCCGGTGTTTTTACAAGACTACAAGATAATGATCCAGAGACACCTTGTCTTTCTTTTTTCCCCCGGATGTTTCCCAAAATGGGATATCACCTGTCATTTAAAATGGCTACTGCTCTGCTGGCCAGAAGATGTACAAACTCTTGCTTCTCCTCTCCTGAGTGCCCCTCCTGCATACAACTGATGTTGCACATTAGCCAAAAATATGGCGCCAAAGCCATGTTAGTGCTTCTGTACGCTAAGGCATTGTTCGCAAATCAAGTCAAAACTTCTTTATGGACCAGTGGCTGAAATCAAAAATGTCTTCATGGACCAATCTGTTCATGACCCAAGGTACCAGCTTATTTAATATTGATACTTGTTTTGCCTTGATTTCGATACATAGTTTTTTTTTAGTTTATCCATCGGAGCAGCAGAATATGAAAACAAAACCAGAAACCCTAGTCGATTCATTAGTGTCAACACACACAGAAAACGTGCCCAGAAAAAAGCCTGCTGCTGTGCAAAGAAGATGACTATAATGAACAACAAAGTTTTAAAAAAAACAATGCTATAGTGTGATCAAAAACTCATTTGAAAATAAATATCCACTTTATTATCTATATCTGCAAATGTTGTCTCTAGTGCTGAAGTCGGAGGTAACCAGCCAGGAGGTGCACTGTACAACTCAGGATGCCACGCACAAACCCTATAGGAATTATCTGCCTTGTGCCCCAACGCATGTGATTTCAGCAGAGCCCTAATTAGTCACCTTTGGCAACATGCTTGTTAGGGGGTAAGAGATGTATCCCCCACCCCCCATCACAGAGTGGGGCCCTAGAACCCACCCAGGGATTTCAACTGTGAACACAAAGAGACTGAATGTATGTATACCTTTGTGGTGAGGGTCTTGACTGGCTTCAGGTTAAAGTTGTAATCCAAATGTAGATAGTTGAGGTTCTTACGATGGATCAGTAGGTTCAACATGTTGTAGCCCTGCCTGCAGACCTGTAGACCCACCTCCAGCCAGTCCAGCTGTGTGGTCTGGAAGAACTTGGTGGCTTTGAAAGATCTGAACAGGTATCTGGAAACAATAGGACACATTCAACTCTCATTCAGTGTTCCTTTCAAGACACAACAGACAGTGATATAAATTCTTCTTCTTCAATGATCAACATTTCCTATGTATCTATTCCAGCACAATTCACAAACAGGATGATGGGATTCATGTAATCACCAGTGACCCATAAGATAATAACATTAATGAACTCAACAATATACCCCAGTCTACAAGGTTTGTTTGAATCAATAGCCAATAAAACTAAAGCAATCTCTTATATGCAACTCCGTCTAGACTTCGCTCTAACATTTATGGAACCATTAACTACTATTTTCTCTCCATACATGCTGCACTTTTAAAAAAGAAAATGCTACAACACATATCACCAACAGGTAAAACATTCTATGGACCCCTGGAACAGTACAAGAAACAGGTAAAAGATTTATGACCAGAAAGGAAACGAGTGAAGGAATTCATTATTTCATATTATAGTAAATGTGAAAATCTGTCAATTTAGGCTTTTATAGTTCTTGGGAGAGGGTAGGAACCAGAAAAGTGGCCTCACTTAGAGATTTCCTAATTCCATTTTTGTATAGCTATGTTTACCTACACTACAGAATAAAGATGTGTCTTTTAGAGAAAATGAATACTGCATTTAACACAGAAAGATACAATTTATTATGAGATCAAACTCAATACACATTGTACAATGTTCTCTGTTATCTCTCTATGACATTTTCGACACCTTCCTTATCACAGGCGGTGGAGAATACATACAAAAGCAAGCAGAAACTGCTTGTCATGTTGAGAAATGATTCTTACCTCTTCTTCTGAGCTTTTGGTGGCCGATGCTTGAGAGCGTTGAGAACATAATACTTGAGCAGCTTCTGATATGACACCCTCACTTTTACTGGCATCCCAGCAGGACAGTGTTCTCTATACCTGCACACAAGCAAAGGACACACAATCACTGCATTTCTCTCAGACATTGCGCCAGATCTGCAGCATTCTCTATCAGTGAGCTGACATCATATAGAGATTTCAAGGAGGAGATCAGATTATACTGCGATAAAGATGGTCCTTAAATCCAACCAGTCATCTACTCAGCCTAGTGTTCCCGGTTCTCTAGCGTAGTTGGCTAAACTAGACTGTGCGGTGACCGGGTGACAAACTCCTTGTGGTCCAGGTTCACTGCCGGAGGTAGGCAGAAAAGCCACATTTACGGTATTTATCATGGAATCAAGGCAGAAGGGTTGCGATATCCATAATACCGATCCTGAGGGTTAACATTAACAACTCATGGCTTTTGGGTTTAAAAAAAAAAAAAGCCAGTTGCACGTATAATACTAAACTCATATCTTTTTTTGTAGACCAATTAGCCCTGACTGACTGATAATGTGATCGACATCACGCCAGCCACTTGCTTCTCAGAACTTTACACCATACCCATCTGAGGATGGGTCAGCCTAGTAGCCACGGTTATTTTTGAAGAAAAATTTCAACTAGATGTTTATTGATTACTCCTTTCAAATATCTCTATATAAAGGAAAAAAATTAAAATGTATTTTAAACGGATATGTCAGTACCCTGTGTAAAAGGGGTGGGTGTGCTCTGGAATTCTAATGGGGCCATGATGTTTTAAACTGCTCCTGAGGTAAAAGGGTTAAACCCTATGTGGCACACCAGGATGCCTCTCAATCCCTTGCCAATGCCCCCATAACCCCCCACTTCCCCCCCTCCCAGCATTTTCACGACCAGGTTGTTTTAATCTCCAATATACCCCTGTCTTTTTCTAGGACCAAGCATTACATTACTCATATTTCTAAGTCATTGTGGTGTATAGATGTATTTCAATTTCCGAGACGAGATGTCGTTACTGACTGTGTCACTGCTTCAATAAAGATAAAGTCGAGAGGATCCACTATATAACATTGGCATGGCACAGTCCCACTCCACCAAGTGGCTAGCCGCCTGCTGAGAGCGTCACAAACTTTGCTCCCAGTGACAATAATTCCCAGGACCTCTGTAAATTAAAAAAAAAAAAAAACTGCGAAATAAACACAACCTTCACAGTGCGAGGCAAAAGTCCTAACCCCTTAATCACCATTGCTTCAATGTTCATATATCGTAGAATGCCGACATTTTTCTTCTCATATCAGCAAGTTAAGGAGCCCCAATTGTCTCCTCGAGTGATTATTAAATAGTCTGTTACTCACAGGATAAATATGTCTCTCGCTAATGCAGTACCGTGACTGCCTGTGTATACCACTTTTAGGGGTGTGGTCAGTATTAGCCTGAGGATTTAGGGTCGCATGGTTAGTGCTACCGCCATGAACTGTACAAGTTATAACATTATTTTCGTCTCTAACAGAACAAATGCACATTGCCTTTCTGAGAGTCGAACCCTGGTTTCCCGAGTCAAAACCGCTAAGCCAACTGTTCCTCAATGTAGTGCCATATACTTGTTAAATTAGTCATAAATTAATATGTGGTGTGTTCTTTGGTACCCAAAGGTTAAACATAACACATACATAAATGTATCTTTTACATTTGTCCGAACATGTTACAGAAATTATTTTAATGTATAATCCGGTAAATCTGCTAAAGAAATTTGTATTTGTTACCTCTTTAAGCAATTCACTAACGATTTATTATTATATCTCTTCCTCCCTCACCCCTCCAACCTTCCATTACCATGAAGTCTAAGATAAAAAGGTTGAAAAAAATATTAAAGAGAACAACTTACCAAGACTTGACTAGCGGCACATCAATTGCCCTGCGTGTGCGCCCTGATCTCAAGTTGAAAGGCCGTGGAGCCCACAATAAAGCAATGCCATTGGCAGTGTTGTCTGTGTACAGTGGGGTATCCTGAAGGAACGGCTGCACAAATTCAGGCAGTTCAAACTCTTCATCATCATCTGGAAGAGGCTCAGGCACCTGAATAAGAAAACAAAAGCAATTTTTACATCTCCCTCTTCCTTATCCCTCCCAATGGAGCAAAAGCCTTCAGTCTCTTTTATAAACCGAAATCACTGCTAAAAAAGAAAACAAAGTTGTAACCCTCATTATTATCATTTTTTGTATTCCCCCCTGTTCTGCCTATTTGCAAGACAGCTGCAATTAATGTGCCTTGTGGTTGTTGAGAAGACCCTGATATGCTATCAAGCAACTAAATAAAAAAATTTAGTTCTAGCTGTTTTCATGCAATGAGTTCTAGTTATTTTTTATAGAGGAATTTAAAATTGGTTTTCCACATTCAGAAGTCATTGCACAACCACATGTAAAAGCCTCCTTACTGTATTTGGTTTAGTTGTTCTACTGTACACTTTCAGTGGTATTTGCTATGTTAAATACGTGATTTTTTTTTTGAAGTACTGGCAACTGCAGCTGATCCATCTCACAGTCAACTAGTCACATATCATATGCACAATGAAAGTTCTTGTATTCTGCATGACTTTATTATTATCTCTAACAAGTTAACTCTTTAAACATTAAAAGAATATGTGAATCAAGACTTGCTAACCCTTTGCCCTGAGAAGCACCAAAACACCCAGTTCTGGTATGTGCTAAGCAAGTGCCCTTAACCGGAGCGGCTATAGTAACTTGTTTAGGAGAATCCTTGCAAAGAGCACTAATCCATTTCCACATGCACGTTTATTAGGCCCGTTAATGGCCCTAGTTATTATTATTTTTTTAAAGCATGTGTGGTTGTTTTCCTTTGACAAACTGACTTTATTTATAAACATTACATCACAGTGGTCTCCAGACTTTCGTGGCACGAGTTTAAAAATGTATTCAATTTATTTATCCTCAAGAAAATGTAACTAGCTAATTATCTGCTGCATCTGTTTTCACAAATTACTCCATTTCAGTACATAAGTTTTGTTTGTTTACATCATAAAATTTGTTGTTTGCAATCTGCTTGTGAACTGTGAAACATGTTTTTGTAAAGGAATATCTGTTCAGAAAAACCCTAAATTTGAAAAATACGGGTTCTTAACATATTCATCCTCCTAGGCCACCAGTGTGAAAGAGTTAGCACACTTTCCTTCTCCCAACCTGACTCAGAGTCAAACATTCAATTAACTAATTTCCAATACAGAACATAACATCCCCAAAATGTATCTATCAGCATTATCACCAACCTTAGTTGCCTGTCTGTGAGAGATGGGATTAATGAGAGGATCAAAATAGAAAGCCGGAAGGTCTGGATCCTCAGTCTTGATGAAAACCACATTTGGTTCATGATACCTGGTGACGTAAATACAAGAAGAATATAACTATTCTCGCATAAATGAAAAGGAAATCAAATTCTGTAGAAAATTATATTCCATAATAGCTTTGAAAGCATAACTTGTGCAAAGGCACACAAAGTGACATTAAAGCATTACTTGCAAAATTCATAAATATTTTTAACAATTTAACTAACTGATAATCAGCTCTGTCATTCATCAAAAATCCCCTACATATCAGTTTTGCTGCACTGGCCAGTCGCCAACAAGCTCAGCTAACGGTACTGACTCCAATTTTTTTTTTTAAACAATGTAGTGTCATGAGGCATTATGCATGCATGTATCACAGCCTACTAGTGAAAACTGTTGCGTACCATGCATGTCATAAGATGCAATCAAGTAGGGCTGGCATGAGACCTGCTACCTCTTCCAAGATAAAACAAGCTGTACAGTCAAGCAAGTGTAAACAAACCACACACAAAAACTATTTGAGTGGATTAGCAGTGGGTCTATACGGCATTGACATTTAAAAGAATAAAGCAGAGGAAAAAGAACAAGGCATTTTATCCTAAAATTACAAGCCATCTTAAATGAAATGAAGACACAATGTAAACTGTACAGATGCTTACCATGACAGGTGGACCTGGTAGGGTATGTTGTTGTAGAGGTACGGGAAAGCAATACGATACTCGGTTCTTACAGGCTGTCTGATGATGATCTTATTGATGTCATTGAACTCATTCCAGTCCTCATCCCTGAAAGATTGATTATCACAACAATGAGCATGAATCACAGTAGAATAAATACAACAGAAACAAAGGGCACTTCTGTATGTGCACGCTGTGACATTCAAGAGAGAATAAATCTGTCATTAAGTGTATGTCTGTAATGTAATTGTTATTGATACACAATATAACTAAAATATATTTCTGCAGTTGCTGGTCTCTGCATACACACATCGACTCAGAGCGACTAAATTTGTTATAAAACAGGTTGTCTTGTATTCACTGTTATAATTACTGAAACATTTATTAAAGGTTAGCTGCTTAAAAATCCTCGGCAAGACTGAGCTTCAAATTCAATACACCTACGTTAAAGTAGTCCCTGCCAATGGCAGGCATCTATTAAAGAGGGGTTGGTCTACAGATGTTTCTCCAAAGTTAGATAACAGAACAACCTCTAAAGAGACAGTTACAAGTTTTTCTTCTCTAAACCAGTGGGGTCAAGCCTTCCCCATCTGTTGCTACCCCTGCAGATCCCTTAGTCTTCTGAATATTTGATGGTTTTAGATCTCCTATTGCTTTGTCAATGTGGGTTTCACAGAAAGGAATAGTTGAACTATTAGGAAGCTTTCTTAATGTGACCTATCCAGTGCCAGTATGTTTACCTCACCTCTTGATTGAAAGTAATAAAAAATAGTTTTTTTTCTAATTCAACCAAGCATTATATGAATATTTTTTAATAAAAAATTCTGACCTTAAACTGTATATGAAAATGTCAAGACAGAAATCACTGCACCAAAGATTAAAACACATTCACATATCCAGAAGGTTAATGAATGAAGCAATTCTAACAAAACAAAAACAAAAAAAACTTACTGCAATTCTTTGTCTTTGACCAGTGGCTCAAATTTGGGGCCACCTGGGATGGCCAAGTTGAGAGCCTTGGCTGTGAAAAAGGACTTGAGGTCAAACAAGTAGAAGTAGTTGTTATCCACCAGATCTGTCAGCAGCTGGTTTGCCATGCGGTAAAGGACAGACATGATGGGTAATGTCAGGTGCCAGCGTCGGTAGGTCGGTCCATTCACATACCTGCATTGATTTTCAAACAGACAAAAATAAATGGAAAGATTCTAAACATAAAGAAAATCGTAATGCAACTGCATGCCCACATAACAGATACTCACAAAAAACTTAGAAATTACCAAAAATGTTTAACTGTTATATATACTTTGTTTTCATATATAACCGCCTGATTGTGAACATTTATCAATAAATTTTAAAAAAACTTTTTTTTTTAAACAGTGAGTTACCTAACAGAGAACAAAGAAAGGAAAAGTCAGAATAAAAAAGATGTATAAAGACAAACTTTACAGCTGGACAACAAACAATAATACAAGTAACATCAAGTTCATTACAATAGGTTTAGGTTTATACAACAGATCAACACCATGGCACACTGGCGTAACCCATCAGTGCTCCGTTCGACTTCTTGTCTAGTGTGTTCTTCTATCTTTCTACTTCTTTCTATGAGTGCCGTTCACAATACTTTCTGTTACCTGATTAATTCATAATACTTCTAACTCAAGCCTAAGTCTGAAGAATCTCAGCGCAGTGCACGAACTTGGTTGCACCAATGAGGATACTAAAACACTCTAGATAGATTTTTAACTCAAAATTTTGCCCAAGCAGCGCCGTAAGGCTAACTCTCTTTCGATTTCAAATTGCTGAGTGTTATGGGGGATATTTTCACCCACATTAGGAAGGTTGGGGGGTAGGCCCAAGGTTAACCCAAAACAGAGATATTCCAGACACTCGGATTAAACGAGGTTTTCAAGATAGGTGATGACCATGAGTTATCACGGGTAACACGTTGACGCGACCACAGGTCGCCACGTGGAAGTAAAGGACCACCACGTGTTGCCACGTGAAACTAACCCGTGGTATCTTCTTCTTCAGCAATCTCTGGTCATGCGCATAATCCACTGTGGGTCATAAACTGGGATGTCTTTTCAAGGTCTCTTAGGTTTCCCCAAAGCTTAGTTGTCAGTTCTACTGGGTGTTGCCATATGTCGCTCCGCAGCTCCGCCAGGGGAGGACAGTCTTGCTGGACATGTTCTGGAGTCTGTTCAGCACGAAGGCACCGGCAGAGAGCTGTTTGGCTCATACCTAATTTATGTGAGTGTTTATTGAGTCTGCAGTGTCCAGTGCGTAAGCGAAAAACTGTGACTTGGTCTGTTCTGTTCAAGTGTTTCAGAAAATCTTTTTCGTAGTTATAACCAGTGTTGGTTTTCCAATCTGTTTCTGATTTTCTCTTAATGAGAGTTTTGACTTCTGGAAAAGATTGTGGCTGGTAGGTCTGTGGTTTGTTACTGCCTTCCTTGGCTAAAGCATCTGCGCTTTCATTGCCTTTGATGCCACAGTGTGACGGAATCCACTGCAAGTGAATTTCTGCCTTATTTGACAACATAGCAAGTACATGTGTTAGACTTTGTAGTGTGCTGTCGGTAGGTTTGGACTCAAGAGCCTGTATAGCTGACAGTGAGTCAGTGAGAAAAACTATCCTGCCTGCGGTGATTTGCAGATTGTTCATATACTGTGCTGCTATCAATAGGGCTGAGAGTTCTGCCTTGTAGTTAGAGCAGGTTCGTCAGGTGGGGGCTGCTAGGGACACAGTAGTGGCATCTGGGTGTTTTATGTAAACACCTGCCCCACCATTCGTAGTTGCCTCTTTTGCTGATCCATCCGTGTAGATTCTGGTCCAGCTGTCCTGTGGGAACATGTTGTTGAGGTGTTCTATTGTGAGTGCTTTTTCACTAAAGCGGGCTCAGCATCTTTGTTTCCCAGGTTCGGGATGGATGTTGACACATTGAGTGTCAATAATTCGGAGTCCCAAAGATCGAAAGATAGCTCTTCAGGTGTACATTGTTGGTTAAGTAGTGAAGAGAATGACTTTCCAAATTCCTTCGTTAGATGGTTTAAGCTT